GTTTATATTTTAAATTATCGATTGGAACTTGAATTAAATCTATTTTATCGCAAACATAGTTTAACAAACGCAAACTAATCTAAAATACTTATTTTTTCTTAAATTAATTAGGGAAATAGCACATATAATGCCTTCACATCGTTTATTTGAGTTTTAACAAAAGATTATATTAAAAGTAGAGTAAGCATTATTTTAACCGTCATGTTATTACTGACTGCCAACATTTTCATGGACGGCTGGAGACGTAGAGTTGGGTGTAGCGATGTAATCACTGTTCGAACAAAGACTTAACCATTCATTCCCTAATAACATCGCTTTAGATTAAGCTCGATCATGCATTGATTTTCTCAAAGACACTATGTAAAGCCTTGAATTCTTAATGATTTTCATTGCTACAGATCAATATATAACGCGTCTTTTGATTGCCTTTTATGTAATAACACAAAATTAATTTAAGATCGACGAAGATAAAGCGATATGTTAAAAATCTGATCTATGCCCATATAATTTTAATTTAATATGTTATATTTAAGTATAAAGTAGCACGTTGAGAAAGCTGTTACTTACAAATGGCAATTATTTTTATTATTATAATTGTATCAAACGAGTGTCATATTTACGTATGTTATGAAAGTTAACTACGTCTTTAAAGTTGTATATTGTAAGTGTTGGGCAAGTTTGCGTAGATTAACTACGTCTTTAAAGTTGTATATTTTAAGTGTTGGGCAAGTTTGCGTAGATTAACTACGTCTTTAAAGCTGTATATTTCAAATGTTGGGCAAGTGTGTGTAGATTAACTACGTCTTTAACGTTGAATAATACAAATGTTGGGGAAGTTTGCACAGATGGTAGAGACAGGGTCGGCGCTACCTGTAAGGCGAATTAGGCGGTCGCCTAGGGCGCTATCCATAGAGGGGCGCTAAAATGGGTATTTGCTATTATTAAAAAGTACCTAATAATTACTAAGGCGTAGCGATCTATTTCGGTGCCCTGGGCGAGATATTATATATATATATATATATATATATATATATATATATATATATATATATATATATATATATATATATATATATATACTAGCCGTCCCGGCCAGGCCTTGCTCTGGCTTCTTGGCTTCTGTGAAAAACTTTTATGTTAAAGTCCATTACCTGTGTGTTTAGTAATCATCATAAACCCGGCATTGCCCACACTAACGCGAACATAAACGCAAAGTGCTCACAGTCTAGCTCACAGAGGACGCTCGGATTCGATTCACTTAAAAGACTATAGTGACCTTTCTTATCCATACTCTATCGCACTGTTTAAAGCGAAATTATGCACCATAGCGCTCACAGGATAGCCCAGGGCGCCAAAATGAACCTTGGTGGGGCGCCGGCGGACGCGCCTGTTTCAATTTAATGAACAATTATAATACTCCAAGCTTATCCGTAAACGGAAACAAATAAACATATCGGACATGTAGGGCCTTGCTTATTGACTGTTATTGATTTTTTTAAAATAAATAGTAAACAATAAGCTTAGTGTATAGAATAAATAAAAGGCAGTTATAAAAAATACCAACGACATTGCACTTAATTAATCCCCGCTAATTATGTAATTATTTTTTTTTTCTTAACACCAAAACAAAGTGATAAAAAGTAAATTGTTTCTTCCCCCGATTTAATGGGTTTTTTAAAGCGAAGTAACTGTGCAGTCAATACATTTCAGACACATTTTTAGAAATTTTATAAACGTTGATACACTTTTTAACTTTTTAAAAATTGTATGTAATGTTTTGCCTAGGGCGCTAAATAACCTGGCGCCGGCACTGGGTACAGATCATGAGTACCAACCCTAAAGTCTGCAGTTCTGGGCTGGAGTCTCTTGGATATCCATTCAGTGTCTCTCCCAGACTTTTTCTCCGGGCATGGGGGGGGGGGGGCTTGATATTTTCGGGGAGGGTACGGGAAGGCGGACTAAATTTTCCGGTGGGGGAGGTGGGGTGACACCTGTAAAAGTATATCATTTCTATATAAATTCCATTTCGTTCTTGGGGGGGGGGGGGGGGGGTAAACTACATCCATTTGTCTACCGAGCTCTGATGGGTACCAGACTCACGTTTGTGAATCAAAGACGGCAGGACATCGTGCTATCCTCGTGTACAGGAGGTTGTTGAAACAGGTGAATTCTATCTGCTCCAAGAGTCTTGGGGAGAAAAATGGGAAAAGGTAATGCTTTCAAAATGTTATTTAGACGTCTACAAGTTTGTGTTTTATATGTTTTTAAGTTTGTAGTTATGCGCAGTGTTTCTTTCAGACATTTTCTCCCATGGGGGCACGTAATATTTACTTGAGACGAGGGGAAGGGGAGCTAAATTTTACGGGGGGGGGGGGGTGGCAGGACAAGGGTTGAAGTATATCCTTTTGTAAAAGGGGTGAGGGTAATGGGCGGTTGACGTGCTACGGAGAGTGGGGGGGGGGGGGGGGGGAAGGGGCACTCAAGATACCTGAAAGAAACTGGTTTTACAAGGCCCCAAGTAGTCTATGTACTATAGAATTGTTTTTAGAGAGATAAAAACCACACCTAATATGGTCATAATTTTTTTGTATAAAAATAGTATTACGTTTTTATTTTAAGAAGAAGTACATCGTTGCGGCCTACGTAAGAATCCTTGACGAAAACGTGACCAAAGTCGTAGGTAAACCTGTTCTACCAGAGTTCTTCCCCTTCCACTTGACCCTTCATCTGAACGTAAACGTATGAATACATTATACAAATAAGACATTTATCCATTGCGCAGTTCAGCTCTCTTACAGACAAGTAATCAGTTGGAATCTTTTACCTCGCGATTGAGACCAACGATCCGTCGCACCTGCTATTGATTTGTAGGACGATAGATTCTATTTTGTGGATTATCGAATCACAATGATAAACGCTAATGACAAGTTAATCATAATACAGTACGTTGAAATCTAAGTTTGTGTGCACGCAATTTATTTAAAAAAAAACAACCTATTCCTTAAACTGTTTTTTATGATATTTTCATTTATTATTTTGTATTATATTAATTGAAGAAGTCGGCATGGTTGTGTCGGTAAAGGTCACGATAACTCATTACTCAACAGAAATATCCCGAGTTCGAACTCCCGGGACGATGAGACTCTACAGCTGGGGTCAGACACCCTTCTAGACAAGAAAGCTCCAAAATTTAATAACTTCCTTATTGCTTGTTCTTGGATGGACAAAGGCTATGGAATCAAATCCAAAAATAAAAGTAAGAAGAAAAATCATAATCAATGGTCTATGTGACGTATAACAGGTTGACACGTACTACTAAATTGTGTCGAATGAAATCACTTCCAACATTACAATTAAAGAAATTAACGAAAATTAAATTATTTTAATTTGACATTTAAGTATACACACTCGTTAACATGCTTCTCTTTTGAAATGTCCGTTAACTTTCATTGTTAAACAAAAAATAATCCAAAAAAGTATTTAACTTATAGACAGGGGCGTAGCGAGGGGGGGGGGCGGGGGGTGCGGACCGCACCGGGTGACACCATTTAGGGGGGTGACACCAAGGCAAAAAATAGCAAAATATATAGAGAAAAACTTGAGGGGGGGGTGCAAATCGAAAGTTTGAGGGGGGGGGGGTGCAAATCGAAAACTTGAGGGGGGGTGTAAATCGAAAGTTTGAGGGGGGGTGCAAATCGAAAACTTGAAAGTTTGTCCCCGGAAAGGGTCGCAACGCCTCTGGGGGGGGGGGGTGACACTATTAAGTGCCGCACCGGGTGACACCCGACGCCACTGCTTATAGAGTATAAAGTTTATAACTTTTAGTACAATTTTAGTACAAATGAAATGTGAAGGTGTGGGGGGAAGGGGACACTGGTAAAACTATATATTTTCTAAATAAATCCTTATTTTTCGGGGGGAGGGGTGGTTGCGGAAGGGGCGGTAGAGGTTCCTCGGAGTGAGTGGGGAGGGAAATGAAACTATTACATATATTTTATTAGGCTACTTTCTGATGCGATTGATGTCTACCTTTCCAGAGGAGTAATAAGAATATGAAACAATATTAAATAATGCTGATTAGATGTTTTGATAATTATTAAAATGTATTGTATCGTTTCCAACAAAACAGGGGAGATAACTTGTTAAAAATGTTTACAGAAGTGGCTTACATCAAAAAGGGGCAGATCATATTCCTGATGTGTCTATTCGCACGGCAAAGTTTACCGTGGGACTACATGTAAGCCACTTCTATTTGTGAATAATATTTGGCATCGTCCCAGATACGACAAATACACCATGGAATAATATTGGCAGGTCTCCAGAACCTCGGCTAGGATTGAAAACTGACCGCGAGTGACCAACGCCTGTTTGGAGCAGAAAAATGCTTTTATGAACACCATAAAATACGTAGTGGCAGTCCGACGCCCGGGGCGAACTATCAACTTTGCGCCCCCCCCCCCCCCCCCCCCCCATTTATACACATTCATATTAGCTTAAAAGCTAAAAGGCCCCACAAACTAGTTGTATAGTTATTCATATTGGTACATGTTAATAATTTTGTTCTATGTTCAATAGGGTTCTGAATGCATTTTTAGCCTTTGCGAAACTCAACCAAATGCTAATGAACTATAACAAGAAAAGGTATTTTAAATTGTTTTTTTTTTAGTTAACTGCATAATAATATATTTAGAGTCCGAATTTTATTCTTTGGCAACGAATGTTCGAGGCACGTAAAATATTATATCAAACGAGCTAGTTGTAGTATGAGAATGTTATATAACGACATAATTATTATGCATTAAGACACATTGCCAAATAAATACTTTTGTTTTATATAATTTCTGTGCCAGGGCCTAAGCGTTAACAAGTATGTGCTAAATTTAAATGAATAGATGTTGGCCGCGATTGAATTTTTTTTTTTTCGAAACAGCCATGCCCTAATAGTTAAACAAATCAGATTGAATGTCATGTTAAAGTTGTTTTGATGATCGACTATTGATCTTGGCTGCACCCGCTAGTCCAGATTTATTACAGTCAGCACAATCTTCCGTTTCTAGGCAAAACCTAACAACCAATGAAATCATTGCCATGTGATAACCGCACCCACTCTTGCGCATGCGCATGTGGGGAGTGTTCAAGATATATATTTCACGCGCAACGCCACTGATTTGTGTAGAACCACGGGACCCCCAGAAGAAGGAGAAAGAAAAATAGAGCTGACTGCCTTGAGAGTTCTAACGATGGAGCGTCAGGCCCTGCTGTGGATGAGCCTGCTGATGAGTTTCGTAGGTAAGGAAGCAAACTTTTATTTTTCTTCATGTTTGGTAAAGGTAATAATCGAACAAAGGAGAGTTGGACGTCGGAAGATACTTGCCCGAAGGTTATTAGCACGAATGTTTTTGGCCCGAAGGCCCTTTGTCCAAAGGCCGTTCGTCCGTAGGCTGTTTGTCTTAAGACCGTTATCTAGAAAGCCGTTGGCCCGCAGGCCGTTTGTCCGACGGCCGTTTGTCCAAAGACCGTTTGCCCGAAGGCCATTTGTCCGAAGGCCATTTGTCCAAAGACCGTTTGTCCAAAGACCGTTTGTCCAAAGACCGTTTGTCGAAAGATCGTTTGCCCGAAGGCTGTTTGTCCAAAGACCGTTTGCCCGAAGGCCGTTTGCACGAAAAGGACAAAAACCCAAAAGGCTTTTTTCCCGCATGTGACAAATGCCGGAATAAACGTTGCCCTCATTGGACAACAGCCGGAATAGACGTTGCCCGCATTGGAAAAATAGCCGTAACAAACACGCCTATTGTCTCAGACCCTTTAATATTTACCCGATGTAATCATAATAAAAGGGCAACCCATGTCAATATCTAAGGAAGTGTGGTCTTGGTCGATTGTAGAATGTTTGACCTCTTACCTGAAAGTCTCAAGCTTGGTACCCAGGTTTGAGTCCGTAAAACGTCACAGTGTTGACCCAGCTCTCGTGGGTACCTGATTCACATTAGGGAAAGTAAAGGTGGCTGTGCTTAGCGCCGACCACATAGTCTTTTCATATGCCAGGGTCACTGAAAGAGATGAACAATTCTTTACCTGCTGCATGGAACATAATGTTAATAACAAAACTAACGTTGTGTAACATAATATTGGGAACAGAGATGTATGTGTCATCCAGTCTTTCCACAACGTTCTATCATCGCCTAGACATGATCGTTCCATTCACAAGACACTTTTCAACCTACAGTATCAAATCCTCAAACAGTAAAATGCTTTAAGACCGCTGTCTTATACAAGTGATTTGACGTTATTTAGCGAAGCGCAGTCCGAAAATCCATCAAACTTATCATACACAGAATCACAAGGCTGATAGGGTGTTGTAGATTTCAACTCAGTAAGGCCCAACAAGCCTAAGATAAAGAACAATTACAGTTTCCAACCTAAAAAATAAAGCCACAGTCCTCAGCTTTTAAGACGCCATTGTTCATAATTCGTATGTGTTTATAGAAATTTATAATTCGTGAACAAATCGACTAATATTTTTTTCTTACATCTTGCCGATTTATTCCCGATTTGAAAAGAAACAACAATAACAAAAAAACAATTACTTTTGTTTATCAAATAACAGAGTATGTATAACCCTGCAGTATCACCCAGGCTTAGGGAGAGAAACAAAAACATTCACACAAAAAAACCTATTACACATACACATGTTTACAGTGGTGGTAACGCATCTAAGCAGTAGCGTACGCAGGGGGGGGGGGGGGTAGCAGGGGGAGCGGCCGCTCCCCCTCTGGCCATTTTCAGCAAAGTGGCGCCTTTTTGGAAACTTTTTAAACTCAAAGTTTTAAACAATCATATTTGTTTAAAAAATATTTTTGTTCGGCACATCTATGTAAATCACAAGATTTCTTTTCATGCAACAATTAAGCATTATTGTACTAGTCTAGTAGTGTCTACGTTTACAACACGTATTAACAGCTGCATCAGTTTGCCATTCTAAAAATAACCATTATGATGCATTGCAATGTTTAAAAAACCTCTACGGGTAGTACCACTTGGCAAGAGGGGATTTAAGTTTAAGGCAACTGTATAATGTATTTCCTTACGAATAATTGAATTAGAAAATGTTATACATAAAACTTCACACATAATTACTTTATATATATACAGTTTGAATCGCGTGATTAATTTTTAAAAAATTACAATACAGAAACAAATACAACTGATGTGCACCTCTATTTAAATTTCCTTATGAGCAAACTGCGTAGTGCTGGCGAAATTCTGACAAGGTCAACAACGTCATCACGATGAAGTAGTAGTATTCTTACAGTTTGGGCGATAGTGATTACGATTACAAATTATATGAAACATTTACAGCCCCCCTCCCCATGGACCCCTCTGTAAAAAAAAATATTTGTCATAATACCACTGCTACTTATTTAAATCTATTTCTGTAATATATATTTGTGTAATATATATTTGTGTAATATACATGTATGTTTAGAACAGTCATCTAAAAACTGACGCTATGTTCACTCTGAGTTGGTTATCTCCCCCCCCCCCACACACACACCTCACCACCACAATTGTGTAGAGCGACATTAATGTCACACGTAGGTATAAACTGGGTTGGATAATTGACCTAAAGTGACCGGACAGTGGTGAATGAAGTTGAACCCCCCCCCCCCAACCCACCCCGAACTGATCTGTTAAGTACATGTAGAAAAACGCGTAATGATGTACCAAAGTACCATGCCGCCAGAAAATTAGCTTTTTAAACGTAAAACTCTGTGAATATTGTTTTTGCAATTACCAGTAATAAGGTGTGTGATCAATACAGTGATCTAACCCATACCTATCACTTTGTTAAAAAATGATCTTTAAAGAACACAAAGAAGCAGCAGTTAATTAAAAATATATGATCTGAACTAAAAGACCGATTGTTAGTTAAACGTAGGCTATCATTCCGAATGTTTTTCTACTGAATTTAAAAGCGTGATTTTATACCAACTCTGATTTTAAAAACTTTCATTATGCTGTAATACTTTAGCCTTTATGATGACGATATATTAAATTCTGATTATAGACAAAAACATTTTGTAAACACGAATAGTGTTAAACAATTTCATTATATTCTAAACTAATTATTTATTTGTTTTGAAATTTATAATTAAATGTGTAGATATATACATATTTATATTAAGAGAGTGACTATTTCCCCTATTTCACTTGTCTTTAATTATTTCCAAGAAATTATTATGAAACAATTTTGTTTACAAGAATTACAAAACAGATTGTGTTACGTTCATTGTTTTTGGTTGTAGTGTTTATATATATATATATATATATATATATATATATATATATATATATATATATATATATATATATATATATATATATATATATTTGTTTAGATTGATACAATTTTTGTTTTGTCGGCCTACATTTTTCTTATTTCTTCAGAGTGCTACTTTCAAGTTATTTAACATCAGTGGCGTAGCCAGGATCGTCTCAAGGGGGGAAGGGGGTTCCAATTTTTACCCGGGGACAAACTTTCGATTTGCACCCCCCCCCCCCTCAAACTTTCGATTTGCACCCCCTCCCCCTCAAACTTTCGATTTGTCCCCCCCCCCCACTCAAACTTTCGATTTGCACCCCCCCCCGTCAAACTTTCGATTTGCACCCCCCCCCCTCATACTTTATATATATATATATATATATACCGAGGGGTCTATGGGGGTTTATGACCCCCCCTAACCCCCCCCCCCCTGCCTACGCCACTGTTTTACATCATAGCAAAGTAATGACATACAGCTAGTAATTATATATATATATATATATATATATATATATATATATATATATATATATATATATATATATATATATATATATAATACGCGTATATAGAACGTGTTAAAAATTCGGCGCCTTTTTTTGCTCTTTTCGCTCCCCCTACAACGAAAACCTGGATACGCCTCTGCTTCTAAGCTATAATACAGCATATCATTTGAGGGGTATATGTATAGCGAAATTGTTTCTAAAAATTAATGTGCTGATTAAAAAATTATTTTAATATAAATAGTTTAAAATTGATGTCTTAACACAACAAGGTTTAGCAAACACTATAGGTGCTTCATAGGGGGATCGATATTAGGAGTGTAGATTAAAAATTTATTAGGTAAACATTTTGATATTTTACACGAAGTTAGAAGATACCAGTTTAAAAAAAAGAGTACACTGAGTTAAAAGATAGCAGTTTATAAAAAAATTACACGGAGTTAAACTAAGCACCCATATTGTATAATCCTGAAGCTAACATAGCCAGAGCGCAGTGGAACGGCTGTACCGTCTTGGTATTAGAAAATAAGCCAATAATTTTCTATTGATTTTTTTTTTCCAAATCTGCCCGCAGTCTTCAAGCCACTTGTGCACTGTGCCCAGTGCTCTGCTGATACTGATTGCACACAAAGTACAAGTGTCATGGCTTCATGTCTATCTGGAAGATGTGGTTGCACAGGTTCAGAGTACACTCCTATTCGCACTGGATGCGGCAGTAAGTATAGACTTTTCGGTTGAGATTCGAAATCCGTTTTAATTTTATTTGTTTTTCAACATTGACTTTAAATTGATGTCTTTTTAAGAATTGGAAATGCAGTGGATTTTGCCTTGATTAAAATGAAAAAAAAAACAACAAAGAATTATGGCTGTTTATATAACTTGTAAAATAGTTGTTATTAAACAAGCTTGACAGTTTAGAATTGATGTTTAGTCTCAAATAATCAGTCTACAGGATTTTTGATTAACAAATTGAAGTTTCGTTACGACTAAGGCATATTATACTGAAAATCATATACCTAGTTAAGTACCACTTCCGGTTACCGGAAATCGTGTAAAAGTTGATACATAACTACACAATATACATAACAACTGATCTGAAATTCTGTCAACATAACTGAAACGGTACAGAAGTTATTGCGTTTACAGACACACACACAGGCACACAGACATACAGACAAAGTTGCAAAACTAAGTTTTTCCGATTTGTGTGAGTATAAAACGTTGAGATTTTTAAAATTCTCGTTCTCGAACTTTTTATCGATTAGAATACTTCCTTTAGAGGCTACTTCGTATTCTAGAAAGTAAAAAAGTGTAAATTTTCTTTCTTTAAATTGGAGATTGTTATATAATCTAATGGAGCTAAAATTACGAGCTACACAGCTCTGAGCTAAAGCTCCAAGACGCGCTTCATATTCCCGGTTTATGTTCATATCTTTTAATACAACGTTTTCGATTTATTTTATGCATTAAATCCTAAATCAAATTTCATTTACTATGCTTGCTAAAATAAACAACGAACAAGCAGAAAGTTTTCGAGTATATCACCTACCGTATACGAGATTGTACATTGAAACCGATGTTTCAAATGAATTGAATAATGAAGACAATTAAATTATAGAATACGTTGCCAGACTAATGCTCAGCTTAAATAAGTGGCTGAAAACGTTAACACTTTTATAATGCGGCTTCATAAATGCTTTATAACTTCAGTTAATACATTTATGAGGATTAGTATATGGGCAGCCCATCATAAATAAAATTTGTTTTATTTAGTTAATATACATCAAGATATCTCAACTGTATTTTAATTTTGTCTTCAGAATTTTACAGTTTATTTTTTAACTGATTATTTCTTTTTTTACTGTTAATATATATTTTAATTTAATGTAGTTTGCGTTTTGTGTAATACGAAGACCTGCTTATAACATTCGTTTACTTTTGTTTTCATAGCTAGATTGGGAAGCCCCGCCATAACCAAAGAGTACGGTAGATCGGAGGATTTATTTGTAGGATCAACTGCCCCCTTGACCTGTAGATCTAATAGTGGTAACCCTGCATCTTATGCTTGGTATAAAGATGGCGTAAAGCTTCCAGATTCTACACCAACAATAAATATCACACAAGCTGGAGTTTACGAGTATATTTTTTTTCGTTTTATTTTGTTTACGTTAAAGAATTAAGCGTTACAGTCCGAATATCTAGCTAGAAGTTTATTTTCAGTATTATTCAATCAGTTTATGCTTTAAAATATTTTTTTTAAATTATATATTTTAACTTTTTAAACAAAGAATGATAATAATATAGACTAAATATTCTTTGCTTTACATGAAACTATGCATTCTTCTATTTTATATTGAACATTTACCAAAATCGAATAAATTTAGATTCATTGATAACACTAACTGCAACTCATTTAACAAATATTAAAATTTAAAAAAAAATTAAAAGAAAACTAGCTTATATGAAACTATAAAAAAATTCAACATAGCTTTAAGTACTTAGTTAAATTCTCTATCGTCATGGCAATAAAAATGATATTTTTCACATTGTATTCATATTATTTTAATTTCTAGTGTATCGGAAATTCTTTACTTTGATGAATGAAAAACCTAAAAAAAAATTTTTTTTCAATTTTTGTTTAGGTGTCAGTCTATCTCCAGAGACCCTGCCTTAAATTCAGGTAACAGTTCTTCACTTACCATCACCGCAGTTACAGGAAGTGAATGTGAGTATTTGAATTCTAAAATAATTATCTTCATTCCATGTTTTTTTTTAATAATTCATTGTTATAATAATAAAAAAAGAATTAATTTCGTTTTTACAATAATTAATTGTGATGATAAAAAGTGTCTGGGTAAATAGATTTTTATTGCTTTTTAAATACTTATTTCTTTCAAGTCATACAAGTAGAGAAAAACAATTGAATAAAATTTGTACTGGTCATAACATTTTTTTAAAACAGCTATTGAACCTAAGACATAATGGTTTTTTTAACTTTTATATTTTCATTTGTTTTACTGGGAAAAAAATGGTTTATTATTATATTACTTTATCATTTTTTTGCATTTGGGTTTTAAGTTTATTAATTAAGTAAATCGCAAGATAATAAAGTGCGCAAAATATTTTAATACATATGTTGGGGAAATAAATATTTAACATAATCGATACTGCAGATAGTTGCTTTTATTGATAGTATGATCAGTAAATAACTTTCGGACAATGATACATTTAGAGATAGAATGATTATTAATAACTTCCGGACAACGATAAATTTAGAGATAGAATGATTATTAATAACTTCCGGACAACGATAAATTTAGAGATAGATTGATCATTAATAACTTCCGGACAACGATAAATAAATTTAGAGATAGACTGACTAGAGTATAATAAAAAAACATAAGCATATATAAAACAACAGAGATAAGTATAAGAGGGAATATTGTAAGTAAAAAAGTGTTGAAGAGAGAAACGTGTCTTTTGACTTGGGGTGAAATAAACAATAAATTATATTTTTCATCAACTGATTTTAAAAAATTATGTTACAAATTCAAATTCTAAACACAATTTATTTCTAGTTATTAAAAAAAAATAATCTATTTACAGACGCAACACAGACATTAACAATAAGAGATCCACAGGCCGCAAGTACAACGATATCTACTGGTGGAAGTGTAGGAATAACTTGCATGAATGTTCCTTTGGGTTATAAAGGGATATTAACCATTAAGGTAACAGAGACAAAATGAGCTGCACATACACATTCACATAGAAATGAATATACTTTTACAAACATGGTTGCACATACAAATAAAAAGCGAAAGTGCAATATCAATCACACTCACGTAAAGGCAAAGATAAACGCAAAGTTAAACGTAAAGGTAAACGTAAATGCAAACGCAAATAAAACTTTAACATAAACGTAACGCCAACGTACCCTTAAACGTAAACCTAATTGTTAACATAGCTGTTAACTCGACGTACTTATGTAAAATTGAAGTAAATCTTAAGTAAAACTTACGCATTAGTATGTGCATGTATATGTGTATGTACATTTATTTAACATTGACAATATCACGTCAACATTTGAATACTTAACCTTCTAATTTGTCTTCATGCATTGTGTACTCACAGAACGGTAACAATATAATAGCTGAACCTGTGTCACTAAGCGCTACAATTCACATGACAGCCGCGCTTTCAGGTGCAACCATAACATGTGACCTGCAACCTTATGAGTCTGTTAGCTTTAAAGTACCGGGCACCTATACACTCCCCACTATTGATGACAGTAAGTAGATGTTTAGAGAATTATCCTGTGACAAAATATCAATTCGCTTTTTTTTAATAAGTCTAATTACAGTGATGGGAGACAGGTATGTTCTACCACACAGTTACCACTTAATCTAGGGTTGTGAATTTTTTAGCGCAATTTCCATACGGACTATTGCGATTATTAACTCGTCATTTCTGGATGGATGAATGAATGAATGAATGGATGGATGGATGGATGTGTGTCTGCAGCTTTAAGTCGTATCTCCTCCTCAACGAAGCAATATCGAGGACTAGTTCCAAAAGCAAATATGTTAAGCAAGTTCCGAGGATGATTGTGGGCCAAAAAAATTCCCGGAATTCTTTCCTGGATTTCCCGGAAAAGCCAAAAAAAACTCGAAAAAAATGCAGTTTTTAGCCCATATCTCGGCAACCAGACCACTTAGCGACTTGAAACATTTACCAATCGATTTCTGCCATAATTTAGAACAATATTGCCGAAGAAAGTTTTCAAAAATATCCTTTCGTTCGGTCACAAAAAATGAATTAAGAATTTTTAAACTGCGCATCGTGTAGGCCTAGGATGATATTTTTAATTTAAACTGAGCATCGTGTAGGTTTTTAGCGCAAAAAAAATATCCTTTCGTTCGGTCACAAAAAAATTAAAAATTGTTATGGATAACATAAGGAAATTGCACTTAAAATGTCACTAGACTTTTTATTAATTTGTTTTTAAAATTACCAACTTACTGATCGTCCTATCGTAGTGGGTAATAGGTAATACATTTGTTATGAGATGAGAGAAGAAAACGTATTATCTGTGGCCTTTTACGGTCAGATATTTAAGAGACAGTAACCAATCTAGGAAAAGAAAACTTTATAATCCAAATAAACCGCTGTTTTGTAGTTTACTTATGGATGGGCGAAGGTTAGGCCTACGTAATTAAATCCAGAAAGAAAAACAGTTTGAGTCTACTTACTTATATATATTAACATTATTAAATTGTCCAAGAATGAAGAAGTTATCGTATTTGTGTTGCATAATATACACGTTCAAACGAGACGTTTCAAGTTATTATATGTTAATTAATTAACCCTGATGATATAAAATATTAATCACTACAGAACGACTGAACTCACTTGGTTGTTTAAATGTATGAAATTAAATAAAAGTATAGTTTTGTTCTGTATCTACTAATACTTATTAAATAATAAAATTAATAGTTTAATTTTATTTTAATGCCAGTTAAATTTATTGTATATTATAGCAAGAGTTATCTTTATGTACTAATACTTATTAAATAATAAAATAAATAGTTTAATTTTATTTTAATGCCAGTTACAGTCATTGCATGTTATAGCAATAGTTATCAGTATATCTGCTAATACTTATAAAGTAATAAAATCAAGAGTTCAATTTCATTTTAATACAAGCTACAGTTATTGCATATTATAGCAATAGTTATCAGTATATCTGCTAATACTTATTAAATAATAAAATCACTAAAATTATTGTATGTTATAGCAATGTCTGTAACTAAAGCTGAGATAGGGGCTAGTGATTCCTTTGGATCAATAGGCGGGGACGTAACTTACAACATTGGAAACGATGGACCGACATTTTTCTGCACTGTTACCGAAACCCTTGATCTACTGGACAGCACAAACCCACCCATAATTGAATTTTTGGTTTGTGAATTTTTATTTTTAAGCAACTTGAAGACTTTCATATTTTACTATTTTAAAGATTTTTTTGTTTCAATTATCTGTATACTATTGTCTAAAGTGTGTGTGTGTGTCTGTGTGTGTGTGTGTGCACTAAGGGGTGGGTGTGGGGGTGTAAGTAGGGGAAAGTTTTGAGTGCGGAGTTTGATAGTTTGTATGGGTCAAATATTTGAGGAATAAAATGAAGCAGGATGCTAATGTTTAGAGCGCAAAAAATCTACTAAATCAATTAAAAAGAAATTTTCTAGTTGAATTAAAACCTCAAAGTTTTTGTGTGAATTTAATTATGAATTTATGTCACTGAATGTGTTGTTTTTTATTTTGCATGTAGATAATCGATATAAGAGTGTCATTTATAACTTCGACTAGGTTTTTTAATATTTCATTAAAGATCTATTGCTTCTTTAATCTGTCTTGGAAAATATGTTTGTATCTTTTTTACAGAAATCTTTCTTATAAGTGTAGAGCCTTTATTTATCTATGCAGAAATCTAACACACACACACACACACACACACATATATATATATATATATATATATATATATATATATATATATATATATATATATATATATATAATATATATAAAACCTCACATGTGTATTACGGACTCTTAAATATAAAAGTAGATGAAACGATAAACTACTCAAAACATTATTTCCTTCAATTTCCAGATAATTTCATGCAATTAATAGTTACATTGTATTTTATTTTTATATTATCCAGACATTTTTACACAATGAAATAACAGAACTATTTCTTGTTAACACGTTTTTATTAACTCAGCTTCGCGTTTGTGGATGTGTTTGTTGTTAAAATTGACATCGAAAATTAGCCCACTTCTGATTGCTCTATAGATCTGAAATTTGGCATGCAGGCTACTTTCGCCTAACAATTTCAGATGCAATCATAAAAACTAGCAATTAGAGACCGTAATTAGCTTAATTTAATTACGCCCTAAGGACCATAAAATTGAGGACATGATTTCTAAAGATACCGACAAGACTGAAGGCCTATTAACAGTTACTTCGGCCCCAATCGATGTGAGCGCGCTGGCCGTGATCGTATACTGGTTAGTACTTCGCGTTGTGGCCGCGACAACCCAGGTTCGAATCCTGGTCGCTCAAGATTTTTAGTCCGTGTATTTATAAACACTTAGTCAAGTCATACTTAATCAAGTCATTGGATAAAGTAGAAAATAAACTATATAAATTTTTTTTTTAAAAACCACGTTTTTCATGTGTAGCAACGGACTAAAAAGGAGAAAATAAAATACTTAAAAAAAACTTTTTAAAAAACCACGTTTTTCTTGTGGACTAAAAAGTAGAAAATAACTATTTACATACATTTGATGACAAAAAACGTGGGTCGGGCAGATGGGTCGGGAAATTTGATGGTGAACGTACCCACGTTTTTTGTCATCAAATGTATGTAAATAGTTATTTTCTACTTTTTAGTCCACAAGAAAAACGTGGTTTTTTAAAAAGTTTTTTTTAAGTATTTTATTTTTCGTTTACAGATATTTGCTTGAAATGAAATGTCTAAAACGTTTTTTTTTTTGTTTGTTTTTTTTCGTTTTTTTTTTCTTTTTAGGATGATGCTTCACCCCCGAACATAGTCCAGAGCGGTACTTCAGACATATTTATACTTAATACAACACAGCCGAGCGCAGCGAAATACAAATGTAGAGTGACCTATAAGGGTAGTTCACAAGATTCAACGCTGAGTTTCAAAATAACTGTTGGTAAGTTTTTTTACAGTCTAGAGTAGACCACACACGGCAACCCGACACAACTTTTAAATCTCACTTCATTCATTTCCCATACTACTTGAGTATTGTGTTGAATCGGCAAGTTGGAGCCGGTAAAGCTCATGGTTGCTAAACCGATTAGTCTCAAGTTAGAACCCCCGGCCAGTGGCGTAGCTACCGTAAAGCTAGCGTAAGCAAGGCATAGGGGCCCAAGGCAAAGAGGGGCCCTTTTTCGAAAGTTTGAGCGGAGGGGGGGGGTGCAAATCAAAAGTCTGAGTGGGGGGGGGGGCAAATTGAAAGTCTGAAGGGTGGTGCTAATCGAAAGTTTGTCCCCGGTCGCCGGGAAGGGTCGCTACGCCTCTGAGGGGCCCACTAACACTTTTTGCATAGGGGCCCAAAAATCCTAGCTACGCCACTGCCCCCGGCTTGATAGTTGGGGACTACTGCTGCCTTGTAGTTTGTTCTTGGTTGGACAATGTGTATGGAAGCCATTAAACCTGGGTGATAACGGAGTCAACGGCCTAGCTGACGCATAAGAAGTTGACACGTATAGTTAATTGTGTTAATGGTAATGCCTTTCAGCATTAGATACAAGCATCGAAGAAAAAGAAAGAAAACATAAAAAGGAAACAAAACTAGGCCTACTTATAGACCCAATTGTGAAACATAATACATATGCTATATTGCAGCTATTTTTGCTTACTTAAAAAAATTAAGCTACGCTTTGTAGAAGTAATTATATTTCTTATAACTTTAAAAAAAAAAACTCAATAAAAATTAGATGCTTAAAAGAAGAAATTAATAAAAAGATGAATTAAAAGTATACTTTACAATTCACAATTTCTTAAGGAAAAAACTTGAAATATATCTTAAATTGTAGTTTTTTTTCTAAGTCTACAGCTGTCAATGAAAAAAAAATTAATAAAAGCATAAGAAAATTGTACATTTTACAGCTTTTCTTGAAGAGAAAGCGTTGTATTTGATTACCATATAATTTTGATTTCCTTGTTGCTTTGATTTTATCAATACGGGAATTCGGACTTAGGGATCGACGTATTTACCTGTACAGCATAAAATAAGCAAAAAAAAACATACTATGTTTCTTTAAAATACTCCGGTTTTCAATTTCTTAAAACATAATGTAACATTAATTTGATCATTATAACTACTTAAATATTTGCGACATTTTGGTAAGTCGCTCCAAAGTCAAAATTTATTATAGGTAAATAAATTCTTTTTTCGTTGAACTTTATAAATTTAATAAACTTATTCAGATACGGCTTAATGATTATCTCGGTATATTGTGCGTTCGTTCGTTTGATGTGTAATGGGTGTTGACATACATGACGTTTTTTTTATTCCTGATTTACCTCTAAAGTTAATCCTAATGTAGGCCTAATTCAGTTTGACACGGGAGTGTTTAAAATTAGTACATCAAATTACAAAAAAAAAACAGAGTACGGTGAACATCACTCAAAGTAGATCTATTTACAAAAATAATTTTAAAATAAAATAAAATAAAAAAAACAGAGTATGTTGAAACATTTAGAGGGTATATCCACGTGCAAGAAAAAAATAAACAATTTTCAAGATAATAAAAATAGTTTCTGTCTGAAAAGTTTTCAAATTAAAATTAATCAATTGGCAATTACTAACCATCAAAACTTGGGACGACTTCTCACTTTTATTTACCCATTTTATAGTTTACTACAAGACAAGTGGCAGTCACTTAATCTGTGACACAATCTCTCTCTCTCTCTCTCTCTCTCTTATTCTCACACACAGACACACACACCACACCACACACACACGCGCGATATGAAAAATCGATACATAATTTACACGTAAGACATCTTATTAAAAAAAAATATTTTCAGCTAGCGGTGCCAACCCTGACCCAATCATTACAAAAGTAAGCACCGATGATGTAACCTTAGGATCAACACTCGTACTGGCCTGTGGTGATAATTCAATTACCAGCAACTATTACTCGTGGACGTTTAACGACCTACCCATTGAAGGCCAAGGAGATAAGGTCATCCAACTGTACAACTTTACCAGTGACGACATGGGTTTGTACAAATGCCGGTACAGAATTGATCGCTACACCACAGGAGATGGGACTTTTAGTGCTTGTGAGTTTTTTTTTTCTTTTCGACAAGGCGTGATCGAATAGTAGAGCTAAAGGACTGCTAACACGAAAGCCGCGAGTTCGGATCATTGGCTTGAGTCTTTAGGGCGTCCAGGGGCGTTGAGAGGGGGTACGGGAGGGGGACACATGTCCCCGGGCGCCGACCTTAGGGGGGGGGGGCAAAATTGGTTGGAAAAACAAATTGAAAGTTTGAGGAGGAGGGTGCAAATCGAAAGTTTGGGGAGGGGTGCAAATCGAAAGTTTGAGGGGGTGGGGTGCAAATTAAAAGTTCGAGAAGGGGTGCAAATCGAAATTTTGTCCCCGGGCGCCGGGAAAGGTCGCTACGCCACTGAGGGCGTCCATGAGTCCATTAACCGATGATGACTCACTTTAGGGAAGAAATTGCGGTCGGGTAAAATGATGACCACACTTTCCCCTTTAAACTCTACTTTATCTGCTTGGCCACGAACGGGAAAACATGTTGAGATAAAGTTGTCGCGTTTTTCCCCCGTCTTATTTTAAAATCTAAACAGCTGTTGAAACCTATACTAATTGTATTCTCAATTAGCAGATTATTTTTTTACTAACCTGTCAATTTCATGACATTTTTAATACGTTGGAAAGGAGATTTGTCAAATGTCATTTACAAATCAGAATAAAATGAGATGACTGCTTTAAAAATCTCACCTCAGTTTTTTATATAGTGTCTATATAAAAATAAAAATTTAAAAAAAACATATTTTTGTCTATATTCGTACCTGTGATGATAGTATACAATAAGCCATAGCTTAAATACTCACTTGTTCAAAGCATTGTAAAATTAGGAAAACTTGATATATACGTTGCAGGATTTTAAAAAAAAAGAATTAATTTCGTTGAACTGAAATATAATTTTCATTAAAAAAAAAAAACTAAATCTACATCTATATGGCATTCCAATTTTAACTACCAAAATAAAATAAATAAATTTATTCCCAACAGTACCGAAACCAACAATTACTCGTGAACCCGAGGGAACTTTCTTTGGGCAATACGGTGACTACGTTCTTAGGTGTAACTCTGGTGTAAGTACGACAACAGGTTGGACCTACTCGTGGAAAAAGTAAGCGGACATTAAATCCTTACTCTCTGTTTTCATTTCAAAATAAACAAAAATGTATTTAAAAAATGTAGATACTATGTAGAAAATACATTTATACTATCTCTTTGCATTATTAAACGAAACATAAAGAGTTTATAAATTTTTAAAAAATGTATTTGCAATAAGGAAATAGTTTAACTTTCTCTTTATGATTTTTATCTAAAAAAAAAACGTATATAAATATAGCTAAAATATGGAAATTAAATTCAACTTTTTCTTTTCATTTTAATATTAATATTAATTTTACGTATTTTCATTTCTGAGCGTTCATTTCTGAGTTTAACTACGTTTTAAAATGTTAACTGTTTTCAAGGATAGAATAAAGTTTCATATTCCCAAACCACACACATGATTATTTTTTTTGCACAGAGGGACCATTGACCTAGGAGTCACAACGGATGTTTACTCTTTTACTGACGCGGACGCCACAGAGGACAATGGTACCTACACCTGCAACTCCTTATACAAAGGAGCGAGCGTCCCTAGTGATGACTTCACTGTGACCATTGTTGGTGAGTTGTCAGCTAAACGATTGAATTAATGTATATACATAATACATTTATATTACCTCATCTTTTCCGTTCGTGCCCAAGTAACATGGTAAGTAGAGTAAGTCTGATTTAATGACTTTAGTACTCAGAGGGATAGTGTGGTCAGCCTATAGAGCAGTAGAGCTGGGTGGACTTTACAGATCCAAATCATGCATCCAAAAGCGAAACTTTTAAGAAATTAGTTGTGAGCTTTATCGTCTGACCAAGCCATACACATATTTGTACGTACACTGATATTATATATATATATATATATATATATATATATATATATATATATATATATATATATATATATATATACATACATATATATTTATATATATATATATATATATATATATATATATATATATATATATATATATATATATATATATATATATATATATATATATACATACATATATATTTATATATATATATATATATATATATATATATATATATATATATATATATATATATATATATATATATATATATAAACAGAAATCGAAAATACTTTCAGAGCCAGGCAAACGATGTACAGCAGACAGTGACTGTACCGGCCTCAAATACACAGGCAAATGTTCTACAACAACCCCAGCAGTCTGCGTGTGTGCCGCACATTACAGGCTGAAGGGAGACGACTGTGCATGTAGGTTTTTTTTTTTTTGGTTGTTTTTTTTTTCTTGAATTGAAATGATTCATTTAATTTATAATTGTTAAATTGAAACAAAAAAAAACGCATAAGTAACCAATCGGATATATATATATCTGAAAGCTGTAGATTGGGTTCAGATTATTTCTACCTGCAACCTAGTAAAGTAAGGATTGGTAATGTTAGACTGTATTTTTTTAGATTTAATTTTGAAAATAATGTATATTATTATATTATTGATGTATAATATATTATACGAGCCGACCCGCTGCGTATCATACGCCGCTATTTAGTGTTTTTTTTCTACTTTTCAGTAATTTATAATTTGTGAATTCGACAGTACCAATGCTGCCTCTGAAAATATTTGCTTAAAAACACTAACCCCCCCCCCCCCCACGTGAAAGCAGCCTCCTCTTAGTTACCTCCTCTAAGTTTAAAATCGTTTCAAACTAAATTATCTGCCCCTAATAGCCGTCACCAAACCCGTCTCTATGATTGTAAAATGTAAACAGAGTGAACACCGCTCACCAGATCATGTGGGGGTGGGGAGGGGGTGGTAGTGATAGTGATAGAGAGGAAGAGAGGGGACTGCAAAGGCGCGCTTGCAGCTTGTTTTCTAACTGATCCCAGAAGAGAATTATATATATAGATATATATATATTTTATATATATATAAATATATATATATATACATACATACATATATATACATACATATATATATATATATATATATATATATATATATATATATATATATATATATATATATATATATATATATATTTATTTATATTTATATATATATATATTTATTTATTTATTTATTTATTTATATAATATATACACATATATGTATAAGTTGCTATAGATATATAAGTTGTACTATATAATTTCAGCCGGAGCAGCAGCTATAATCAGCTGTGTACTGATGGTTGTCATGGCTTCACTGCGTTCTCTTGTCTTCTAGAGAGTTATCGTTCAAGTTTTGTTATACGTCTTTTAAAAACCATATTTATCTTAACTCTAACCTAACATTTAACAATGTTCCACACTCAGATTCCTTATGATAACTCTTAAACTGGTACTTAAGCTCACAAACAGTTAAAAACAACTAATCATGGTTAGAATTTAATTTTCTTTAAATTACTAATTGTAGTTCTATCTCTAAATATCTAATAATGGAAATTAAGCAGATTATATAGCCCTTATATTAAAAATAGTTTTTCTCAAATTTTAATAAATATAAAAAAAATGTTTTTGAACTTATTTGAACATGATTATGATATTTTTATATAACAGTCAAACATAAAAAATATAATTGATATAAAAGTTATAGAAAAATAAATACTGATTTAGTATACCGAAACAGTATTGCTTAGTATTCAATCAAATTTGGTATTTTTATCATGTGATTTACCGAACGTGTAGTATCACTGTTAGTTTTAAAATGTTTTACATTGTACCTGACTACAGAATCACAACGAATCTGATCTTCAAATGTGCTGAACTGCTTATCAAATTTGATTTGTTTCATTGATCGGGATTTAGTGTTTATATATATATATATATATATATATACGCTAATTTACCCTAATGAAATGAATACGGTTAATTTTGAATAGCGCAATGTTAGTAATTAGGAATATTTAAAATTGTTTTTCACAGTTTTCATTAATTATTTATCCCACACTATGAAATCTTTTTTTAGAAGTTAAGTTTCTTACATCTGTTTATTTATTAGAAATGGAAAGCTAATTTTAAAATAATTATTTGTTCCATTTATAAAATACAATAATTGTATGTTTTTAAGCTTTTTACTATAACAACTTTCGCATGTTGGCATACACTAATTATTTTTAAATTAAAAATTGATAACGTGAGAATATTTTTTAAATTTTGACAAGTTTTTTTAAAAGGACACAAAACATAATAAAGTATGCAAACAATAATAGTTTAGGATGTTTTATTTAGAACTGTAAATAAGATATTTATATGCAATATATTTATAAGATATTCCAATGCAGTGCATTTTTACTAATACAATTTTTCGTTGCTGTTCACCTGATATTGTTTCTAAAAATAAAATATAACAATTTAAAAGGCACTGACAGGTTGCTTATCCAATTCTTTTATTGGCGTTTGTCCGGTTTGTTAAATATTTGGTTGTTTTAAGTAGCTTTTAAATTATTTATTATTCAATTGATTAAGATATGCTAAAATGTAATCATTAAAATTCTTCTTTAAATACCACGGGAGTTTGTAATACAAGAAAAAATAATCAAGTTAGATGCCACCTACTTAATTTGTAGTTTTTTTTGTATCCAAACATCGAGGTTTTTTTAAAAAAAACTTTCACCTTTTTATCATTATCATTATCATCATCGCACTAACCATCATCGTCGCATTATTCCATAAATTGATGTGAAGTTGTTTAGACTATTTAAACAGTTAACCTTTCAATCAAAACCATCCTCCACCCTTCTCATCATCATAATCTTTGTCGTCATCGTTATCATCTTTATCATTTTTTCTTTCCGTCCCTTTCATTATAACCATCTTGATAATCTTTATCATATTCCTCTCTAAATGCACATTATTGCACAAGATATCAACAGGCGATCTTTATTGTGCCTTCTATTACTATCTTTCTTTTAGGACATCACCTTGGCATGCATGCTCTTCCATTTGCCAGGCAGGCCTTAACCAAAATCCGTATAACTGGCTTAGATATCGGTTAGATTGTAGTGTATCGGTGGCGTCTGTCCTTCGGTCCTACCCAGCTTATCTTCCAACTCACTGAACTATAAACTTTAACGAATGAATACACCTTATTTGTTAGTAAATATCCAACAGTCCATCCAACGTGGACAAAAGTTAACAATCAGAAACCTTTCTTTATATCATTTGGCATAAAGCGGTCCCCTTGAAGCTGAATAGATTTATCTTTCTATTAAACATAGTTAGACACCAAAACAGCCAATATATGATGTAGGGATCTAGATGTTGTTTGCATTTTATAAGGAAAACGATTTGGATAAACATCGTAGGGCACCGCTTGTAGTAGACATCTTGTAGGACACATTTTGTAAAATACTCCACGAAGTACTTTAAACCTAAGATAAACACTACATGAAGGTCACTCTGTGTAGGATACATATTGAAAGACACATTTTGTAAAATATCCACGAAATACTTTAAACCTAAGATAAACATTGTAGGACACTTAATGTAGGACACTATTTGTAGGATAGATTTTGTAAGACACGCCTTTAAGGACACACCTTGTAGGATACTCTATGTAGGACACTCCATATAGGACACGCCATGCAGCACACACCTTGTATGACACACCGTGTAGAAGACACATTTTAAAACACACCTAGTGGGACACATCATGTTGGACACACCTTGTAGGAAACTCCGTGTAAGACACTCTGTGTAAGACACTCCGTATTGGACACTCCATGTAGGACACTCCGTGTATGAAACTCTGTGTATAAAACTCAATGTAGGATACATATTGTAGGACACTTTAGGACACACTTTTACGAAACTACATGTTAGACACTTCATATAGGACACGCATTGCAGGACACACCTTATAGGACACTCCATGTAGGACACAATTTGTAAAACACATTCCGTAGGTAAAAACTAGTATAACAATCCTTGTAGGTCGCACATTATAAATCACCTATTGCAAGACACTCCTTGTACTCAAATCAGTTCTGATTAACACCATTTTGTGACATTATTCAAAAGGTCTTTGGTTCTTTTTTTTTTGTTAATCAGACGTAATAGCTCATTGACCGTAATATGACATTATCACTTGATTAGATTCTTTTGTTATACAATGAGCTTTGCCGCCGCGCGCCGCTACTTAGCCTTGCCGGAACTTCTAAAGAATGGCGTTACCTGTTCTAATTAGTTTCAATTGACTTCACGGCATGAAAACTGTGACAGGGCGCGGAACTGTTAAGGCTGAATGGAGCAAAACACACAAGAGGTGGTTTATAGAGCAAAACGTCCCGAGAACTGGTTCAGTAGCATATGATACTGTATCACTGCTAGTGATCAATTCTTTTTATGCTTCGTCAACGATTTTTACATTCGTATTATTGCGCTTTTATTAAATTGTAGGGCTTAGCACAAATACTAAAAAAAACTCTATGAGCCGTTATTTAACCTAAATAGCAAAAGATAACAAATGAAACAAATAGGTAATTTTTTATTACTCTTGCATGGTAGCGGGGTAAACTCAAGAATAGGGTGTGGGTGGTGTGGCATAGGTGTGCGGGTGTGGGTGGTGTGGCATAGGTGTGAGGGTGTGAGGGTGTGGGCAGCATCGAGTGCCACTACCCAAGGGTGGTGAACACAAAAAGAAAAAAATAACAATTAGAAAATATTCCTCTAGTTAACTTATTAAACCATTATATAGCTTTTATTTCCTTTTAATTATTAAATACTTCTTTCAACACAGAGGGACACTATTTAAAGGAGGATGACACCAAATTATAACTGTTTTGGTACCAGTGGCGTAGCGTAGCGAGGTCGGGTGTCACCCGGTGCGGCACTTAATGGTGTCACCCCCCAGAGGCGTAGTGACCCTTCCCGGGGACAAACTTTCAAATTTGCACCCCCCCCCCCCCCCTCAAGTTTTTTTTCTATATATTTTGCTATTTTTAGCCTTGGTGTCACCCCCCTAAATGGTGTCACCCGGTGCGGTCCGCACCCCCGCCCCCCCCCCCCCCCCTCCCTCGCTACGCCTCTGTTTGGTACATGTTATAAATAAGGGGACAGCGTTTTCGAATAGTAGAGCATCAGACTGCTAACCCAAAAAGCTTGAGTACATCCGGGTTCAAATCCGTAGATCATTCCTGAGGTAACCCAATCTTTCCGTCAGGGGACGTAAAGGCAACTGATCATAATGCTAATTGCACTACCCTTTACTATTATACAGTTGTTAAAGAAACAGGTGGACTCTAATTCACTTGTCCCATGAGCGTCAGATTCAAAAGGGAACTTAATTATGTTATAGTTATATACATACACACAAACACACATAATAATGAAGCACTCCGTTAAACTTCATATAAACTTAAACGGATTGCCAAACAAACACTCAAGGGACGTAACCATGATATACATAATATAAGGGAGGTAACAATCACTATCAAGACACAATGTAACACTGGATAGAGTGGCGACTACTCTTGATCTAGCGAATGATCTCAAATAAAAACGTTTCAAAGCTCCAGCTCCACCACGCATTCATTTCACAAAGGACACTCTGTACAGCTCCTGTAGTGGTGAATGAACTCCACTGTAGCAGTTCAATAGACAGCGCGTCTTTACATTCTATTCACCTTGTAATAACCTAACATTCTGATCCATGCATACAAGTTGTATCTTACAAATGATATTGACGCGTTCATAGTTTGAAATTACGATTGTTATCTTCGAGTTGTATTTTAAGACAATTAAGTACGCATACAAAGTTATATCCTACAAAATTTTGGTACGTATTTTTTTGTAACTGTATCGTTCGAATATATGCATTTAAACGTGTACCTTACGTAAGTTATGTACGCATACAAAGTTATATCGTATAGACGTTATTTACGTATATTATTATTCTTGCACTTGTATCATACTGATGTCTTTTCAAATGGTATTGAATCATACGTAAGTTACCGACGCCTCTATATTTAATCGAGTGTGTATGGAGAGAGAGAAGGTGTGATAGGGTACCCAATTTTTTATTGCTAGAGAGTTTTTTCTCTAGTTCCGCCGCTGACTTTTAAACATACTAAGTTCATCTTATTACACATGGATTTGTTTTCTTGAAAAAGTTGCGCTTGTGTAGCTTGTTTGAAACGTAAGCAAAGTTCCCTTTTAAACCTGACAATTATAAATATAGTATTAATATTTAATAACACATAATACAACTAAATGGTTTGTCATCAAGGCGGGGTTGGGGGGGGGAGGAAGAGAAAGGTAGGGTGAGGGGTAACAAAATAATGGTAGGTCAATAAATTTCATTCGTATCTCGAATCACCAATGTAATCAGTGGCGTCGCGAGGTCAGGTGTCACCCCCATCGAAATTACATATATAATTATAAATAATTATATATATATATATATATATATATATATATATATATATATATATATATATATATATATATATATATATATATATATATATTTCCTATTTTACCATATGGCATTGATTTGTGTGCGGAATCCACCTATTTAATTAATGTGAAAAAAATCATCGTTTTAATCGTATACTATTTGTTTTTGGTGTCACCCTCTCTACTGTCGTTGATTGACGCATCTGTATATGTAAAACACTCAACAAGCTTTTATTTCTCTCTAAATTTTGCGGTAAGTTACATCCTTGTCCCCCCCCCCCCCCCCAGTTAATAGTAAAGATGGATTTCAATTGTCAGTTATTAATACGTGGATTAACTCTTGTTTATCATTAATTGAAGTGGTAAAAATAATGTTTCTTATATGTTTTGCAATTTTTCGCCAATACGTCACCCCTAAATGGTGTCACCCGGCACAGTCTGCACCCCCCACGCCTTTAAATGTAATTATTATTCAGAAATGTAAATAGTTACCTCTTAGACGCAAGAAATTAACGAACCGATTATGACCGTGTCATTAAACGTTAAACTGGTGTCAAATGATATTTTAAGAAGACAAAGAGGCATGGACACAATTATAACCTTTGAAACACATTACATAATTACAGTAGCTAAACCTGTTCTACCAGAGTTCTTCCCCTTCCTCTTGAGCATTCAGTAAACCGTAAACATAGATATGACTTTAAATCATGCCATTATATCCTTCCAGGGGATTAGTCAGTCAAAACATTTGTATGGCTCGCGTTTGACGTTCGCGATTGAGGTCAACGATCCGTCACAATTGCTTTGAATTGGAGAACAATACACTCATTTTATATAATGTAAATGCTAATGACCAGTTTAATCTTAATACTGAACGTTTATGCTTGAATCCAAATTTTTATGCAGCCAACGAATGTAGTGAAGTTAAAAAACTCATGCCTTAAATTATTTTTTGTGATACTCTCGTACTTATTCATGTGTGTATTATTATTTTAATGTGACACAAATTATACAAATGTAAAAAATTGTTTGTTATATAGTGTCAAAAAAAATTTTGACTGAAAAATAAACAACCCAAATGAATATTCATTCATAGATTAGTCATATATTATATATCTATATATATGTGTGTATATATCTCTATATCTATATATATGTGTGTATCTATATCTATATCTATATCTATATCTATATCTATATCTATATCTATATCTATATCTATATCTATATCTATATCTATATCTATATCTATATCTATATCTATATCTATATCTATATCTATATCTATATCTATATCTATATCTATATCTATATCTATATCTATATCTATATCTATATCTATATCTATATCTATATCTATATCTATATCTATATCTATATCTATATCTATATCTATATCTATATCTATATCTATATCTATATCTATATCTATATCTATATCTATATCTATATCTATATCTATATCTATATCTATATCTATATCTATATCTATATCTATATCTATATCTATATCTATATCTATATCTATATCTATATCTATATCTATATCTATATCTATATCTATATCTATATCTATATCTATATCTATATCTATATCTATATCTATATCTATATCTATATCTATATCTATATCTATATCTATATCTATATCTATATCTATATCTATATCTATATCTATATCTATATCTATATCTATATCTATATCTATATCTATATCTATATCTATATCTATATCTATATCTATATCTATATCTATATCTATATCTATATCTATATCTATATCTATATCTATATCTATATCTATATCTATATCTATATCTATATCTATATCTATATCTATATCTATATCTATATCTATATCTATATCTATATCTATATCTATATCTATATCTATATCTATATCTATATCTATATCTATATCTATATCTATATCTATATCTATATCTATATCTATATCTATATCTATATCTATATCTATATCTATATCTATATCTATATCTATATCTATATCTATATCTATATCATCTATATCTATATCTATATCTATATCTATATCTATATCTATATCTATATCTATATCTATATCTATATCTATATCTATATCTATATCTATATCTATATCTATATCTATATCTATATCTATATCTATATCTATATCTATATCTATATCTATATCTATATCTATATCTATATCTATATCTATATCTATATCTATATCTATATCTATATCTATATCTATATCTATATCTATATCTATATCTATATCTATATCTATATCTATATCTATATCTATATCTATATCTATATCTATATCTATATCTATATCTATATCTATATCTATATCTATATCTATATCTATATCTATATCTATATCTATATCTATATCTATATCTATATCTATATCTATATCTATATCTATATCTATATCTATATCTATATCTATATCTATATCTATATCTATATCTATATCTATATCTATATCTATATCTATATCTATATCTATATCTATATCTATATCTATATCTATATCTATATCTATATCTATATCTATATCTATATCTATATCTATATCTATATCTATATCTATATCTATATCTATATCTATATCTATATCTATATCTATATCTATATCTATATCTATATCTATATCTATATCTATATCTATATCTATATCTATATCTATATCTATATCTATATCTATATCTATATCTATATCTATATCTATATCTATATCTATATCTATATCTATATCTATATCTATATCTATATCTATATCTATATCTATATCTATATCTATATCTATATCTATATCTATATCTATATCTATATCTATATCTATATCTATATCTATATCTATATCTATATCTATATCTATATCTATATCTATATCTATATCTATATCTATATCTATATCTATATCTATATAGAAACATGGCACATTGAAACATGGCACATTGAAACATGGCACATTGAAACATGGCACATTGAAACATGGCACATTGAAACATGGCACATTGAAACATGGCACATTGAAACATGGCACATTGAAACATGGCACATTGAAACATGGCACATTGAAACATGGCACATTGAAACATGGCACATTGAAACATGGCACATTGAAACATGGCACATTGAAACATGGCACAAACGGGATAGGAAAAAAATGCTATTGACTTTACACTACAGACAGCGTTAACTATTTCAGTGTTTTTTTACATCCATTGTGTCACACCAAAATAATTATTGTTTTAAACCAAAGTGAATAATTATATATAAATAGAAGTGGGGGGGGGGGGGCGCAAAATATTTATTTCTATACCTCTGTGTGGTTTTTGACGCCGTGTGAAGAGAAAGCATTTGAAGGCTTCCTGTGGTCTGACACTGGTTAAAGTGAAAGCAGCAGGGGCGTAGCGTATATATATATATATACTTAATTTCATTTGATAGATCAAGGTCACATGATCTTTGTAAAAGATTGTATATATATATATATATATATATATATATATATATATATATATATATATATATATATATATTACGGGGTTGGGTGACACCATTAAGTGCCGCACCGGTTGACACCCGACCTCGCTAGGCCACTGGAAAGCAGACTAAATATTTTCTATATAGGCCTAATTTTTTTTTCGTCCGGACATTCGTATGAGATAATAAACACACTAATTAATAAACGTCTCACTTTTCAATGATTGGTATTTTTTTTACTAAAGTAAAATTGTTGTATTCAGATTAGCTGTTACATTAAACCCATCACACTTTATAGGTTTATAATCATTTATCACTATATTCAATCCTTTTTTACAGTTATTTAAATAATTGTGTTTCATTATATTTAAAGAAAATCATTTATTTTCTCCTGTTTAGTGCATTATTACATAAAAGCTTGTTATTAAAATGTTTACAATGCATTTTTTCAGTACTTTAAAATTTTTAATACAATAAAGCTTCATAACTAAAAACTATTGCGCAACAAATGAACATGATAATGCGCTTATAATAGTGCTCAATAGTAGTAGATACCCTACTAATTTCAGAAATTTTAATTAATTCATAAAAAGTTAATCAGTCATCCAATTTGATGTCAGATTGTGTCGTCATTGGGCCTTGGCCCACGTGGCAAGTTTGAAACGAATCTGTCAGTTCGAAATATCATAGCTGTTTTTAAATTAATTTTTTTTTAATTCTAAAAAATAAATAGTACCTGTTCGATTTGACCAGCTCCTTTTTGTTATTCATAAAACGTAGGCATATGTAGCTTATACTATGTAGACTATCTTTTATTATTTATTTGTGTTAAATTTAAATATGCATGTATAGAAATATTTGCTTCATATATTGTTTATAATTAATACAAATTATTTTTTTTTATTTTTTTATAACAGGTAGAAATGTATTATTTAGGCCTCTCTAAAGGCATTTAAATTTTGAACTGCCCGTCGTTACATCTTAGTTACCAAACAGTTTCATTCTAAATCGCGATTTCAGTGAAATGTCTACCGTCTATAAATCTTTTGAGACTAGCGACAATACAGAAAAAATCAAAAGATTCAAAATGAACACACACCAATTAACACAGCAAAAATGAATGTGTTTTATTCGGAATATTATGTATATTTATTTTTATGATGTTTTCATTAATTTTTAACAGTTGATAATTCAACCAAGTAAAATGTTTATAGACACACAAAGTCCTTATCAAGTTCATGACACTATACTTCATGTTTTGGTGTGTTGTTTTCCACATTGAACGATCCACCCTATCACAATATGATTTTACTCACAGCGACAGCAACAATCAACAACGTTAGAATCAGTAACTTATCTGCAGGATAGATAAAAAGAAGTTATGCGTTCATAATAGTTTGGCATTTATTTCAGAAAACGTAATAATTGCAGGTGCTAAGGTTAATTCATTTTTAGCATCTATTTTTTACACCAATATTTTAAGTGTCGACTTCATTTCTTTGGTTGTATTTTTGTGCAAGAGCACTATATTCGGGCAATCGTCCATTCAAGCAATCGTTCGTTAGTCATTGTTTCATTCTAGAATTAGGTCATTGATCAATTCAATCAAACGTCCACAAGTGAAAACAGCCTTCAGGCAAACGTCAGGCACTACAATTTGTAATGTTTTTAATTAAACATGCGTTACAATTTTCAAACATGTCATCGTTTAATCCTACTAGACCACTGTACATATTTTCGGTTAGCCTATAATGTCTATATTTTATACCCAGAATATTAACAACTATGTCAAAACTTGCATAAATAGCATATGTTAGTGATTGGAAAAAAAATGAGGGATTATTGTATACGTAAAAGAGATTTTTAAAAATTGTTAAGGGGTAAAATGGGTATCATTGTCCCACCCTATCAACTATTAAAAGCATAGGTTGCATTAAAAAAATTAACATATTATCATTTTAAAAATGACTTATAGCAGAGTAAATCATGTTGCTATTAAAGCTAAACTTTTTTCCTCAAATTAGCCTACACAGTAAGTTTAAATAAATAGCTCATTGGTGACAACAGGACTAACCAGTATTTACCAATCAAGGAAAGAATCAAATTCTCAACGTGTACAAAGTCCAAAAGTTGAATGTACCTGAGACATGTACCATATTCTTATTGCTTGACGTTTCTTTCATGCCATTGTCTTTAAAATACACCAGGTGGTCCCGATCTGATATATATATATATATATATATATATATATATATATATATATATATGTGTGTGTGTGTGTGTGTGTGTGTGTGTGTGTGTGTGTGTGTGTGTATCATTTGTCTTACATAATAGGGCCTACACATTAATTTACAATATAAAACAAAAAAAAAACGATAATCATTTATCAAACGTACCGAGGAAATCAGCTGTTTCGAGTAAAGACGTATCCCTGATGGGAAGAATTTCTTTTTCAGTCCCAAAATGAATACGAAAAATAGCTTTTTGGCCATTCTCTTTCCAACTGGATCCGTGAAAGAAACTCGCTTTGGGTTTAAAATAAAATCGTTTTGGTTTAAAATCTTCGCACCAGCATTCTTCACTTATATGTTTCATGGAAGCGCAACCTGATATGAATTCCTCTCTAAACTTGCACAACTGGAAAATAAAATATTTTGTTAAAAATAAATGTAATTACTTTCTATGTGAAAATAAACGATATTCTACATTTTTAAAATGTAATTAATTTCTAAATTTAAATACATTTCGGTAGCCTATATATATATATATATATATATATATATATATATATATATATATATATAAATAATTCTCTACGTAGGGACCATGCGGGACACCACCACCACCACCACTTATGCGCCTAGTCTCCCCCTCCCTTCCTCTCTAAGCATATCGCTACCACCTCCACCTCCACATGGTCTGGTGAGATGTGGTTCACGCTAAATGTTTACAATCGTAGAACCGATAGTGACGGCTATTTGGGGCAGATAATTTAGTTTTTAAACGATTTGAAACTTAGGTGAGGTAACTAAGAGGAGGCTGTTTTCACGGGGGGGGGGGGGGGGGAGGGGGGGAGAGTGGGGGTTATCATCCTTCACGAGCAACTGATAGTGTTTTGAAGCAAATATTTTTAGTCGCAGCATTGGTAGTGTCGAATTCACAAATTATGACTTATTGAAAAGTTGAAAATAAAACAACTAAATAGCGCCGTACGCTACGCCGCGGGTCGGCTCGTATTGTAAATTAACATAAATTAATTATAATTTACTCTTTACAAATTTGAATATATATCCTAAATTTACATAAATTTAAGTATCTTCTTTTCCCGCTCGTCCCCAAGACACATGGGGCAGATGAAGTAGAGTTCATCTGTTTTAGAGACCTTGGTATATGAGGGGATAGTATGGTCAGCACTATTCCCAACCGCTTTTGTATTTAAGTATATTATACATTAAAATAGCTTTGATTCTAGTATACATTGTAAAACAAGGTAATTAAAAAGTCTAGTGACAATTTTAGCGCAATTTCCTTATGTTCTCTAAAAATAGCTCTGTCGTAGCGTAAATCAAGAGCAGGGTTAGTAAAACCATTGGTTAGTTATTAAAACGTTTTTTATTAAAAAAAATTTCAGTATTTTACATGTTTTATTTACAATAGAGTAACATGACTAAAAACCATTGCGCGCCTAGCTACCAAACGTGATGGCGCAGCCATTGAACGTGATGGCGCAGCTATTGAACGTGATGACGCGTGTGGTGTGGTTGGAAAAAACATGCCTACTAATTCGGTCCAAATTTGAATTAATTCAAAAAAAAATTTTGTGACCGAACGAAAGGATATTTTTGAAAACTTTCTTCGGCAATATTGTTCTAAATTATGGCAGGAATCGATTGGTACATGTTTTAAGTCGCTAAGTGGTCTGGTTGCCGAGATATGGTCAAAAAACTGCATTTTCTCGAGGTTTTTTGGCTTTTTCGGGAAATCCATGAAAGAAACCCGGAATTTTTATGGCCTATGTTCATCCTCGTAGCTTGCTTAACATAATTGCTTTTGTAACTAGTCATTGATATTGCTTCGTTGAGGAGGAGATACGACTTAAAGCCCGGACACACATCCATACATTCATCCATCCATTCCCAGAAATGACGAGTTAATAAACGCAATTCTCCAGAATGGAAATTGCGCTAAAAAGTAATTATGTCTTACATTTAAATGAATGTAAGTATTTTCTACATTTAAAAAATTGTGGCAAAAATTTAAACAAAAAAATCTACAGTAAAAGATAATTTTACACGTATTCTGTATTTTAAAAATTACTATATGATGTACATATTCTACATAAAAATAAATGTGGGTATAAATATATTATATTTTAGAATTTTTGAGAAAAATAACTCTTTATATTGTACATTTAGAAATAAATAACAATAACTATATTCTTCAGTAAAAGATAAAAATATATTTTTCGAAATAATTAAATCGTAATTTTTTTTAAATAATATTATATTTTTTAATTCCTAATTTACTGTGTGTAAAATAAAAAACAAGTTAATTAAAAAAGTCTAGTGACATTTGTGCGCAATTTCCTTATGTTATCTAAAAATAGCTCTGACGTATAATGTTTGGGTGCGTTCAAGCTAGAAGAACAATCGGTTTGTAGGTGTTTATGTAATTTTAAAATTTGTGACCGAACGAGAGAATATTTTTGAAAACTTTCTTCGGCAATATTGTTCTAAATTATGACAGGAATCGATTGGTACATGTTTCAAGTCGCTAAGTGGTCTGGTTGCCGAGATATGGGCCAAAAACTGAATTTTTTCGAGGTTTTTTGGCTTTTCCGGGAAATACATGAAAGAAACCCGGAATTGTTATGGCCTATGCTCATTCTCGTAACTTGCTTAACATAATTGCTTTTGGAACTAGTCATCGATATTGCTTCGTTGAGGAGGAGATACGACTTAAAGCCCGGACACACATTCATCCATCCATCCATCCATTCCCAGAAATGACGAGTTAATAAACGCAATTCTCCAGAATGGAAATTGCGCTAAAAAACATCAACTGAACCAACGGAACAAAATATTTACAGTAATCCATGTAATGGTGTCGGTTTCACAGTTCTCTGCGCGGCACATCTGAAGGTAAAAGTGTTTATCATTGTCGTCCAACATTTCTGTATTGCGCATGTACAAAGATCCGTACACGACGAATTCGACACAACCAGGACACGCTGGCAAGTAGCCATCAACTGTGGCGATAACACCTTGTATGCTATTATCCTTGGGAAGTTCTGAAATTGTGAAAAGTAATTGGAATCAGATGCGTATCGAGGGGGGGGGGGGGGGTGCGGGGGGACATATGTCCCCGGGCGCTGACCTTAGGGGGAGGGGGGCGCCAAATTGAAAGTTTAAGGGGGGGGGGTGCAAATGAAAAGTTTGAGAGGGGGGGTGGGAATCGAAATTTTGGAATCGTTCGATATTTAATTAATTAATGATAGTAACAGATGAAAAAGATGGAAAATAAAACAGTGGAAAATATAACGCCTGTCTCCTCTTCACGCACACACGAACACACACACACACACACAAATCATACCCCCTGTATATGGCATTGCACCTCAGACTACCATCTTTCCCCCGCCCTTCCTCAAATAGCTATTTTTTTAAATCTATTTTTAAACAGCAACTTTTTTTTTCAAAAAAATATACTGTTTTCATTCAACATTGATCAATATTGATCAATTTTAATTCATAAAAATTCATAAAAATAAAAAGTCTTTTGAAAACGAAAAAAAAAATTCGGATATGTAACATTTTTCATAAGCTTTTATTTAACCTGCTTCCTCGTGCTTGCTTTAATCTTTTGTCGTTATGAATCGAAACTGGCGAGCAGAATTTCGACCACTACTAAACGACCAATTTCTCCGAAAATTGGCACGTGGGTCCAGACCCGATGTCAATGCTATCTAGCATCACTTAATAGGATGCAAAATTAATTTTTAAAGAATTAATTAAAATTTACGTGCTATTAATCGTGCTCATTTAGTGCGCACTTGTTTTTTTTGTCATGCAAATCTATTGTATTTAAAAAAAAAATATAGTACTGAAAACAAATGCATAAACAACGTTTTAATAACAAGCTTTTATGTAATAATGTATTAAAATGGAAAAATGAATGATTTTCTTTAAATATATAATAATGAGCTACTATTTAAATAACTAAAAAGAAAAGCGTAGGTTGTAATAATATTATGTATTGAATAACTTAACTGGAATTTAAGAAGCGGCCCACGGTTTTATTTTTTAGTTCCTTAAATACTAGTCCATTATTATCTATTTATTATCTATTTAAAGAAAAATCATTTGTTTTCTCCTTTTTAGTGCATTATTACACAAAAGCTTGTAATAAAAACGTTTTTTATGGATTAAAAAAAAACGCCATATCTCGTAGTCACATTTTTGTAAAACTCCTCTCTTCCTTATCACACATCGCCAGAGGTCCCCCCCCCTAGGCGTAGCTAGGGGGAGGCGTGGGGTGCGGACCGCTCCGGGTGACACCATTTAGGGGGATGACACCAAGGCAAAAAATAGCAAAATATATTGAGAAAAATAATAATTCCACTTAATTGATTAATTCGAGTGTCAAATAGTCTTTTAAGATGTGTAAATCGAAAGTTTCAGAGGGGGGGTGCAAATTGAAAGTTTGAGGGGGGTGTGTGTGCAAATCGAAGGGTCGCTACGCCTCTGGGGGGGTGACACCATTAAGTGCCGCACCGGGTGACACCCGACCTCGCTACGCCACTGCCCCCCCCCCATCCTTATGTGACGCCGTTACCGGGTGACCTCTTAGTAAAATATGAAATGGTCAAGTGAAGTTAGTTAAAAATACTTTCAACGCGAAGATGAAAAAAATCAATGGACGAAGTAGTTTCTACACATGGTTTTTAAAATCAGCGTGTGATTCAGCTGCTGCGTCAAAGAGCAACGAATATTATAATCTTTAGCACATAAAAACGGCATGGGGATCTTTTGAGAAAGAGTTGGGGGCGCTGGAATGTCGTGGATGGAAGTTTTTAAAAAAAAAGTGCTGGAGTAAAGTGTGGATCTCGGGAAGTCGGGGAAACGGGGGGGGGGGGGGGGAGGAATAAGAAAAATGAACTGCATCCGTATATGATGTCACGCTTATTTATACGACAGATACTCCCCCTCAACCCCCTCCCCCTCAAATATTTAGACGTCGGCTAAAAAAAGGCTTTAAAAATGTCACTTCCCCACCCCCCCCCCCTGAACGAAACCAAAAAAGAAGCTTGACACCTATTGACCCTACCCCCCCCCCCCCCCTTCTCTCACCCACGAAGTTTCGCCTACATTCTACATCAAGAGAAACTTACTCAAAACTAAAACCCTTGATTTTCATAACTTTGTAGTTATTAAAATTGAGTGGAGAACTTAAGGTACTTGAGTCGCCTAGTTATCTCTAGTTTGACTTACTTAGTACGCCCGACTTGGGAACTAATGTTGCGACGTCCACCAAATGCCCTCTCTCTAAGGAGTTAAATGAATTGTATATGATGAAGATATTTTATGAAATAAATTGAAATAATAGTACATTTCATTTTTAGAAGAAGAATCAATGGTTATCAGTGTTTCTTCCCGACTTTTTTTCTCCGGGGGGGGGGGGTGGGGGGTGGGGCTCTTAATATTTTCGGGGGCGGGGGGGGGGGGTCTGGAAGAGATGCCTGGAAGAAACTCTGATGGTTATATAGCCGATGTATATGTTAATTTATCAAATTTTATAACTCCACGAAATGTTTTTTTCAAGGTGGCCGCCGTTGCCATGGGAGCCATATTCAAAAGAGTCCCTGATGCTTGCAAATATTTTCCTTTAAGTACCCTAACTTAAATATCCACAAATAAATCAATAAAACATTTTAATTAAGAAGTTTTTTTTCTCTGGAGCCTACCCCCCTTAAAAATACTATTTATCCTTCAATGGGCTTACAAAATGAATAGTTGTCTCATGTGTTTAATTACTAGATAAACAAAAAAAAAACTTCTCATAATTCAAACAAGGTAGGTAATTCAGTGAAAGCATAGATTATGGAGTGTCAAGTTTAGAAACATTTTTAAAGCTAAGTTTAAAATATATGTATGTATAATATTCTATCATTACTTATCAGGTCCTCCATTTTGAGCAAACTCCTTGCTGTAATAGTGGAACTAAGCACATCAGTGGTCTTTCCGAAACGCACGCGCACTTGAAGAGTTTTTCCATTTTCTTGTTGGAAGAGGTGTAACGGAAGTTTGGCGTAGAAGCGTTTCGGCATAGTGTTTATACAATAACAATGGGGCTTGGTAGTTTTCATGGGCATCATACAGCCGGTGGAGAATTCATTGCGGAAACTGCACAGCTAAACAAGTAATGGAGGTCGACATTAGAGACTTAGCAAGTATAGTAACAGGGGGAGTTGTCGCTCACTTTTTGAGGGCATTTTCCAAAAAGATTCACCGAACATTTTTTACGTCCAAAAATTTCGAATAGAATAAAAATAAAATTAAAATAATTACTTATTGTAATGTGGTATATAAGCGAGGCATTGATTGCGTTTCATTCTTTATCTCAATTTTTTTTTTTAAAAGTGGTTTTAGTTTGTAAAAGGGGATGGACGAAACGGGTGCCGGTACCAAGATTCCAGACGTACCCGAATTCATCCAGCACAGATGGGTACCCGAAATTAGTAAGTTCTGCTGAACACAGAACATCTGTGTGGTGGACCAACTTTGTCATTATCATTTTAAAAAAATAGAATTCTTTCTGACATGAGTTCTCCAAATGTGGTTGTTGCCAATATATGCATTAAAATATTACATATAAAGCTGGCATATTGCATATCGTACATGGTCAACCATCTCTAGCCTAAAATCAATCGTAAAGGTCGGTATAATCTACTTTACCTGCGCCTATTTGACCGTCCTCTCCAAAAAAAAAAGCAGTTTCCCATTAAATATTAAAACCAAACTTCCTTAAAAAAAACAACCGAATAAGAATGACCTTTGTCCAGCCTTTAGACCATTGATCACATCCCTGTGAATCTCCCGGCATGCAAGTTTCCACATGAAACCCTTTGTCGTGGTCCCGTAGGAAGTCCTGGTCCGTCATGTGGATAGTACCATAAATCAGCGGCGTGTCCAGTCCATAGATCATGCAGTATGGGCATCGGGGGTAGTAGCCGTCTATGTGGGATACCATTCCATCTGACACAGTGGGTTTGACCTTGGCGACTCCTGTTCGAGAGTTGGGTCAATAGTGATATCTTAATTTAATTTTGAATCATTAAGAGTTTAAGTCACTACTGATATTATATTTTTATTTACAAATACTTGATTGAAAGAATTAAAAATAAAAGCGGTGTTTTCGAAAATTTTGTTTTGGTATTGCTGTTAGATTCCACCAGAGGCGTATCCAGGTTTTCGTTGTAGGGGGAGCGAAAAGAGCAAAAAAAGGCGCCGAATTTTTAACACGTTCTATATACGCATATCATTACTAGCTGTATGTCATTACTTCGCTATGATGTAAAATAAATTGAAAGTAGCACTCTGAAGAAATAAGAAAACACACAATGTAGGCCGACAAAACAAAAATTGTATCAATCTAAACAAAAAAACAAACAAAATATACACATACTACAACCAAAAACAATGAATGTAACACAATCTGTTTTGTAATTCTTGTAAAAAAATTCTTACATAATAATTCCTGGGAAATTATTTAAGACAAGTGAAATAGGGGAAATAATCACTGTCTTAATATAAATATGTATATATCTACACATTTAATTATAAATGTCAAAACAAATAAATAATTACTTTAGAATATAATGAAATTGTTTAACACTATTCGTGTTTACAAAATGTTTTTGTCTATAATCAGAATTAAATATATCGTCATCATAAATGCTAAAGTATTACAGCATAATGAAACTTTTTGAAATCAGAGTTGGTATAAAAGAACGCTTTTCAATATAAAAGAAAATCTGCGATATAAACGTAAGTTTGAAAGCGGACTTTAAACCCCAAAACAACAACATAAAAGAAAAACATTCGGAATAACAACCTACATTTTACTAAAGATCGGTCATTTAGTTTAGATTATATATTTTTCAATTAAGTACTACTTCTTTGTGTTCTTTAACGAAATTTTTTTAACATAGTGATAGGTATGGGTTAGATCACTGTATTGCTCACACACCTTTTTACTGTCCGGTCACTTTAGGTCAATTACCCAACCCAGTGTATACCTAGGTGTGACATTAATGTCGCTCTGCACAATTGTGGTGGTGAGGTGTGGGGGAGGGGGGGGGAGATAACCAACTCAGAGTGAACATAGCGTCAGTTTTTAGATGACTGTTCTAAACATACATATATATATATATTACACATGTATACTGATTCAGAAATAGATTTAAATAAGGAGCAGTGGTATTATGACAATATTTTTTTTCTACAGAGGGGTCCATGGGGGAGGAGGGTTGTAACTGTTTCATATAATTTGTAATCGTATCACTATCGCCATAACTGTAATAATACTACTACTTCATCGTGATGACGTTGTTGAACTTGTCAAAATTTCCCCACCACTACGCAGCTTGCCCATAAGTAAATTTAAATAGAGGTGTCACATCAGATGTATTTGTTTCTGTATTGTAATTTTCAAAAAATTAATCACACGATTTAAACTGTATATACAAAGTAATTATGTGTGAAGTTTTATGTATAACATTTTCTAATGCAATTATTCTTAAGCAAATACATTATACAGTTGCCTTAAACTTAACACCCCTCTTGCCAAGTGGTACTAACGGTAGAGGTTATTAAAAAAAATACCAATGCATCGGAATGGTTATTTTTAGAATGGCAAACTGATGCAGCTGTTAATACTTGTTGTAAACGTAGACACTACTAGACTAGTACAATAATGCTTAATTGCTGCATGAAAAGAAATCTTGTGATTTACACAAATCTTGATGTGCCGACCAAAAATATTTTTTTTTACAAATATCATTGTTTAAAACTTTGAGTTTGAAAAGTTTCCAAAAAGGCGTCACTTTACTGAAAATGGCCAGAAGGGGAGCGGCAGCTCCCCCTGCTCCCCCCCCCCCCCCCTGCGTACGCTACTGGATTCCACATTAGAAATAAGGTTATTCTGAAACCAGGCATTATTTCAAAGCTGGAGTAGATGACAGACGCCTGGATTTGGATATTTGACCGCCCTTCTATTCACAAGTATGGAGAATTTATTACAGGCCTATATTTTTACTCAACATTCTTCATCTTTCTCCGTCGGTGCCTGGACACACTAGGCCATCCTCAGAATGTTGTTCCCATTTCTGCTGGTCTTTGACAATTACTTGGTAGTTCCCCGAGGTTGTCCGTTTCTTGTCAGTGGAATCTCAGCTCATGTCTCCCTTAGTCTACACGTCTTCCCTCGTGGTGTCCAACTTACAGCCATGATGGGATTTCTACTGGCTTTATTCCAAATCAACAAAATCCACTTGCCCCTTTCATCACCATCCACTTTCCCCAACCATCCCCATCCACTTTCCCCATCCATTTTCCCCATCCACTTTCCCCATCCATTTTCCCCGTCCAATTTCCCCATCCATCCCCATCCACTTTTCCCATCCATTTTTCCCATCCATCACCATCCACTTTCCCCAACCATCCCCATCCACTTTCCTCATCCACTTTCCCCAACCATCCCCATCCACTTTCCCCATCCACTTTCCCCATCCCCTTTCCCCATCCACTTTCCCCATCCATCCCCATTTACTTTCCCCATCCATTTTCCCCATCCATCCCCATCCACTTCCCCCATCCATCACTATCCACTTTCCCCATCCATCACCATCCACTTTCCCCATCCACTAGCACCTTTCATCTCATATCCTCTATCTCGGGAGCACAAAGGGCAAAACTTCGCAAGCCAAGCTAAATTGTTGATATCTTCTTCCGTGCAGACCATGTCATTCAATCATCCCTGTATCGTTTCACATTGCCCGACAATTTTTTGCTGCTTCATTTTACTTGTCTATTAGAAGCTCGGTTGATGTCTCCCTGTTGATCTCTGATGTTGATCTGGTGTTTTGTGCATGTGAATTCTATCCGTCTACCCACTCCCCATTCGAAATAGCTTTATTAAATACTGTTGGGTGTCATCTATCAACGGAGCTGAGTATTCGTTGAATAGTTCTGAGCCATGCTAACAAAAGCGGTCTCGTTATAAGATGAAGGAACTTAGTTGTGGAACAATGCAAGAGTCTGAGCCATACTGAATGCTTGGTGGTCTAGGGCTTGTTGTAAGATAATAATACAAAGTGGACATTAAAATAGAGCCAGCACTTAAGTATGCAGTAATATAGATAGTGCTAATACAATGATTTACTTTATAATAGGAGCATACTCACCATTTGAATAGGGTTGGTGGTTGAAACCAGATGGCACAGTTATGTGACCACGGCCTGTTATATATATATATATATATATATATATATATATATATATATATATATATATATATATATATATATATATATATATATATATATATATGTGTGTGTGTGTGTGTGTGTGTGTGTGTGTATGTATATATATATATATAATATTATATATATATATATATATATATATATATATATATATATATATATATATATATATATATATATATATATATATATATATATATATATATATATATATATATATATATATATTATATATACATGAGTATATACATATATATGTGTATGTGTATAAACAACTAAGTAATAGTTCCGGAACAGAAAAAAAAACAACAGTACGACACAATACTGAACATATGAGGTGAGTAGAACGTAAATGAATGGAAGAATTGATTGTCTTTTTGCACGTGAGCACACTAGAATTCCCGTGCCTCTCTGTGGTGCTATAGTATTAATTGTTTTTGTCGGGAGGGTAGAGCAAAACAGAACAGAACCAAAGAAATACAACAAAACAAAGACAAAACAAAAGAAAATATCTTCTTTTTCAGGTTAAAGTATCTTATAAAGCATTTATCAAATGCAATGTCTTAAGTTAAAGGCAAATATTAAATTTTATTTAAAATACATCATGAAAACAGCAACTTGCAGAAAAAAAAACCCGTGACTTAACGAATCATCCCTGACTTATCAACCTACGAACCATTTGACTTATAATAAACTTATGAACCATCCCTAACTTAACTACTGCCGGAACAATCCTATTTATAAACTTACGAATAATCTCCGAGACGTTTAGGTCATGACTATGTATAGTTTCGTCCTCTATCAACCCAAAACGTATTCGTATCAAAGACAACCTGGTGTCGTTGGCTTGTAAAAGATCTTTGGGAATTGTGCAGACGAATGATTTAAGCTCATCGCCTTGGCAGTAACATGAGGTGTATATGATATATCCAGTTCTGGTACAGGTATGTGTATAGAATTCTTTACGGAAAAAATGAATCTAGTTTGGGAAAGCAAAATTGAATTAATTTATACTTAATACACATTCTAATAATAATATCGAATTGAAAGTAATTTTTAAAAAATAAATTAAATTAAATTGTGATTAAGATCCGGCACACACATACACAAAACAAAGTCTTCAAACTCAGAAGAAAATCTCCAGCGGGTGTCCTAGACATAAAAATTGTAAGATATATAGAAGGTTTTTTTTTTGCCAGTTCAATGGATGGTTAAAAAATATTTTTAATTACATAATGATGATCGCGGCAAGGGGGGGGGGGGGCGGAACCATGAGGTAAACATGCAAACTATAGAGAAAACAATACTACACTCAGCTGTAGTAACAACCGACCATAGATAAACATCATTAGTATTAAATGTAAACACTTTAAAGCTTTTAAGGGGGTGGAAGTGACACCAACTACATAATTTACAGAGAGAAAAAAATGGGGGGGGGGGTGACACCATGAGGTGCCGCATAGAGTGACACCCAACCTAGCGACGCCACTGCCTAGGCCGAACCCTTGCAATGACTCGAAGAACCCCCCGGGTTTTGATCGAACCCAGATTAAGAACCACTATGGTAGAGGATGTGGAATATCGAAATTTCTACGAGGAATTACAGCACTACTAATAATAAAATAATGAAATGAATAGGGCAAACCAGCAAACGCTTTCTACCTCAGTCACAACACAGTAGAACAGTTCAAAGCCACAGTTTGGGGAGTCTCACCTATCTGCTCCACCCAACAAAGATAATGGCGGACCGGACTTGGGGCAGAGTTTCTTCCAGGCTTCTCATCGGGGGGGGGGGCGAAGAAAGTCTACCCCCACCCCCGCAACGAAATTGAATTTATCTAGAAAACATAATTTTACCAGTGTTCGCCCCAACCCCACACCACCCCCCGGAAAATTTAGTCCACACCCCCCCCCCTCAAATATAACCATGCGGACATGTTACCCCCGAGGGTAAATTACCAGCTTCCACTCGCACTTGTTAGCGCGTTCTTGGGCGTACGTGCATCCTTCAATGGCGAACATCCTGAAGCGGAACTGCAGCAGATCCATACTAGGCAGCGCCATCGTGCCGTAGAACGAGAGCCCGCTCTCTCCCAATGTCATGCAGGCGATGCACATCGGGTGGTAACCGTCGATGGAGTGAATGACTCCATCGTCATCAGCGATTGCCGGGTCTGTAAAAAAAAAAATATACCCATTACTTAAAACGTTTGATAGGTAAAGATTAAAAAATATTATGAACCAAAGTCCGATTTAATTTATTTTTTTACTGATTATTCAGTAACGTTTTTTCAGTAGAAAGTGCGAGAAAAAGCGGATATTTGAAGTTTGTGTACGCGACTGACTGTTTCTTTGACGCATTTCTTCAGGTGGGGGGGGGGGGTTCAAGTGCCGCCCCCCCTCCCCTTCCCCCGAGAATAAGTCTGAAAGAAATATGGCGAGTGACACGTCAATTATACTTACCGTCAACTTGAGGGGGTGGATGAAAATCTTTTACAACGATCATGTGACCTTGATCTATCAAATGAAATTACGGTATATATATATATATATATATATATATATATATATATATATATATATATATATATATATATATATATATATATATATATATATATACATATATATATACATATATATATATATATATATATATATATATATATATATATATATATATATATATATACCGTAATTTTGTGACGGTGGGTGTGTGATGAGGTGGACGTCACACTTTTGCATTATCAAAAAGCAATGTTAGAAAACGAATTTTAGACGTTATTTTGCGTTTAATAAAATTGTTTTAATAAATTGTAATAGGAATCAAATCCAAAGTAAGACTAACAGTTCTATATAACTACGGCGTTTTGTTCTAAAGCACGTATGTCCTTCTGCCTAGTGGCGGCACTAGGTCGGGTGTTCCCCGGTGCGGACCGCACCCCCCACCCCTGCCACTATTTCCACTTATCCTTAATTTTTTTAAAGTTAATCGCAAATTAAGATAGCTATTTCTAGCTTTCCAAACAACTTAGTACATTAATTTAAACAACGTCCTCTAAGAAAAAAATATTTCAACATTTTTACATTACTCTAAACATCATGCTTAATCCACAGTGTTTCTTCCAGACTTTTTTCTCCATGCACTTGATATTATTTTCGGGGCGGTAGACTTTCTTTGGGGCAGCTCCGCCCCCCCCCCCCCCCCCCCCCCCCCAGCCCCCGAAGAGTTGCCTTGAAGAAACTCTGTTAATCCATGAATGTTAATCCATTTAAAATAATAAAGTTCGAACGAGAAGGAGTTAACATGTCAATAAACTTACCAATCACATCTTTAATTTTCAACACCGCTCTGTCGGGGACTGAATCGTTTGAGCGAGCATCCCCGAAACGAATTCGCGCCATATAATGTTGGCCGATGTCACTTTGGAAAAGCACGCGCGAAATTCTGGCGTAGAATCGCATTGGTGAAGTTTTACTGCAGGCGCAGCGGACCGTAACGTTAGTCTCGCCGCTACATCCGGTATAGATTACGGACCGGAAACTGCATAACTAATGAGGAGAGAGGAAAAACTGTATAATTAATGTGGAGAGAATAAACTATATTACTAATGAGGACAGAAAAAAACTGTTCAAATAAACCGGGAGTGATCTCCCCTAAACTTTCTCAAATATTCTTATATAAAACAACAGGGGATGGGAACTCGGGCTATAGACATGATTTTTAATCCATTTTAAATACTTAAGGTTTTAAAAATAGAATAAAATCTCGTAGACAAAATAATTGCACACCAAGTGAACGCCAAATAAAAAATGCATAATAGTGCGCAATATTATTAGTACTTTAAAAATTTACATTAGTTTTTTGAGAAATCGGAAGTAGCGTAAATTACTACTTCCGGTCAACGGAAATTACTCAAAATTTAACAGAAGGTAGAAAATTAGAACTTTTACTCACATGTGAAATTTCATTTATCTATCTGAAATAGTACTCAAGTTATAGGCTTTTGAAAAATTCAAAGTAGAAAAAGTACCACTTCCGGTTATCGGAAATCGCTCAAAAGTTGATACGGATCTACGATTTTGATAAAATACTTATATATGAAATATCATCAACCTAGCTGTAACGGTACCCAAGTAATCGTGTTTACACACACACAGACAGACACACAGACATACGGACAGGATTGCAAAGCTCAGTTTTTCAGAATGGATTACGCATAAAACCTCTTAATTTTGATAAATCTGGATTGATAATTTTTGCCTGATTAAAATAAGTCCTCTATACTTCGGATGTGATGAAGGACTGAGGTGTAATACGGTGAAAAATTGTTAAAATTTCAAGAGATTTTTTTGCACGATTACAATACTTTCTCTATACTTCGTATATACGAGAAAGTAAAAAAGGAAAGTAAAAAATGTTTAATTATGAGGAGATAAAAACAGTACAACGAATGAGAAGAGAGAAAAAAACAGTATAACAAATGAGGAGAGAGAAAGCGGTAGGCGTATAATTATTGAGGAGAGGGGAAGAAAATTGTATAATGAGGAGGGACAAAACTTCATAACTAATGAGGAGAGAGGAAAAAAAACTAAAATTAATGAGACAGAGAAAAAAAAATAATGAGACAGTGAGAAAAAAGACTAAAATTAATGAGACGGTGAGAAAAAAAACTGTAAGATTAATGAGACAGTGAGAAAAAAAAACTGTAAAATTAATGAGACAGTGAGAAAAAAACTGTAAAATTAATGAGACAGTGAGAGAAAAACTGTAAAAATAAATGAGAAGGTGAGAAAAGACTGTAAAATTAATGAGACAGTGAGAAAAAATACTGTAAAATTTAATGAGAAGGTGAGAAAAAACTGTAAAATTAATGAGACAGTAAGAAAAAAACTATAAAATTAATGAGACAGTGAGAAAAAAAACTGTAAAATTTAATGAGAAGGTGAGAAAAAACTGTAAAATTAATGAGACAGTAAGAAAAAAACTGTAAAATTAATGAGACAGTGAGAAAAAAACTGTAACATTAATGAGACAATGAGAAAAAAACAACTGTAACATTAATGAGACAGTGAGAAAAAAAACTGTACAAATTAACTGTATAATTCTCCGCCTACCACAGGGTGATTGTAACTATAGCTCAAAACACCTCATGTAAAATACTTGACCTGATACCAATCTAGAGGATTCCTGCAGTGTTTGTGGCTGTTCAACTCCGGGTTACACAACTCAAATACGAACGACTTTTCGTTGCCCTCCAATTGTTGAACACTTGGTAGGTGCATGGTGCCGTAGATCACCAGGGCGCCCTTCCCATACCGCAAGCACCCCCTACACGCTGGTAGGTAGCCGTCAATCTGCGCAAACACTTTCTCTTCACTGAAAGATCCTAGGTATGTAATTTAAAAAATGTAAGGTGTAGGACATAATGCGACATCTTTAAGTCCGACAATGACATCAGGCCTGAAACATAAAAGGCTGACTCGGAAATAATGCCCGAAATATAAAAGGCCGACGCGGAAATAAGGCCGACATCTTGGTCATTTGTAAGGGGTCGGCGTGGTCGAGTCGGTAAAGCTGATGGTTGCTAAACCGAAAAGTCTCGAGTTCGAATCATCGGGCAGATGAGGTTCGTTAGACTAAAAAATTAAGAACGAAGAAGGTCATTTGTTAATGTTTGGCTGTTGTCAATGGTGGCCTTTTGTACATGTCCTTTTTATCCGTCGGCTTTTTCCCATATCGGTATTTTGTCTTTGTCGGCGTTTTATTCAGATCGTCTTGATGACTAGACGGCTCTTGGTGTAAATGAAACTCTACTGCGTCCCTGAGTTTGATAAATGTTAGGATATGGTCAGCAAAATGTATGAGTTGGTTAAATGTTGGGATAATGTGGTCAGCACAATGTATGAGTTGGTTAAATGTTGGGATAATGTGGTCAGCACTAAAAGTTGGGTAAATGTTGGGATAATGTGGTCAGCACAATGTATGAGTTGGGTAAATGTTGGGATTATGTGGTCAGCACTATGAGTTGGGTAAATGTTGGGATAATGTGGTCAGCACAATGTATGAGTTGGTTAAATGTTGGGATAATGTGGTCAGCACTAAAAGTTGGGTAAATGTTGGGATAATGTGGTCAGCACAATGTATGAGTTGGGTAAATGTTGGGATTATGTGGTCAGCACTATGAGTTGGGTAAATGTTGGGATAATGTGGTCAGCACAATGAATTGGGTAAATGTTGGGATAATGTGGTCAGCACAATGTATGAGTTGGGTAAATGTTGGGATTATGTGGTCAGCACTATGAGTTGGGTAAATGTTGGGATAATGTGGTCAGCACAATGTATGAGTTGGTTAAATGTTGGGATAATGTGGTCAGCACTAAAAGTTGGGTAAATGTTGGGATAATGTGGTCAGCACAATGTATGAGTTGGGTAAATGTTGGGATTATGTGGTCAGCACTAAAAGTTGGGTAAATGTTGGGATAATGTGGTCAGCACTATGAGTTGGGTAAATGTTGGGATAATGTGGTCAGCACAATGAGTTTGATAAATGTTACGATAATGTGGTCAGCACAATGTCTGAGTTGGTTAAATGTTGGGATAATGTGGTCAGCACAATGTCTGAGTTGGGTAAATGTTGGGATAATGTGGTCAGCACTAAAAGTTGGGTAAATGTTGGGATAATGTGGTCAGCACTAAACGTTGGGTAAATGTTGGGATAATGTGGTCAGCACAATGTATGAGTTGGTTAAATGTTGGGATAATGTGGTCAGCACAATGTCTGAGTTGGGTAAATGTTGGGATAATGTGGTCAGCACAATGTGTGAGTTGGTTAAATGTTGGGATAATGTGGTCAGCACAATGTATGAGTTGGTTAAATGTTGGGATAATGTGGTCAGCACAATGTCTGAGTTGGGTAAATGTTGGGATTATGTGGTCAGCACAATGTGTGAGTTGGTTAAATGTTGGGATAATGTGGTCAGCACTAAAAGTTGGTTAAATGTTGGGATAATGTGGTCAGCACAATGTGTGAGTTGGTTAAATGTTGGGATAATGTGGTCAGCACTAAAAGTTGGGTAAATGTTGGGATAATGTGGTCAGCACTAAACGTTGGGTAAATGTTGGGATAATGTGGTCAGCACAATGTATGAGTTGGTTAAATGTTGGGATAATGTGGTCAGCACAATGTGTGAGTTGGTTAAATGTTGGGATAATGTGGTCAGCACTAAAAGTTGGTTAAATGTTGGGATAATGTGGTCAGCACAATGTATGAGTTGGTTAAATGTTGGGATAATGTGGTCAGCACAATGTCTGAGTTGGGTAAATGTTGGGATAATGTGGTCAGCACTAAAAGTTGGGTAAATGTTGGGATAATGTGGTCAGCACAATGTATGAGTTGGTTAAATGTTGGGATAATGTGGTCAGCACAATGTCTGAGTTGGGTAAATGTTGGGATAATGTGGTCAGCACTAAAAGTTGGGTAAATGTTGGGATAATGTGGTCAGCACAATGAGTTTGATAAATGTTACGATAATGTGGTCAGCACAATGTCTGAGTTGGTTAAATGTTGGGATAATGTGGTCAGCACAATGTCTGAGTTGGGTAAATGTTGGGATAATGTGGTCAGCACTATGAGTTGGTTAAATGTTGGGATAATGTGGTCAGCACTATGAGTTGGTTAAATGTTGGGATAATGTGGTCAGCACTAAAAGTTGGGTAAATGTTGGGATAATGTGGTCAGCACAATGTATGAGTTGGGTAAATGTTGGGATTATGTGGTCAGCACTATGAGTTGGTTAAATGTTGGGATAATGTGGTCAGCACAATGTCTGAGTTGGTTAAATGTTGGGATAATGTGGTCAGCACTATGAGTTGGTTAAATGTTGGGATAATGTGGTCAGCACAATGTGTGAGTTGGGTAAATGTTGGGATAATGTGGTCAGCACAATGTCTGAGTTATTTAAATGTTGGGATAATGTGGTCAGCACTATGAGTTGGTTAAATGTTGGGATAATGTGGTCAGCACTATGAGTTGGGTAAATGTTGGGATAATGTGGTCAGCACAATGTATGAGTTGGTTAAATGTTGGGATAATGTGGTCAGCACAATGTATGAGTTGGTTAAATGTTGGGATAATGTGGTCAGCACTAAAAGTTGGGTAAATGTTGGGATAATGTGGTCAGCACTATGAGTTGGTTAAATGTTGGGATAATGTGGTCAGCACAATGTATGAGTTGGTTAAATGTTGGGATAATGTGGTCAGCATAATGTCCAGCGAATTTATTGTCAGCACTTAGAGTCAGGTAGACTAGCTTCGCCCCCCCCCCCCCCCATCTCGATCAGATGCCTGAAAGAAACTCTGAATTAAACACTAAACTTACGTCTTAGGGCTACTTTAATTAACTTACCTGTAATTATGAAACAGAAAAAGAAAACACTGATGCAACACTGCATTATTTCTTTAGCTTATTTTAAATTTTACTCTATCTATTTACTCTATATATTACGTTATTTTGTATCTAATCTAAATTTGTTAGTACTGAAATAAATGGTTTCCTAATAGTATTGTATTAAACACCAGAATATCAGTGTGTTCAAAGCTTTAGTTTAATCTAGACCACCTTTATTACTTTACAAAAATCATTAGATCTATTATTTAACCGGTTTTATTAAGTAGAAATGTTAGAAATGGTGTTCAACATTGCGTTGTTAACGATAATAATAAGGGTTTCCAAGGAAGTAAGAGCAATACAAAATAACATTAAAAACAAAGGAAAAAATGGAAAAGTACGGAATAAATATTCGTAAAATTTAAATGGAATAAGGGAATGAATTTTGCTTCAAAACAATGTGCCTAAGCGTGCAATGAAGACAGTGTGTGCAAGTGTTGTGAGCAAATGTCTTTGACGTACGGACACTTCAGCAGATGGATTTTTAATCTAAAGGATAGCGTACATATTATAGGCCTGTAATAGAAAAGTAGTCTCGTGACATTTATGATCCACAATCTACCCCAAATTACGTTATATGTGACATTTTCTTAAACCACCACCGTAATATTGTATAAAATTTCTAGTTCTAGGAGTAAACCCGTGTCGTCGTCGTCCCCCCCCCCCCCCCCGCCCCGCACTCACCACAAACACAGGATTATTAAAAGCATTTTATTCTACCGGAGGGGGGAGGGATGGAGGACGTGTTAAAGTATATTTTTTTCACAAAGAGTTTTTTTTAGCGCCAGTCTTACTACTGAAATTGACAACTTGGCTGATGCGTTATTTTGTATTTGAACCGCATATTGGACTCAATTCCTTATTCACATCTTTCGTAAACCTGCTGTAACTCTAAACCACACCACTGTTTGTAACTGCATCTCAGAGCTTCAGAAAGGCCCACAAATGACGTCATGTGTCCGCCCACCAACTACGTCATGTGTCCGCCCAAACGTTTACTCTTACTCGTGCATACAATTAGCAAATAACACTGACAACATAGCATTTACCCAGGCCACCGTGCCCTGAATACCTTTAATAAACTGTCAGTGTTCTTACCCACCCGACAATTAAAAGTGAAACCATTTACTTTGAGATATACCATGTAGGGTCTCGAAATTTTTTCAGAGAGCCTTTTTTTTCTCTAGTGCCACCACTGTTCATACGATTTACGTTCATACCCCTCCCCTGAAAAGTTATTTTTAAAACTAAAATTTAGCAGTATTTGTACACATTGAGGATACATAATTTTATGAAATTATCGTGAAAATTGATCAATGAATAAAATATTAATGCAGATTTGGGAAGAAATAAAATTTTGCCATGCAAAGAAAGATAACTCACTATTTTATTTTTTAGCAAAATTATTCCATAGGTTAATTCCCCTTATGAATTTTTAAAAAATAAAAAAATAAACGGGACAGCATAGAGGTCTAGATTTTTTACAAAAAAAGTAGTAGAATCTAAATATTACAGTGGCGTAGCCAGGATCGTCTCAAGGGGGGGAGGGTTCCAATTTTTACCCGGGGGAAAATTTTCGATTTGCAACCCCCCCCCCCCCCCCCACCGTCAAACTTTCGATTTGCACCCCCCTCATACTTTTTGTATATATACCGAGGGGTCTATGGGGGGGGGTTATGACCCCCCTAACCCCCCCCCCCCTGCCTACGCCACTGAAATATAACAAATAGTATCTACACAAATTTTTAACAAAGTATATTCAAAAAACTATATAATAACAAGTTATTACAAAACAATGCACTAAAAATTAGAAAAAAAAAATAAAAAATATTTATAATCATAAATTACTATTTTAATAACTATATTAACGCATGGATCATTTTTAAAATTTTAGTAATGGCATTCAATACATAAAACAGTAATAATTGTGAGGATTAGATTAGATAATCTATTTTAACTTGTTGTTTATTGTTAATTGGAAACGAGTATTTCATTTTTTTAAAGTGTATAAATTAATGGCTAACATTATTTTGATATGCAATAAGTAATTTTTCTATTCACAAGGTAAATAACTATTTTGCTGGTCATGGTACAAGCCCTGCTATTTAAAACTATTTGAACTCCTACCAGGGGTTCAAACCTCAGGGCTGTTGAAAATAGTTCCCATCTGGGAATTCTAACACAGTGGTCTAAAGCCTGCCATGCTTAAGCCTCATGCAGCTCGTTACATAATTAATTACAGCTCCTTTATTTCACATAAAAGTGTGGTATTATAATATATACAAAACTTTTTTTTTCTTATTTAGTTTCTTGGATCGGAAAAAAAAAATTCTAGTTCTGCCTTTAAAATATTTTTTGCAAAAATAATCGGTAATCATATAGAAGAAATGTTGATTTAAAGATGAGTATGTATATCTATATCTAATTTTGTATCTTAACTTTATACATTTTAAAATTGTGCACCTAATTATTGTATGTGAATTATGCCAATGATCCTTCTAGTTGATAAACCCCAGTAATAATTTTAAGACCTTTGAAACAACTTATAAAATAACAGAAATACATCAAAATTAAAAAAACTCTGAAAAACTCCAATTGTAGCAATTTTATTTTTTGAAAATGCAAATTGAAAGTATAATTTATATAAAATATAAATGAACACTTATTGCAGTAAATTACACAGTACAAAAAAAATTAGAAAAACAAAATGTACTTATTTTGTAAGTTAGCAAAAACTACATTAATCTAGTTGAAGAGCCTCATATTATGGATTTCAAAAGCGAAAAGTAGTTTCTAAATTAAAACAAATCTTACATTGATGAAAATATATGCTGTTATAATAAAAATGATTTTACAATCTTATGAACATATGTGATATGTATTTGACTGTCAGATATAAAATCTATCACAGTTTCAAATAAGTTTTAAAGCCTCAGATATTAACAAAAACAGTTGTTTGTTGGGTGACCAAATCTGACTAACTCATGTCATGTATTCAAGTGTTATAGATTTCTTGTTCTTTACACCTCAATACAAACAAATAATTTCATGTTTTTTTTTATACCTTCATACAAACAAAATAAATTGCTTTTTTTTTTGCCTTAAAATTAATTTAAATTTTTTTTATACTTTACTCAAAATAAATTAAATTTTGTATTTATTTTTATACCTTACTCGAAGCAAAATAAAATTGTTTTTCCTATGTATTTTTTGTTTTAATACCGATAATCTTACTCAAAAAGTAATAAATCTAATTAATCCCCCCCCATCCCAGTCTACCTTGTCAGTCTGCCAACTTAGTTCATCAACAACTGAATAAAGATTTCCCTTTCAGTAATTATAACCAATTACAAAGTCAATCTCATTGATTGTTTAATTATAACTAAAAAAAAAATATTTAAAAATTGACTCCTTTAATAACTGAGTGTTGAAGTATCATAATATCATTCTAGGGAAAATAAAATTTGTGCTAATCCATTAGAAGCAGGTGAGCCAAATATATTTGTTGGCCTTCATAGAGTTAAACATCATTAATACAAACACTACAACAATACAATTTTAACTACCAAAATAGCTTTCTAAAATAGTTACTGGCTTTGTACTACGTATACCCTCTTGTTAACAAAAAGTAACATTAAAAAACAATTTAACCAAAGATTTTAGGCTAAAAACAAGATTGAAATTATAGAGTTAAAAATAATAAATTTAATTTCTAATAAAATGAAAACCAAAAACTTTGCGCACAAATATCCCTATTACTCATTAATGTTAAACATTATTTAATTTTAATTTTACAAAATTGTTGAATATTTTCTAACAGATGAGTCAATCTTTAGAAGCTTAAAATACCAGAAATGTTCCTTGATGTAACCCAAATCTAAACAAGGTGTTTGTTCACTTGTAGTTACCTTTCTTGAAATATTTTATTCAGTAAACCCTGAAATTAGCATTAAACAAGCTATAAATAACCCTGTGTTAAGGGGTAAATAGAACAGCAGATATTGTGGATAGATCAATTACAATCACCAGTAACAAATAACATTTTGTAAAAACACATTCTGTTACATACCTAACAAAAATATCTTAAGAAACTTTTTTGATCGACTACTAAAATTCCTACTGAGTATATTTTAAACAGTCAAATTAGGAGATAATTTAAAAAATGAGCTAAAAACTTAAAACATTTCACAATTTGCATCTAGAAAGCTCTAAAACAAAATTAAATTAATTAAATATAAAAATTCTTTTTCATAAAAGAATTAAAACAATTTGAGCTCACACAATAAATTAAACATCAATTATACAAAACTTCCAAAAGCATTTTTATTTCATTAATTTAAAATATTAATCGTTGATATAAAGAGAACACAAAATTAAATAGTTTGGACTTCAAGAATAAATTAATTAATTAGTTGTCTTAAGTCCACTCATTAAATTATGCTTTTAAGTAACCACGATGCAGGAAACATAATCCCTTATGCAACAAAGGAAGTAAAAAAAAACATTTTTTTAAAAATATATACACCAAAATGATTGATAAAATGACAGATCAAGCATTACAACAAAACATTATTGAAACAGCTGTACAGAATGAGCAATAGAAGGGTATGTACATATGTAAAATACTGAACTTACTGTAAGATGGGCTGCTCATGACTGAGATATGGCAAAGTGAAATGGAATGATAAAATGAGATGCGGCTAACATAAAATACAGTAAACCTAACAACTGTTATTTTTCCAATTAGGCCCTGCTTAGTCTGTCTTGATAGTAATTAATTTCTATTTTTAAAACTAACATAAAATACAGTAAAACTAACAACTGTCATTCAGGACATATATTTTTTCATTTGGGCCCTGCTTAGTCTGTCTTGATAGTAATTAATTTCTATTTTTAAAACTAACATAAAATACAGTAAAACTAACAACTATCATTCAGGACATATTTTTTTCCAATTAGGCCCTGCTTAGTATGTCTTGATAGTAATTAATTTCTATTTTTAAAACTAACATAAACATTGAAACAACATGAATACGCACTAATGTGGTAAAAAGGGAAGTGGAATGAAGAAATGAAATACAACCAACATTCAACACAGTGAATCTAACAGTTAACATTACATTTTTTGCTAGGCCTGTGGACTCGTTTGTGTCAATCTTGTAATTAATAAAGTAAACAAAACAGGAAACAATGTAATAAGCATGTATCCAAAAGCTAAAAGTATTTTATCTACATAGTTGAAAAAAATTACATTACAGAAATAATTACTTTGTAATCCTAAAATTTTCAAGTAAAATAAATATACAGTTGGATGATAAACAGATCCAATTATGAGAAAAAATTAATTAGAAGACATGACAAATTAAGTACACCACCTTCTTTAAAATATACCTTTCATTTTAAATAGAATGTCCAAAAAAGATTGTAATATAATTACTGACCAAGTTGTTTTTAGATAAAAGTCACTAGTTAAACAGAAAAATAACTCCAGTAAAATTCAACATCAATAAGCATAATTTGCTAAACAGTTCTGAAAAAATATATTGTAGAACTTCTAGAAAAAAAGCATCTACAATGATTTTTACAACACTTCCGAAAATTATAAGCAATAATAAATATTTTTCAAAATGTATTTTACATAAATATTTGTAAGTTGCAATTAATACAATTATTAAAACAAATAAATTATTCTTAAGCACTGAAGCACAAAGAAAGCTTTGGAAGATCCAATTATAATTCCTGAACCCAAACATTTCAATGTTTGCCCTAACACAGGCCAGTCAACATTAGCATGCAAGCTCTCTCCACTAGAAAGGTTTTAACGTCATGCATCTTATAATATAGTTTATTCGATCGTGTAGCTTTATGGTGCTGCAATATTAAGCTGTGCACTCTTTTTTTCATATGCCATAACAAATAAGTACAGTGTACAGCCAACTTTTTTTTTTAATTTAAAAAAAATAATCGTGGCCAATAGTATTTTTGTTAATAATTTTTATCTTATTCAGGATAGAATGTTTTTGAACATAGAAGGGTTTTGATCAATGTCAACCACAGGCAAAAATCAGATCAAAATTATAGGAGAAGAAGCAAAAACAAATTTTTTTTTTAAAGCAAGCAAGCATTTGACTAAATGATCCACTCAACACAGCCATAATGAGCTGAGTTTTGACAAAATGATCCATTTCCCACATCCAAAATTAGCTGAGTTTTGACAAAATGATCCACTGCCCACATCCAAAATTAGCTGAGTTTTGACAAAATGATCCACTGCCCACAGCAATAATTAGCTGAGTTTTGACAAAATGATCCACTGCCCACATCCATAATTAGCTGAGTTTTGACAAAATGATCCACTGCCCACATCAATAATTAGCTGAGTTTTGACAAATGATCCACTGCCCACATCCAAAATTAGCTGAGTTTTGACAAAATGATCCACTGCCCACATCCAAAATTAGCTGAGTTTTGTTTTGAGAGCTTTACCCAGATGTTTGACCTTTGCCCCCAGGCCTTTGTGTTTGATGGTCTCTTCTTTAGACTCCTTATATTCTATCAACCTTTGCATAAACAAACCTGCAAAGATTTTACAAAAGAAAAATCATTTTAGCAACATTCCACTACACCGCATTGTTACACCTATAAAACCCTAAACTTTCTTGCATATAAGTATTTAAAGGTAAATTTATGTATGACACATCCCATGGAATCAAGCTATAGAAATGGTAGGTAAGTTTGTGACAAAAATATATTTTCCAGCCTAACTAAAAATACAATTTGTTCTGAAATTTGTACCCTACTTGTTCTGAAATTTGTACCCTACTCGCTCTGAAATATGTACCCTACTCGTTCTGAAATTTGTAGCCAACTTGTTTTGAAATATGTACCCAACTTGTTCTGAAATTTATACCATACTTGTTCTGAAATGTGTAACCTACTCTATCTGAAATTTGTACCCTACTCATTCTGAAATTTGTACCCTACTCAATCTGAAATTTGTACCCTATTTGGATAGAGACTGGATCATCAGCTAGTTTTTCTCTATGTTCCAAACTTTGTATTTTATATCCCAACAAAAAGCCTGCCCTTACCACTGGTGCCTGCATCATCAGCTAGTTTTTCTCTATGTTCCAAACTTTGTATTTTATATCCCAACAAAAAGCCTGCCCTTACCGCTGGTGCCTGCATCATCAGATAGTTTTTCTCTATGTTCCAAACTTTGTATTTTATATCCCAACAAAAAGCCTGCCCTTACCACTGGTGCCTGCATCATCAGATAGTTTTTCTCTATGTTCCAAACTTTGTATTTTATATCCCAACAAAAAGCCTGCCCTTACCACTGGTGCCTGCATCATCAGATAGTTTTTCTCTATGTTCCAAACTTTGTATTTTATATCCCAACAAAAAGCCTGCCCTTACCACTGGTGCCTGCATCATCAGATAGTTTTTCTCTATGTTCCAAACTTTGTATTTTATATCCCAACAAAGAGCCTGCCCTTACCACTGGTGCCTGCATCATCGGATAGTTTTTCTCTATGTTCCAAACTTTGTATTTTATATCCCAACAAAAAGCCTGCCCTTACCGCTGGTGCCTGCATCATCAGATAGTTTTTCTCTATGTTCCAAACTTTGTATTTTATATCCCAACAAAAAGCCTGCCCTTACCACTGGTGCCTGCATCATCAGATAGTTTTTCTCTATGTTCCAAACTTTGTATTTTATATCCCAACAAAAAGCCTGCCCTTACCACTGGTGCCTGCATCATCAGCTAGTTTTTCTCTATGTTCCAAACTTTGTATTTTATATCCCAACAAAAAGCCTGCCCTTACCGCTGGTGCCTGCATCAGTTTTTTCAATGTGCTGCTCCACAAACATCTCAAACATCTGGGTCTCTGTGAACCACTCCAGGAACTGCCTCACTTCTTTAGACACCACCTCGATGATGAAGTTCTCTTTCTGAAACCAGACAATGTTCCAGTTTATTTTATTTTTTGCAGGGGATCTATAGAAAGTGAAGCAAGGACTGTGGGGGTGTAATGGGCCAAACTGAAGAAAGCTGCCCAGAACAAAAGCTGTTGGGAAATTGTAGTTGCAAATGTTTGCTCTATAGGGGCTTCACAGGATCAATTCATGTTAGTCGTCTCATCAATAAAAATTTAAAAACTGGACGAACAGAATCATATCAAGGTGTTTTTCTGCAGATATGGCGATCAGGGTTAGGGTTAGGAGTATGGTTAGGCCAGTGCTAGTCTCTAAAAATGACACTGTCAAAAAAAAGCTTCAGGACAACCTTTGAAATAAATACAAGTCAGAGATTCAAATATTTGAGGTTTGTAGCAATCAATCTTTATATATATCGAAGTATAGTGAAGTAACTCTTTCAGGCCATGCAATTTATGGGGCAGATTAAGTTGAGTTCACCTGTTTCTGCAACCTTAACATATGAAGGGATCATGTAGTCAATACTAGGTCCATCTGCCTTTACTTCACCTTGTAAAGGTGAGTGGAATCAGGGACATTCTATAGACTCAAGTTTATGATCTGAACTCAGACTTTCAGGCTAGCAGCTGTGTGCTCTGCCACCCTACCATGCCATCTTAATTCATTAGTAAACATTATGATAAAATAGCAAGCTCTACCTGAAAGATTCTGTTGCCGTCCTGCTGAGTCTTGAGATGGTTGTTGAAGTGGCCTATGGTTTCTATGAACATGCGGATGAAAGCCTCTGCCACCATTAGCCACTGGGCATTCTGTGCCTCTGCAGGTATGATGAAGTTTAGTGATGGCAAGTAAATAAACTAAAGAATATGACATGGCAATAATGGAGTTTTTAACCAATGCACATTCTGTGCCTCTGTAGATATGATGTAGTTTAGTGATGGCAAGTAAATAAACTAAAGAATATGACATGGAATATGACATATGGAATTTTTAACCACTGGGCATTCTGTGCCTATGTAGGTATGATGAAGTTTAGTGATGGCAAGTAAATAAACTTAAATTTAAGAATATAATATTGCAATGAATGAGTTTCAAGACTGACAAATTGGCTGCACTATTCATCTAAATATTTAACCTAAAAAATTGTACAAAATGAACTTTTTATATCATATCTTTCTCACATTTAAAAAAAATCATAAAGATAAAGAATCATAATAAGGATCATCTGTCATTAAATGTGTTGTGGTTGCATCTGGTTGTTTCTAGAGGTTTAATAGAAACTGTTGTTCCCCACATATTTAAAACATATATACAATTTACATACCTTTTTCTTCAAGTAAAAGTAACATACATATGAGTCTATTTTAAGAAGCTACAATTCGTTGGTTTTTTTTTAAATTCACTTAGAAAATTATAACTAAAAATTACTTAATTATCATAGGATTTAAGTGCTGTAAGAATTACCTGAGTCAATTTTACACATGTTGATGGCTGTCTTTAATGCTCTCTGAACTTTACGAGGTAGAATTGTTGATTCGTCACCTTGAGATTTCACTATGCTCTTTTTGTCCAAGTCTACAATAAACACCTATTAAAAAATAAATGGTACAATTTAACATTTATAAAAGTAACACTTCTCATTTAATGGAGTAATAATATTAAGGAAATAATTTTATCCTGATTTTTAAAAATAAGACAGGGGAGGTAAAAAACATGTATTCCCCTTATTTTCATGTTTATTTCCCTTTCTGTCCCAGGAGATTTAGGCCAGATATTTATGTCAAATTAACAATGTAAAGAAGTACACACTACCTCCTCAACATCCATCTTCAGTACTTGAGGTAAGAAAGCTGACAGCACACCTAGGATGTAAGGCATGGGTGCACACACAACATCCAGCATCTCTGGAGGCAGGAGAGGCACATACACATGTTGCCAGTGAAAGGGGTAGAGAAGAGCTGCCAGGGCATGGACAGTCTGTGTCAGCACACTGAGGAATTGTGGGTAACAAACCATTTGTTTACAAAAATTGTAAATGTCTGAATTTTAAAAAATTTAAGTTGTTTTAGGGATACCAGAATGTTTAATAAAATAATCAATGTTGCTAACATAAATTTAAGATGTTAGTGATAAGAGATAATATTTAATTCCTGAGACTCTTAGAAGAAAAATAGTGCATAAGTTAAAAACCTTTGTTAAATTACTTGAGGCTTCTCAACAACAAAAAAAACTTATTTTAGGAATTGAGAAAACTATCAAAATACCTAGTTTCTCAAAAACTGTTTATTTTATATTTATAGAACTTAATATAAACACTTGAATCTGCTCTAAAATAAATGTGTAATGTTAAAGGTAAATACCTGAGGTTACTAGAACACAAGAGAACTCTCCTCTCCATGACGATTGATGAAAACACCTTCACTAACTTGTCAGTGCCTAAGTAGTAGAGGGGACTCTCATAGTTCACCTGTTAAAAGATAATTTTAAAAAACCTGTTCACGTTGGCTAACATCAGGGATTCTCAACTTACTTGTTTCATATATTTTTCAAACTAGCATACTCAGTTTCAAGCAAAAGATTTTGAACATTGCACCTCAGTATAAATGCATTAAAGAATAGATCAAGCTTTACAAAAAACCAACAGTCGAACACTTTAACGTCCATTCCCCAATATGTTTGAAAATTAAAGTGGGGAAGTTGAAAACTTATGGAAATAAGAGAAATCACAAGTTATGAAAATATTTCTAATGCTAGAGTTCATTATCTCATAAAAAAAACTCGCAACAAAATTGAAAACAGAACTGCACACAGTGCAATAATCTTGGTGAGGTTACAGAAGGAAAATACTTGTATAAAACATTGATTGGGTTTATTCTGATTCTCATCCATATTTAAATGATATTTTCTATTTTAATATTAAGTGTAGCAGAACCTTGTTTAACTTCTTCTTAAGGTAGAAATTATAATATTTTAAAAGTTTGTTAAATCACTTTCAAGAGGTTTAATGGTTAAGTAATTCATTAACTATAATCAATGCTTAAAAATAGCTAATTCTATTTTTGGATCATTGATACAATTCTATATCTTATGTTAGTCCATGATGCAAAATAAATTTGTGTCTTCAAGCTAAAAACAAATCCATTAGTTAAAAAAAATGAAATTTTTAATGTTCCTACAACAACCATGATGAGATTTTAAATTTGACATATCTATTTTCCCCATTTGGTACAAATTACAGTTTGTTACTTTATTTTACATCACACATTTATAAATAGCTTTCATGTAATTGATGAATAAATATTAAATTAATTGTTACAAATTTTGAGGCATTTGTATTTAATTTGGCTAATTATTCTAGAACTCAGGTACTTTTCATCTTGTAACCAAACTATAAGAGGAGTAAAACTATTGCAATAGTGAAGGGAAAAAAATTAACAACTAGATTACTAAAATAATAGGCTAGTAGTCATTTATAATTTAATAGTTTTCATGTAATTTAATCAAATACGAGATCAATTTTAACTATTGAGCTAATATACAAAAAAAAAAGTCTAGGTTTTTTTTTCTAATGAGTACTAAGGAAATATAAATTAAAGAAAACACAGCAAAAAATAAAGAATAAAGAAATAAAAAAACAAGTTAGAGTTTTCCATTATTTCTCCGGTTTAAGTTTTTAACTATCATGATATGGCCAAGTTCTCTTACATTTTCAAGCCTATGGTCTGACGGACGGCTCAAGAAAATGGTCTCCATGTCACTGTTGCTGTCCTGAAATATCATAAAGTCAATGAGGATATCATGCACAATATGCTTTCAAGTGTACAATGTTTATTCACTGGCTAATGCCCAACTATGAAAATGACATGCCAGTCCATGCTTTCAGAAATTTTTATTCACAGCTTTCTATTAAGACAGCATGCTGTCGCAGAAAACTAAACCACTTTTGATAATCATTTTATCACTATTTATACCTGTAATTATTTTAATGTTTTACTTCAATATTTAATTTTTATATACTTGATGTTATTTAAAAATGCATAAAATTTGTTGCTCAATTTTTTCCAATTTATTTTGTTTTAAATATATATCTTATTTTAAATTGTATTTGAATATAGATCAATAACGTACAGAGTGAAAAAAAAAACATTTAACATCATTCTTATGTGGCATAATTGCCAGGTCTTAGAAAAAAGATTGCTCATTTTACACTGATGTATAAAAATTGTATAAAATAATGCAAATAAGCAGCAGAGTGTAAAAAAATTTACCAATGTCCTTATGTGGCAAATCTTGCCAGGTTTCGGGAGAGGTCGGCCAAACGATGCAGCGATGAGCTCATGGGCTAGGTCAGAGGATATCCTACGTCTTTTTTCTATTTCACTCAACAACTGTTTCAAGTAAATAAACGTTAGTTATATGTAACTATTTCTCATGGGTCACTCACTTACATAATAATTTGATAGCATTGTGTTTGAACTCCCAACCAACCCAAGTAAAACAGAGATGTAGTGGAGTAGCTAGACACACCTACGCTTCAGGTAGATTCAACTGTCAAAATAGGCAACTCCTCCTCCTACTCTCCCCCCACCCCCCCTTCCCCAATCCAATACCTACTTCCTTTACTCAAAGATAAAAATTGTCAGAAATTGTACATCAAATCATGAAACTAGCAGCCAAATCATCTATAACCTGATAGAACTAGTAGATTTACTTACTGTATTGTACATGTTGAAGGCATCTATAGGACTGATGATACAAATTACTTCAGGTAGGCTTACATCTGATGGCTGTAGAAGAACACATTTGTTATAAAACTATGATCAACAAAAGTAACTTCTTTACGGAAAAGACAACTACATTAAAAAAACAATAACTATTTAATAAAACAAATAAATTTAGGATTTAATCATTATGTTAAAGAAGAGATAAAATAGAATTGAAAATGTTAATGATATAACTACCTGTATTCTTCTGCAGTAGCCAAACACTCGAGAGCCATCAGCATGTGTCATGACAAAAGAATAAGATTCACTGTTTGAAGAGAAAAAAATGTTTAAAAATTGTCAAGTTTACCTAACATTCACAGGTTTTTTAGTCAAGTTTTTAGAAAACTATGCTAAAATCTGTAAAATTTGACCCTTTAAACTAACCATAACATCTTCATTACAGTAGTTTTTAGAACCTAACTTCTTTTCTTATTATTAATTGTTAATACACATGGGGCTAATAAAGTAGAGTTCATCTGATTCATTGACATCAGCATACGAAGGGATAGTATGGTCAGCACAATGCCCAGCTGCCTTTGTTTCCCTAAGTTAGGTAAGTTAGGTACCCATTAGAGCTGGGTGGACTCAGGGATGTTCCACTGATAAGAACCCGGATTCAAACTTGAGACTTAAGGGTTAGCAGTTTAGCTCTCTACTGCTAGGAGCCTAACTAGATGGTTAAAAAGTCTATCAGATTTTATGCTGGTAGAGATACTATTGCCACTGGATTTTAATTTGAATATTTATTGGATGATTTATTTAAGGACATTTTTACAGTTACAATATGACACTTAATGTCACAAACCATTTATCTCCCCAAGTTTATAAGTAATCTTATTGGCAACATTATTTTGAATATATTTTCTGCAATTCTGGTGTGTACAAAAAAGTAATGCACCAACAAATGCACTGCTGGAATTTTTATTTTATTTTGTATTTCTAGAATTAAACAAAATGAAATAATAATTTAGCTGATGAGTTATAATTAACCAATCAAAATCTATATATATAATTCTCTTCTGGGAGACGCTAGAAAACAAGCTGTAAACGCGCTCCCTACCATCCCCACCCCTACATGGTCTTAGTGAGCTGTGGTTCACGCTATGTTTACCTTCGTGGAGTCGGGTTTAGTGATGGCTATTAGGGGCAGATAATTTAGTTTGAAACGATTTTGAACATTGGGGGGGGGAAGGAGGAAGGGGGGGTTATGTTCCTTAATGAGCTACTTATAGTGTTTTAAAGAAATATTTTCAGTGTCAGCGTTGGTACTGTCGAATTCACAAATTATGAATTACTGAAAAGTAGAAAAAACAACAATTAAATAGCAGCGTATGTTATGCCGCGGGCCGGCTGGTAAGTCTTTAATTCTTACCTTAGAGATGTTACAGAACCAACTTTAAAAATAGAAGCATCAGGAAAACAAAAACTTGGAACAGACAAGTTGCTGGAAACCTAAAAGGGGAGATAAGAAAATCAGTTGAATATAGCAGACATTTTGATGTGTGATAATACATATGATGATTAGTTTCATGCTTTATTAAACACCAACAGTTTCTGAAATTATTTGTAACATAAGTTATATTAATATTAATTAATAAAAGTGTGTTACTGTTTAATATCAAAAATGATTATTAAAAATAAAGGAGTGTTTACAATATTATATGTAATAGTTCTAATTAAGTAAAAAAAGAACTAGTTAAGAAATATAACAATAATCTTGCTGTCCAAACCCAGCTATCAACAATAAATAAAATATATAGAACCAATTGTGTTAGGAAAGTCTTTTACATTTATAAATACAAGTACAGAATCTAACAATTTAACCAACATTAATTCTTTGATTAGTAACTATAAAGATTTGAAAGATTCTAGATTACATTAAAATAACAAAAATACTTTTATTGATTCAGCATTTGAAAATGATTAATGAAATGAATTATCTTTTTAAAAAGAATGTAAAAGATGTAGGAAAGTGAACCAATAAATAGTAATTTTATTTTAAGTTATTAATAAATATGTTACCCCTTAAACAATGTGTTAGTACTATTATAAGGAAAAATAATTTAGACAATAACAAATTAATGTTATAATATTTTTAAAATGGATTAAATGTTTATGTTTAAAAAAAAAAAGATTAAAATTAATAATGAATCTCTAATCCAACAGAATTGTTTTCAGATCTATGCAAAACTAGTTTCATATTTTCTATTAAAATTCTGCATTTAATTAAAGGAATATAAGACATATAGGGCCTATGATGATGATGATGCCAAATTTTGAATGATGAACTTGATGAACACAATGATTTAAGTGTGTCTTAAAAGTGGTTTGCTGAGTGAAATATTGTAATAATAATAATTATTTTCAGTAGGAGTTGGGCAATAGGGGTTGTCTTGCAATCCACCTGGACTAACACTACATGCAGGCTAAGAGCATTATGATCTACACAATAGAAATTTTAATACTTAAGGAGACATTTTGTTAATGCTTAAATTATTTCAGTACAAACATATAAAGTTCTATTTTCAGTTTTGATTTTTAATAATATAAAACAAAATGTTTTCAAATATATACTATTCCACTTTTTTCTAAGCAACAAGCTTTTATCCATAAAGAAAAGAGCTGCATTATTTATTCAAACAGCCACAGAGGGCATATATGTACAAGGACAGTCAATAAAACATGAGCAGTAGTTTCTTGAAGTGAGATCCCCTGGCTAAAGTTATAACCAGATGTGTATCACCTTGACTAAAGCTAGGCCGAAGTGTATATCACCTTGGTTAAATCTACACCAGCGTATCACTTTGGCTAAAGCTAGGACCAGTGTGTTTATCACCCTGGCTAAAGCTAGACCAGTATTAATCAGGCTTTCAGTAATAAATTAACAATGAATATAGAGATCCCACCGTTTTTAGTTGATACTGCTACGAATGAAACATGCATAACTACTTACCTGTACATATTTTTTTTAAAATATTAATGGTTTCATAGCCAAATAAATTATTTTTCCCTTTTACATTCATCTTTTTGTAAACATTGGAAATGTTTACTCAAGTAATCTACTAACATATAAGTGGCTTATGCTTGAATGAAAATATTTTATTTAATTACTATACAAGATGTTATTAACTTGCAATATAATTCTATATATTTATTTTATTGTATTATAGGTGCAACGTATACAAATATTGTAGTAATTTTTACAAGTTAGAAATGAATTTAATTAAACCGTTATAAATACTATTACCCAAAGGTACAGAATTTTAGGATTCTAGATGCTTTACAAGATAACATAAGTCAAATTCATACCAAAACCATTATATAATATTAAACCACAAAGATAAAGTAAATAGATAAAAGTTAAAATATATAAATATGTCACAGTTTTGAAGAAATTGAAGATAATTCAAAGTAAAAAATGAAAAGCAGGAATGAATGTAAATGCCATACCACAGCATAGTCAAGATACTACAAATAATGGAAGACATTAAATCATGGGTAAATTATAGGCTTTTAAAAACAGAAAATAATCTAAATTCAACTGGCAGCGCAGTCAAGTTATTTAAAAAAAAATAGAAAAGAAATATATGATATCAAGTGCATTTTAACAGCAAAATATGATGGTGTAACAAGCAAAAACATATGTTTAAATATCATTGTCAATTATGAAGTAAATGATGTGGTCTCAGCCCTGTGAGTCTCTAACAGTGAGAGTTTCTAGGTTTAGGAACAAAGTCAAGAATAGTCTAACTTTTTTATGACACTTTAAAAAAAACTTTTTGGCAGAAATTTTAAATGCGCAATCTGTATGTAATATATTGTTTAATTAAAGCTTTTCATGGTGATTAAAAATAATCAATCTAGTAATTCAGTGATCATGATAAAAGCAAACAAAATCTATAGAAAAAGTAGAATTATAATTCTTAAGAAACAAACATTTCATTCCCTAAGAATAAACAGTTAAAAAAAAAACTCAATTAAAAGCAATTTGAGTTTACTTTTTTGTCTGATTCTTTAAAAAATTTTAAGTTATTAAAGTTATTAATGAAAAAAGGTCAGAACGTTGGTATTTTTTTTTTTTTGCATACATTTTCCTAAATAACACAATATTTGTAATGATGTATTTTAAAGATTCGTACAAAACAGAACTTAAATTCAAAGATAAAAAGAGTGATCTTTCCCTGACAACAGCACATTTATTGACTGGAGATATCCACTGACTAGGTAAATGTCACACAGTTACATATCAATGTATAGCTACTGAGCTTTACAGCAGCATATTTAACACACTAAACACCAAACAGCGATGTTTAGAAATGTACCTCTTGTGTTGAGATATAAATTTTACCATGAGACCCAACTTTATAATTTCGCTGCATGTTTAAAACATTGGCAACACATGAAAATTGTTTTTATTTCATTTTGAACCAAATATTTAAAATTTATATATGTTAATATTAAATTAATTGCTCAAAATGGTTATAATTTGAGTTTTTAAATTTTTAAGCTTGATAAAGTTATAAGATGCGCTTTATTTTTAGTTATGTAAAATACAGAATAAGCATCAAGGCAATTTTACAGGTAGAATTTACACTAAGACCTGAATATACATATTTTTAATAAAAATATTTACAAAATGAAAATTCTATTTCCCAACAATAAATGCAGTGGACATTTTTGCATCAACTATATATTTTTTTTTTTTTTAAAAACAAGCTAAAATTAAAATTAAATATAACGTGTTATTTCTATAAAATATGTCTCTATTGCAGTTAACTATTATTATTTTGTATTTGTTATTTATTTATTGCACATATATTTGCTGGTCTTTTATATTCAATACCCTAACATCATCTATATCTTTGTCTTTCCGTATTACAGCTTTTCATGAGTATCAATCTCAGACAACGCTTTCTAATTTAAAAAGCATTTCACTGATTACATCTAAATTATAAACAGTAGACAAAAAAAAAGGTTACAGCAATAAAGGAGACAGGTTTCTGATTTGTATATTTTTTAAAATCCCCAACCATTTCAAGACATGAATGTTAAGGTTTTTTAGAATTTTCAAAACATATCTATCATTTTGGATTCATAAATTTAAAAGAAAGAGTTTTGTGTCTGTTTGAAATGTAATGCTTCTTATGTCATCTATATTGAGTGCACCCTAAGTAAAGCATGTGAAATTTTATTATAATTTTTTTACATGTAGGATTTCAATTTCATCTCTAGTCTGAGCTTCTACAATTTTCAGCTAATACAAATATTTCAAAATTTCAAAATACATTTTTTTTTAAAAATAAAAAGCAAGCAAAGCCTATTTTCTTTTTTTTAAAAAAACACACAGTGTTTGAAAAAAATATATACTTACATTCTCTGGAAACTTATGCATAACATAAGGCTCAAAACCACTTGAGTCCTTCATTGGCTGCAGACCAACAATCAAACAGTATTCAAACAGTTGAGGGTAGATGGCATCCAAGTACTCTTTGCTCTTCTTTATGCTCTTGGTCTGCAATATCACACAAGGTCAGCTCATGAGTTGTGCAACAAGGACAGGCTAATTGAACTCAATCTCTATTGAACATCTCATTCTATAGAAAGTTTTAATTACCTTAGTACAAAGAAATACTCTAAAATATGATATAAACATACAGACGGCTTGATAAAAATATAAAGAAAAATGCTTACAATTAGCATGAAATTGAACTAAATAAGAACTTACAGATTTGAGTCGAACTGATGAGCAGTAATCAACTCTTTTCTTTATTTCAGTTGGTTCAACTACTGCCTCTTCTGTGTCTAATAAGAAGTAAAAAAATGTAAATCTGATTTGTTCATATACAGAGAGAAATAATATATCTAACAAAAATAAAATGTGTATCTTTAAATAATTCTATATGAGACAAATTTTACAAATCATATGAAAAAGTTGGTTTCTATAAATTAAACAAGGGGAAGCTACTCTTAATTTTAAGTTTTTTTAAAAAAAACAAAAAAAAAAACTAGTGTAGGTCTACCTGTTCCTCCTGTATCCCTCTCCACATGCACCCAATCCTCTTGCCCTGGGGTTTCAACTGCACATTTGATGTTTAAGCTGACATCAGCATATGCTTGATTAATTTTTTGTTTCACCTAGAAATCAGTCAAAATAAAAATCTATTAGGTTCAAAGTACACACAAAAATATATAAATCTCTTATCAGCATGGTCAGTCTTATAACACCTTCCCTTCATATACTGAGGTGAGTGAGACAGGTAATGTCTACTAGATATGCCCCCTCTAATCAGAAAGTTAACTGTTTTATTTCTTAAAATGTAAGGTTTGTATTCTGTATTTATTCTATTGTGAATGTTTAATTTCGTTGTGAATGAAGCGTAGAACATATTTTTTAATGAGCAACTGACTCTGTAATTTCCAGATTATAAACAGGTTTTTTTTAATAAAAAATATTTGAAAAACATTTGCAATGGGTAAATTAAATTCAATAATTAGAATTATTACTAAATCACATTCACAGGCTTTATTTCATGTCCTAGTAATATTAAAATACTGTCATAATAATACAATATTGTGTAAACATAATTTTTGTTGGTCAGATGCACTGTTAGGGCTAGAGTTAGGATCCAGGTTGGGCCCGGTATTTTAGTTAGGGCCACAATTAAGGTAGCAATACTGTTAACAACCTAGATTAAAAAGCAGCCTCCCAGTATTAGTACATGTACCCATGGTCTTATGTTTCCAATCAACTCACCATCATCATTTTTTTCTTGGTCACCTTGTCCAAAATTTGATCCTGAGCCGTGGTGACCTGGCTCTCATTCTGGCTGGAATCTTTGTTGGGCCGCAGTAGAGTCAGCAATTTTTTGGAAGACGTGTCCTTACCCTGGGGTAAACAATAACACACTCGATGAACAATAATAACAACTAATAATCTTATCCATCATCACATCATTAGTTTTGTTTCTCATTCACTAAAAAATATACAGTCCACACCAGTAAATAAATTATATAAATTCACAATCAATTTTAAACACAAGTACTGTAGTCAGAGACTAGAACATTGTTGAAAATATTGCTTGTATATGAAATCAAGCTTACACTAGACTAAAAAAGTATTCTATGTATATCAGCCAGTAACAGCTTGCATTATAAAAGTCATATTTTCAACATCAGCCTATAAACAGTCCAACCATTAAAAAAACATAAATATATTAAGGCCTACAAAACATTTAACACACTGCCCCATTTTGTTTTGCAGCTTGATGCTGTTTTTTAATAACTGCCTTACGTAGCATACATTTAGAAACTCAAGACTATCAATTAATAAGGACTTACATGTTAGGTTTAAATGAAATATACACAACATAAAATAAAACTGAACATGAAGTAACGTAACAGCAGAACAAATTATTGCTATTATTGCTATTTTATATATATATATATATATATATATATATATATATATATATATATATATATATATATATATATATATATATATATATATATATATATATATATATATATATAATTCCTGGTTGAGTAGAATATTTGATAAAAAGCCAAAAGTACAATGGAACTTTCAATGTTCAACATTCAGTTCTCCTACATTGAACGGATTTAAGTTTTTAAGATACTCAATTTGTTTTAAAAAAGTCCTCACAAAACGCACTAGAATAAATGTTTTGGTAAAGCCATTGACATTGGCTAGGCTGTAGCTATCATGTTCCAGCCACACAAATACAACCAGTGAGACCAGAATGCTATTTTTACCCAGCCGGCACTACCTGTAGTCCCTTAGTACCAGCAGACAACAGGTACACCACACCTGGATGTGATGCTGGATTCTGAAGATAATCTGTGGAAGCTGCTGCTGTTTTTATCCCCAGTCTGTAGTTTAGCTGGCGTCAACCAAAGACTGACGGATCTAACTCGTGTGAAGGACTATCAACACAGATCACAACAGATGTGACCGCCAATACATTGATATGGTAATTCTAACGAAGGGAAGAGCGACTAGAACAGGGGAGATCACTGATGCAATACATGCCATTGTTCTTGTTCTACCGTCGGGTTTTCATGCTAACAAGACATGTGGGTCTGCTACAAGCATTGGGCAACACTTCGGTGTGTGTTGAATTATTTAAATACCACTTAATTATGAATTTTTATTTTTAAGTTGCGAGCCTTTTGTTTAAGGGTTATGGCTAACGTAGGTTGAATGTTACGTATTAATAGTATTATCATCGGATTTATCAATTAAATGACGATTATATGGCCAAAGTTGTTATCGGTTTTATCAATTAAATGACGATTAACTGGCCTAAGTTGGGCGTTCTTAAGTGACGTCACGCACTAGAAGAATGGGGTTCAGAGCGCAGTGATGATGTGGTACGCGGGGGGTAGAGGGATGATGAAAGGCACTATTAAATTATGTAGATCTATCATATAATATCTAACTAAAAACGTTTGAGACGTTATTTCAGGGGGAGGGGGGGAGGGGACTCAGTGACGTTATACAAGAGGGGGGGGGTCTAGCAATTGTGAGACCTTAAAGGAAGGATGTGTTATAGACGACCTTTAACCTTAATGAAGGATAAGTAAATAAATACATAATAACAAAATAGCACTCAAAAAAATATAAACGAAATAGAGTGAATAAATAAGTGTTGAAATCAAACAATAAAATTCCAATAGAAAAAGAAATAACCAAAAGAAAACCCAATCGTGTAAAGGTAAGTTACAAAACAGGCATTTCCTAATGATTGATAGAACACAACAGCCAGTATCATTTGAATACTGATATCAGCTTCAGTAACGAATGGTATAAGCCGGTACTATAATGGCTAGCAACAACAAAAAATGCTACTGAAGTATTCAATTACGGGTCTAACTAAACAAACCACACAAAAAAAAAAAAAAAAAAAAAAAAGATAAACTCTTATTTTTCAAAATTTACAAAAATACCTACAAAAAAAACCACAAATCCTAGAGTAGAAAAAAACCAAGCAAGCACGAAGATTTTTATGTGCGGATGTTTAAAAATAAAAGATCTAAACGCAGCCCGAGATTAAATTAAAATCAATTCGGCTATGAATACAGCTAATTACCAGGTAATTCTAACGGGCACACTATTGTAGAGCAGGCAGGGAGTTACAACCTCGTTCTGTCTAAAACAGTATCCACCCTGAAGGTAATTCTAACGGGCACACTATTGTATAGAAGGCAGGGAGTTACAGCCTAGTACTGTCTAAAACAGTATCCACCCTGAAGGTAATTCTAACTGGCACACTATTGTATAGCAGGCAGGGAGCTACAGCCTAGTTCTGTCTAAAACAGTATCCACCCTGAAGGTAATTCTAACGGGCACACTATTGTAGAGCAGGCAGGGAGCTACAGCCTAGTACTGTCTAAAACAGTATCCACCCTGAAGGTAATTCTAACTGGCACACTTTTGTATAGAAGGCAGGGAGCTACAACCCCGTACTGTCTAAAACAGTATCCGCCCTGAAGGTAATTCTAACGGGCACACTATTGTATAGCAGGCAGGGAGCTACAACCTCGTACTGTCTAAAACAGTATCCACCCTGAAGGTAATTCTAACGGGCACACTATTGTATAGCAGGCAGGGAGCTACAACCTCGTACTGTCTAAAACAGTATCCGCCCTGAAGGTAATTCTAACGGGCACACTATTGTATAGAAGGCAGGGAGCTACAACCTCGTACTGTCTAAAACAGTATCCGCCCTGAAGGTAATTCTAACGGGCACACTATTGTATAGCAGGCAGGGAGCTACAACCTCGTACTGTCTAAAACAGGACAAAAGACCACAACCTCAGTTAATGCGCGGGTTGGTTTGTTTTTTTACACATAATTTCTAATGGGACATTTTTTTTAAAATTCGATCTGGGTCGTAAAACGCCACCCTAAAAAATACTGGTCTTTACCCTTCACACATATCCACATGTGTGAACTGGGTGAAGCCAATAACGATTACCATTCCTCAGTTATATTTGGTTTGGAGTTGATATAACTGCAATTACATAAACCATGTCATTAAACTACAAAATAAATAAAAAAATAACACACATAGCCGACACGCCAAAGCAAGCAGTTTTAAATACATACACCAAAATGATCGAGTGTTTTGATTACTTTAAATACAAGGACACGACGTCGAGTGTCAGATTACTTTAAATACAACGACACACAAGTCATGAAGCGTCTTATTACTTTAAATACAAGGACGCAGTGTGATTGAGTTGTTAAAATAATTGCGTACGAGCCGCCATATTTGACCATTACTGCCGCTCATAACTTCAGTCCATTGTTAGAATCCCGGTTTGGCGCCCGGGATCGCCTACTAATTCTAGCGTAATGTACAAAATGTAACATGTAACAGCCAATTCGACTGTGACACGCTCCTCTTTATAAAACTAAAGTGTCAGTTCTAACCGCCCCTCCCCCTCCCAGGTCGGACCGCCCCTCCCCCTCCCAGGTCGGACCGCCCCTCCCCAGCAATGCAATTACCACAACCAGGAAGAAATTTAGCAGAGGTTAGGAGCCTTGAAAAAAAAGCATTCATGCAACAACTTGATAAAAACCCCAGCGGTCCCATTAACAGCTTAGCGTAGGCTCAAGAGTAAATTAATATTCTATGGAGATGCCTTGCCGTGGGCGAACAGCAAATCGTAGAACTATTTTAAATCCTTACAGTATACGATATCCGCTGTTTAGAGGCTCGTTTAAAAGAGAAAAAAACAACTTTGAATGTTAAAAGTTACAGAAAAGTCGCAAGCAGAGGCGTAGCAAGAGGGGGGGGGGGTACATATGTCCCCGGGCTCCGACCTTAGGGGGCGCAAAAATGGGTTGTAAAAACAAATTAAAATCTCATTTTAGTTGCAGTTTTGCATTATACATATAAAAAATACATGAGGGGGTGCAAATTGAAAGTTTGAGAGGGGACTGCAAATTAAAACTTTGAGGGGGGGGGATGAAAATTGAAAGTTTGAGGGGGAGTGCAAATTGAAAGTTTGAGGGGGAGTGCAAATTGAAAGTTTGAGAGGGGGGGGTGCAAATTGAAAATTAAAAGGTTGTTCCCGAGGGGGGGGGCGCCAAATTGAAAGTTTGGTCTCAAGCACACGAAACGCTTCCCAAGAAAAAAAAAAGCCTAGCTTAGAAAAGTTAGTGAAATATCATCACACCTGTCGCTTCAGATATGGCAGTCACTCGTCATTCGTCGACATGAGTCACCACAAGCATGTCTCTGGAACCGGAAGTGTAAATGACTATTGAAGACACGCCTTGTGTCTTAAATTAAAGACATATCAAACCTAATCCGCATAAAGATTCAATAACATGTATGAAAAAATAAATTAATACGTTAAAAATAAAATATATAACTATTATTAAAAGAATGCAATGTATTACGTGTTTAGAAGAAGAAATAGATTTAAAAAATAATAAAACTATTATGTATCCAGGTACATTTTTTAAAACTTAACTATAGTAGCAGAAGGGACGCTGTAGAATTCCGCCATGGCCTGATACTGAGCCACATGTAGGCCTATATAGTTTGTATTTCTTTGTATTGAATTACGCTCCATCATTAAACAACACAACAACAACAAATTGAACAATATCCCACTGGTCACGTATAACACGATAACTATGGTTTTATTACAAGGGCGACAAGAGCTAGGTTTCGTCAAAATTACTTTGCGGCAAGTTAATATTTTTAAAATTAATACAATCCAAAAAAATCAGTTCATACAATCCACACACAAAAAAAATGTCATGGTTGAAAAAAGTTTTAGAGTGAAAGCGAAAAAAAAACGGCAATGTGTACGTCTAACGATTAGCTTGAACCTATTCTAAAAATACTTTTTACCAAAAAAAAACTGTTCGACGTTTTATTTTACTAAAGGTAAAAAAAAAAACCTGACGTAGATAAACAATCTGAAAACACTCACGTCACGTGGAGTCTATAAATAGATCAAGACAGCGCCGTACCAAACAGTTCTAGACAAATGGAACCGACTCCAACACCTTGCATTGTGGGGGAAATAACGTTTGAACATTCTCTCCGCATGTCAAGGAAGTTTAGCTTTCCTATGGTGTATTTTAGTGTCATTAATTGGTGATTCGAAATTACCGTTGGAGTTCATTTTTGTACTACGTAAAAGTTTTTTTTTTAAACGGAAACTTGCTTTACTTTAGTGTAAATTTTTTTCGCGGAAACTTTTTTCACGGTAAATTTTCTTCACTGTAACTTTTCTGTAGGCTACATTTTCTTCGAGAAAACTTTTTTCACGGTAAATTTTCATCACTGTAACTTCTAAACTGTAAATATTTTTAACATTTTCTGGATTAACGAAAAAATCTATGAAAAATCGTCTTGACTTTAAATTTTCGTAACGGTAAATTTTCTGCACCGGCAAATTTTCACAAATCTCAGTCTACAGAAATCACCTTCCTACAGGTTTCGTGGTCATTGGTTCTTCATACTGCTGCACACTGCCATGACCGTGGGAGCAGTCACAGAGCTGTCGGGGTTGACTAGGTCTGTGATGGGTGGCAGCCAATTAGGGACGGCGAACGATGTCTTTTCTTCTTGCGATACGTGGAGTAATGGAAACATAACAGCGTTTACACGGAGACCGTGTGAGACAAGACATGTTTGACGATGTCATAGTATGTATCACAGGATCTAAACGGGAAAGGCAAAGGCGGATCTATATATACATATATATATATATATATATATATATATATATATATATACACGCACATAAGTATAGCAAAGTTCCTATTTAGAACTAGAGATCCACTGGGCAGATTAAGTAGAGTTCATGTTTCTTGACATCTGCGTATGAAGAGATTGGGTGGTCAGCACTAACCCCGGTCGCCTTTACTTTCTGCAACTTAAGTCAGGTACCCATCCGAGCTGGGTGGACTCAGGGACGACCTATAGTCATAATTCCCAAACGAGATCCGAACTAGAGACCTTCGGGTTGGCATCCAAACGCTCTACCATTCGCCCACTCTCTCTCTGTATATATATATATATATATATATATATATATATATATATATATATATATATATATATATATATATATATATATATATATATATATATATATATAAAGTTGAAGCCGCCGGTGAATAAAAATGGCTTTTAAATGGCCACAGCAGGGATAGCCATCACGAGGGATTGTTGGAGGCGTGGAAAACCTTCAGAGGTCAGACCAGACGATGCTTTTGTGTGTTCCAGTTGATTAATGCAGCACCTGTGGCCAGCGATCACGCATTCATTGAATAGAACCCATTGAATAGGTCGCGGCGAGCGGCCTAAAGTACTGCTCATGACAACACGATGTTTCATCACCAAAACCTTCATTCTCCGCAATAAGCTACTGCCTGGGTAATGAAAGCTTGGTGTTGTGATGAGGTCACATGACGACCGTCCATTGAGAAAGTTCGTTCACTGACAGGCATTGACATTGACCTGAGCGAATCGTTAATTTGTAGGAACAATGGGTTGTTTGTAACAGACGAAGGGAGATAATCACGGTCGCGACACAGTGAAGGGAAATAACTTCATCAACAGTCAACATAGGGCAGACAAAGTAGTTAATATTTCCACTGCATGCACAAGACAAGTTGCGTCAACTAATGTGGTGTTATGGGGCTACATTTCCCTACTCCCACCCCCTTAGTGCTTTTGTTCACGAGGCTTTTTTTTTATCTTATTTATTTTATCGTCACCCTAGCGTAAGCCGAATATAGGACCTATTTGTTTTAGAAAGCTATGGCGCGAAAAGATTGTGTTTCTAAGAAGTAAAAGGGACATAACATGTTACTCAGGACAGCTGCACACATCTGCCCGAGCAAGCAGTGGAAAAGCTGTGTGGTCTTAGCCAAGAGTTCAAGACACCGCGTGATGACTCTCTAATTCATTATCATCCATTTTCTAATCACATTTTAAAATATCTATTGGACAAAATATAAGATATATTTTCTCAAATTAGCTTTTTTTTCGACTTGAGACAAATCGGAGTCTCCAGTTGTCTGGAAAATAGTTCGCGGGTCGTTAGCGCCGTCTTGCGCAGATGGAGCGAAACTTTGCTTAATACAAGAAAAAAGAGCAGTTTCTTCCAGACATCTCTTCAGGGGGGGGGGGGAGTCTACCGCCCCCTATCGAAACGGATTTTATAAACAAAATATATACTTTAACAGTGTCCGCCCCCCCCCCCCCTCCGGAGAAGAAAGAAACACATATAATATTACCAAAGTGCTGTGACCAAAAAGCCTGAACAAACATGGCGAACATGCCTATTGTGTCCATTTAAAAAATAATGTTTCGAAATCGTCCTCCCATTGGGTGTTCGTGTTACAGATTAATAACGTGACAGGCAATATAAGTATACACTTTAATGCTATGTTTCTACCCTTAGAAATGTCAGTCGTTATACCCATCCCCCTACTTATCTCAGAAAAAAAAAACAGACTGCGCAACGACGCTAAGGCTTTAATGTTATCTCAGCTTGGTAAAGAATACAAATTAAAACGTGCACTTCGTTTTCAAAATAATAGGATTTATCCTCCGCAACATGGGCACTTCTTAGTGCTACGAAGGTCTCGTTATTCCCCAGGGGTCATTTTTAATTTTTGTCATAATGTGGTTTCCCATCCCCCCATTTTCTTACATGTCATAGCTACAATACATCCCACCCCCAACCATATTATTTTTTTAAATCTATAGTTTCCTAACATAGCGTACCATTTAAAGTACGAGACCTCTTTCCCTGAATCATAACAAAAACTTAAACGACAAATATTTAAGACATCACTCCCCCCCCCCCCCCCCCCCCCCCCCGCAACGTCTTTTTTTTATTATACACTTCACAAACATCCGCTAATATAATAAGTTCAAGTGTTTGCTAAAGAAAACCACTTATTTAGTTATTATCCAAACCGTATGTATTTATATGATTACGTGTATATATATATATATATATATATATATAGAGAGAGAGAGAGAGAGAGAGAGAGAGAGAGAGAGAGGCTTTGAAAGAAGATCCCTCCAACGCATCCTCAGGATAAAGTGGGACGACAAAGTCCCGAACAAGGAAATATGGCGAAGGACAGGATTAAACGACATTGTCTCTGAAGTTAGAATGAGGAGATGGAGATGGCTGGGCCATGTCCTACGCATGAGCAAAAAAGACTCCCCAACATGGCGCTGAAGTGGAACCCACCCGGAAAGAGAAGTAGAGGAAGACCACTGGGAACATGGAGGAGGGAGATGGAAGAAGAAGTACAGGCTACTGGCAAAACCTGGCATGAACTAAAGTGGCACGCCCAGGACAGGGTGGAATGGCGGAGATTTGTTGTTGCCCTATACTCCACAGGGAGTGATGAGGATTAACATATATATATATATATATATATATATATATATATATATATATATATATATAAAGAGACTGAGAGAGAGAGAGGCATACTTAAGATAAAGCTAAGAAAAGGAAGTAAAATGTGGAGTGGAAATTTGCAACTTAAAATCTCAGTGGTTCTCTGATTACAGCCAACTTGTGTACAAAAAAAAAACAGACACTTCTACGGCAGGAGATAAGGTTAATAATAGCCCACTAGGTAACTGACAAGAAAACCATGTTGGTTTACAAACAACTTTAAGCTTGTTGTAAACACAGGGAGTCAAATACTAGCATCAACCACATCACATAAAAAAACCTGAGCTCCATTATTTTCCCATATAAAACAAATAATTCAAACAAACAATTCACCCGTAATGGAATAGCCTAATTCCTCATCTCTCTAACTAAACGAGGATCACTGCTATCAAGTAATCAAAGTAAACATAATGTATTACTTCCTATTGGTTTACATTTTTTATGCTATCTTCTGTATGCTCATGTAGTGTACTGTCTCATATGTAAAAATATGTTTACCTGTGGTGGAGTGAATTGTGTGTATGTGAAAACCTATTGTAGAAGTTTGCCTAGTAAATATTGTATTGTGAAGTGGTATGAAGTCTGTGTATGTTTGATGGTGTAGGGCCTACGAGTAAACAAGTTCAGACCAGGAAGCAACGTAGCTCACGTTCTTCTTGTGATTGGGCTGTTAATTAATATTAGAAGGGGATGACTAAAAAGTACAAATGAAGCAAGTAACAATACACCCATCATTGCACTAAAACATAGGGTAATCCATTAAAAAACAATCTTTAGATTAGGTTTTCAACTTTGATAGTGAAAAATATTATTTTTAACAGTTGTATGTTTAGATCAGATAAAGTAGAATTGATTCAAGACACTGATGATAAAATCATAAAGAGTGATGTAAGGTTTTATGTTGCATGTTGAATATTCTTTCCATCACACAATGACTTAACATCAGGGTGTGATAAAAATATCATGCATGTTTTGTTGTATGTGACTCACTGTGAAATCATATGTGATTGTTTCCAATAAGCAGTGCAGCCATACAGTAGTTATAACCCTGCCACACAACCATTATGTACATACAACTTTGTATAACTCTTTATAGAACACACTGAACACAGCATACGTCCTCATCATTCCTGTCATATGTATGTGCATTTCAAAGAGGGAATGTTGGTTGTGATATGTATTACAAATTAACAAACATCTACTCACCGTGTTTTGTGTAGAAAACTTCTGCTTCCCTGGCAGCTTCATAAACTCATGTGGTATGGCGTAGCCATCAGGGTCGAGGACAGCCTCGTATTCATAGTCGTAAAAGCTTTTGGCCATGTCCCGCCCGTTCTCAGTATCCTCAACATCTAACAGGCTGCCTTGACTAGAATGAAGACATTCAGAGCTGTAGCTTTTTCTCAGAGGGAACCTCGTCAGTGAGTTACTTTGGCCTGGTTCTAGGGGGAGCTGATCGGTGGGACTGCGAGGGTGGCTCTCATCAGAGAAATTCTGTCTGTTTGGTGAGATGGGTATGATGACAGGCCCTTCGTGACTTAATTGTTGAGTGAAGGGCCTTGGAATGGTCTGGGGAGTTGTTTGAACTGTAACCGGACTGCCTCCTGAGTTGGGTCGGCGCTTTGGTGGCGGCGGCCTTGAAGGGGGTTGGTGACGCCTGGTGACAGCATTTTGATCTTTACTGGCATTGGAAAAAGCCACAGATGGCAAAGGTGGTGGTCCCGATTCTGTCTGCTGTTGCATCTTGGAAATCCTGTCTTTTACAGAGACACTCTCCAGCTCCGCCGGTGTGCCATTTGCTGTTACATCACTTTCAATGACCACTTGACTCTTGACTCCGCCCGAGTCAGAAATGGACACCTTACGACCTCGGCTCTCTGTGACCTTGACTTTTAAGTAATCATCATGCGCATGTGTTCGAGGAGGTTTGGGTGGTGGTCCAGCCTTGGCAGCAGGTTCTGAAGCCTCATCTGCAGGTTTGACTTTACCTGGAGTGCTTGATGCTGATATTTCATTAGCAGCATCTTCATGAGAAGGTTTCGGAGCTTGAGTATCCATTTTCTTTGGTGTTTGGTTTGGTAGCGGTGGCTTGGGAGGTGGGGATGCAGATTTAGGCGGGATCTGATTATCTAACTTAGAAGGTAAATGAGCGGGTGGTTGGAATTTCTTCAGGTTTTCAAGAACTTTGCTTTTAGTTGTATCCCACGGTGGGCTATACACAGACTCTTGCTGCGAATCACTGTCGCTTCTGTTCCTTTGTTCGTGCTGTTTCTCTAACTGTTGTTCGTATTCCCTTGTTGTTCTCATGCTGTACTGTCGTCTCACTGAATCTGGTTTCAATGGTGGTGCTGGCTTATCTGCTCTTTGAGCATCACCAAATTTTAGTCTCGGAGACATATTTCCTAACTCTGTCTCAATTGAGGCAACCGTTTTTCTTCGCTCTTCAGAATTCTTTTTCACTGCTTCTCTTCTTTGCCATTGGTTTGTTTCTTCAAGAAAACTCACCTTCCTTGGTGAGCTTTCTACGTTTTTGCTCGGCTTATTGACTTTGGCATAAAGATCACTCACTTCTTTCGTAGGTTGTACCTTATCATTACTAACACAATACAAAGGGTTGCTGATACCAGAGTTGTATTCAGTGCTGCTGTGGCTGATTTTCTGCCGTAACATCGGTTTAGGGGGCGGAACAGCTGTTGTTTTCTCTGTGCCTCCTGAGACATCATTTTTAGAGGCGACATTGCCTAAGTAGGAAGAGATCCTGTCAGAAATGGCAGGGCTTGGTTTATGGCTGTCCTTGGGTTGAGCCTGGTCAGTTTTTCTTGTATCATCTCCAGCTTGGACGACAGGCTGTGCACTCGACTGAGGTTTTTGCTGCCCAGGGACACTTGGTGCTGGGTATTTCTTAATTGCTGGTTGTCGAATGGGTGATCTGACACGGTTGGTTAACTCAGGGGTCCTGATTGCAGCTGTAGGTTTTTCTGCCTTTTCTTGGGATGCATTATCACCTATAACAATAACCATTTAAATATTTATAAGTTTTATATATATTAAAAAATATTACATAATTCAATTGCAACAAAAAATACAACTGTGGTAATTTCTTACAAAATAACTTTATACAAACAAACCATCCAAGCAAGCTAGTGAATACAAGTGTAAAAAAATTGTTTAATGTAACATGTTATCAAGAACCCCCTTCTGTTTTCTTACCATCTTCAAAGATTTTTTTAATACTGCTCAGCTTGCCAGGTGGCAGTTGACGGAGACTCCCTTCTGGTTTACTATTTGACATAACCTTACTCTAATTCTGGTTTTCTCCAAAACATCCTTATCTTTTTACAGTAGTGTTCAGCATTCTTTGATTTGTAGGTGGTGCCTTATAGTCCCATAGATTACTGGTTTAAGTAAAAAAAAAATCACTCATTTTTAAAAAACATGAATAAATAAACATGACATATTATACATACTACATTCTTGCTTTAGTACCTTGAAAAAGTAATCTGAGACATGGATAATGTTATGTTATAATAATTTAGTACTTTATATCATAACATGTAGACTAAAACATGAATAGGGATAATAGGGATTTTTAATTAATGCAAAATAGTATGTTTACAAATTAACATAATATGCACTACATCCTTCATCATATGTTACAAGGCCGTCATAAGAGTCTACAATAGGAATATTACAAACATAGTTATAAACATTATTATACACCTTTAAAAAGTTTAAACTTTATTTATTAGTGATTATGTTAGAACAGAAAAGAGTTTAGAAAATTTAATATAATGAGACTAGCCCCTAACCATCTTTACAATAACATTTAAAACACAAAACAGATTTCTTTAATGAAGTAGTTTAAAAAATTTTGAGGCTGTTATTGTCACAGGATAAAAATTAGTCTTTTTTATTTATTATTTACTGTTAGCTACAGTCTGAGATTACAACAGTGCTACTATAAATTAAATATAGATTTCTAAATACAGGACAGGGAATGACAACAGCTGATTTTACAGCTTTTGCTATGTTCCATAGGCCAGGCTAATTCACCGGTAGGCCCTAGGCCGCCTAATTGTAATAATTTATTAATTATTTAGGCCCTAGGCCTAAATTTGACAAAAAAATTAAGATAAACAATAGTGTTTCTTAAATGTATAATTCAAGTCCAATTTTAGGCCTAATTCAAATTCATTATTATATTATTATTTATATTATTAAAATTAATAAAAAAATAAAATTACTATAAAACTAGTAAGTATTACTATTAGTATAAGTCACAATATGAAGTTCTCCATTCTTCTTAAATATAATAAATATAATACTTGATAATAATGGCGCGGTGTGTCAGAATTAAGTAATTAGACCACTGAATATTGAATGAAGTACAAACAGTTAGTAATAAATACTAGAATTGAAAATAAATAGGCCTAGTAGATATAGACTAGGCCAACTTCCTGAATTCGGAAATCTGGTTAGGGGGTCTAAAGTTGATTATCTTTCTTGGTTTTTTTTTAAGTGATCTCCCCTTACCGACCAGAAGACTTCCTTTTCCGGAATATTCATTCGTCATAATGGTACGATAAAAATTTTTCTTATTCTATCCTCCTAAATCTATATACATTGTGCGTAAATATTGTATGTTTGTTAACTACTTATTATAAAATACCTTAACGTACTTTTTAAATATCCCTGTTTACTGTGTTTATATAGGATTTACTGAAATTCAGTCTAGACTAGATCTTGTTCTAGCTGAATGTTGGTTTACGTTTGCACTATTGAAAAACTAAACATTTGGATTTCTGAGATCTAGATCTATTCTTGTATTAAGCTCATTTCACGTCTTAGCACTATTTGTTTACTGTTAGATTCTAGATCTACTTTAATTTACTACCTGTGGCTTTTTTGGCGTGTCTGTTTACCTTTCTATCAAATTAAAACCCGCATCAGCCATCTTTCGTTTTTCTCACTCATTCTGATTCTCTGTAGATCTACTGGTTGTTAAATCGGCTAGGGCCTATTGGGTAGGTTACCAATATTTTAAGGTCATCTTATTCCTTATGTTATTTTCTGTATTCTTAGACCACCAAATTAAAGAAAACAAGAAAGCTTCGTGGTCATGTCAGCCATGGACATGGTCGTGTTGGTAAGTACTAAGTTCATTTTAGTATGTATTGTAATAGGCCGTTCGATTCACAGCTTCCAGGTTTGTTGTTTTGAAGCCATCTCACGGCTCATGCGCTTACCAAAAATGGCGACCAGTTTCGCTTTCACTAATGGGTAGAGGGATAAAACTAATGATTACGAAGCCATCGTTAATTTTAGAAATCGGAACTATCCGTTTCTATTTAAGTCTATTAATTAAGAATTGTCGGATCTACTTTTGGCATAATTTCTTTGTCTCGCAAGCGGCGCCTTAGTGAAAGTAGCTCTATATAATTCTCATCTTTCGAATCAAATAACTCTAAAATACCCCGTGTATAATAAACCAAACTATGTGTATATGAAACTTGAAAGTATCAATTTTACACACATTACAATTAACTGGTAATAACTTATGGTCGGAATGAGATGTGGTCCGTTCAAGTAATAATGCCATTTTATTATAATCTTTTTTGGTGAACACGAGGCGCGGGAAAATGTGTGCCGCGCAAGAATCCAATCATTTGGCTAGGTTTATGACTGTTTTTTTATGTCACACCTAAAAATAGAATGTTTACGCTTTCTTCATTGATGATCGTTTTTATTATTTTTTAAACTGAAAGTATGAATTATTAGTTAGATTTTAGGTTTTGTAGCTTGGTATACTTACCCTTTATCAATTTTAAAAGCATAGCATGCTGATTGTGAACAAATAGTCATAAGACACAGAAATAAAAAGTTACATGCGATGTGCCACACCCGGGTCACACCCCCTCAAGAAAACACGTGTTTATTAAGCTGTTTATCTCACTTTACAACAGTAATTAAAATTAATTGTCAAATTTTTATTACTTATTGGGTAATATTAAGCACATGTTTACTAATAGTTAAAAAGAAACATAAGTAAATTCTGTTTTAATGAAGGTCACGGGTCAAGTTTTTTTTCCTTCTTTCAAGTTCAGTGGAGGGTGCCACAGGCTGACCTGACTTTGGAATTTTTTTCAGTAATAATGACTTTGCACAGAAAGTTAAAATATGCTAAATTAGCTTAGTTTACTAGTATTCTAGCTATTATTAATACATTTTTAATAAAAAAAAAATCATTCTGTAATTCTCATCTAAAAGCCTAATTGTAATCTACACTAATTTTATGGTTAGAAATTCGGGTCGGGTTAGACATATGAAAGGGTTAGGGACAGGGTTAGCACTGACATTAGCCAGCCATGCGAGTATTAAGTTAACTACCAGTAACGTAACACCCCTCTTTTAAAGAAGATTCAATTATCGGACACATTATCCCATTTTAACTTCCAGAATCTTGTTTTCATCCACTTTAAAGTATTTTCTATGTTTGTGTATTTTTAATTGGCATTTAATTTTTTTTACAGGCAAACACCGCAAGCATCCAGGTGGTCGTGGTAATGCTGGTGGTCAGCATCATCACAGAATTAACTTTGACAAATAGTAAGTTAGCAGTATGCAATTCTTTGCTTCATGTAAAGTATTGTAAAGTACTGATTACTAATCATTTTGGGTATTTTAAAATCAATTATGCTGTCTTAATCTATTAGGACAAGGGTTGTGTTCTTTCAGCTATCTTTTTTTTTTCTGGGTGTTCTGGGTGGTCATTGCTTATTTATAGCAGTTTGACCCCTTAATAATAATTATGTGTACTGCTTGATTGTGCTTTTTTGCACTTACTGCCTGGTATACAATCATCAATTTTAGTTTAGGGAGTATCATAAGATAAGAACTAAAGTTTTATAACTAACCCTAATCTGTTGGTTACTTGGTGGTGGAATTAAGAATCATGATATCTAAGTTGTACTGCTAGCTTAATTAGGCGCTGGGCAATTAATTTTTTAGGTTTTTTTAACTGCCAGGTTAACGGAAATTTTTGTAAATTGGAGACAACACCAGAAAACATTTTCTTTTAAAATCTGTAATTTTCTTTTGTTAAGCGCATAGTCTTAATTGAAAAATAAATTGCAACTATTGGCCTGGATTTTCACTTTTAATATGCGTTAGCCCTAATGGTTTGTTTTCTGTGATATTTTTCAGCCACCCTGGTTACTTTGGTAAAGTTGGTATGAGATACTTTCACAAGACAAACAATAAATTTTACTGCCCATCAGTAAATCTTGACAAACTGTGGTCCCTCTTGAGTGAGCAATCCAGAGCCAAATATCTTGATGCACCATCTGAGAAGGCTCCAGTTATTGATGTTGGACAGGCTGTAAGTTTAATTTTCATTATTTCCTGTGTTACTTGTTCATTCCTCCTTTCTGTCTTTCTCCCTCTTTCCTCCCACCATCACCACTCTTTTTTTTTTCAAAACATGTACCTTGTATTTCATTGCCTGTATCTTTTAATCATTTTAGTACCTACAAATCATATACTTATACATATATACTGCTGTATAAAGTTTTTGAAATGACAGCTGATACAGCCATAATACTTTGACTGTCTTAGTTTTTGGCATTTGTCACGAAAGCTGAATGTGGTAAACATATAAACCTTGAAACTTGTGCTTTGCCAATTTATTTATTTTTACCATTGATTTTTCTAGAGTTAAAATGTTTTGCTGTCTATTTTCAGGGTTATTACAAAGTTCTTGGCAAAGGTCATCTTCCCAAAAGACCAGTTATTGTCAAGGCCAAATTCTTCAGTAAAGTTGCAGAAAAGAGAATTAAGGAAGTTGGGGGTGCATGTGTCCTCACATCTTAATTTTACACAATTAAAGTTATAATAGTACTGCTTGTTTCTCTTGTATTTGGTGTGGTGTTTAATCACTTAGAGCTTGTGTGGATTTAAAAGTATGAAGGGCGAAAGTATTAAACTTACTACTCCTGTCAGTCATATGAATTTTGTAGTGCACTTTGGAATATTTGGATATAACAAGAATATTCATTTTAAGTAAGCTGAACTCTTGTGCCACCTAATATTGTATTTGTTACACCTTTTCAGTAAATCCTATGGTTGTCTTGGCATAATGCTAGCTAGTTTTCTGGTAGGCAATAAGATTTTTTAAATATGCTGGTTCATGGAACTTAATTTTTTTTTTTTTTTTTAATTGAATTAAATTTCTAGGTTTGCATCAGTAGTGGTGTGGTAGTAAAACTTGGTGTACAAACACTGTTCTTATGAGTTACTTTGTTCAGGGTTCATGTGCATTCAGGATAATTAAATTTAGGGATGGGAACCAGATTTACAAAAGGAATAGTTTATAACACTCTGTATTCTCTTCTCTAATAGTTATTTTTTAGTGAATTTAATTTTTTTTCTCATGGATCTACACTTCTCTGCCCAGAACATGATTACTGTCTTATTGGGAAATCTGCTTGGATATATAATTCCCTAGCAATAACTTGCTAGCTAACGTTAATGCGGGAAATGACTTTTTTTAAATCATTGCATATGGGGGCTAGATAAAAATCTTTGCAGAAGCAAGATTAGACCCATGCAAATTGGCAGCATTCTGTTTCTTCTGGAAGAAACTCAGGCAGCAGTGAACTGCGTTTTGGCCCGTCAGACTTTAAAAATTTGGCACACATATAAATCATAATTTATAATATAGTCTAGAAAACAGATTTGTGTGGACAATCTATCTTCTATGTATATAATTCTCTTCTTGGAGACCTTAGAAAACACCAAGCTATAAGCGCGCTCCCTACCACCCCTACACGGTCTGGTGTGCTGTGGTTTGCGCTAAATGTTTACAATCGTAGAGCCGGGTTTAATGACGGCTATTAGGAGCAGATAATTTAGTTTGGAGTTTGCTTTCACGGGGGGGGGGGGGTGATATCGTCCTTAACGAGCTACTGATAGTGCTTTAAAGCAAATAATTTCAGTGGCAGCATTGGTACTGTCGAATTCACAAATTATGAATTACTGAAAAGTAGAAAATAAAACAACTAAATAGCGGCGTATGATACGCCGCGGGTCGGCTCGTATATATATAATGCTCTTTTTGGATACCCAAGAAAACACCAAGTTGTAAGCGCGCCTAGCAGCTTCCTCTCTAAGCTTATCCCTACCACCCCCACATGGTCTGGTGAGCTGTTGTTCACGCGTAATGTTTACAATCGTAGGGCCGGGTTTAGTGACGGCTATTAGGGGCAGATAATTTACTTTGAAACGATTTTTTAACTTAGGGGAGGTAACTAAGAGGAGGCTGCTTTCGTGGGGGGGGGGGGGGGAGGATGTGGGGATAGTTTAAAGCAAATATTTTCAGTGGCAGCATTGGTACTGTCGAATTCACAGATTATGAATTACTGAAAAGTAGAAAATAAAACAACTAAACGGCGGCATATGATACGCCGCGGGTCAGCTCGTATCTTATAATTTTAAATAAATATATTGTGCATCAATAAACACGATTGTGACAAATTTCAGTCACTCTATTCCCCCACACCCTCTCTAATTCGTGCTTACAATATTACATAGGCCTAAAGCTTAAGGATTGGTTAACACTGTACATTAGCAATTTATGGAAAACCTACAGCGGCATTATAATAAGGGGGTGGGGTTTGAGAGGGCACTACGTGTAAATATTTTTTTTAACGTCTGTTGAGAGGGGGTAAGGAATCGCTGATCAGTGAAACGCGCTATAATTACATTTTAACCCTCCTATAACTTATCACACATCCCCCCTCCCGCCCCCCATTAGTGAAAGCCGCCTCTGGCCTTACACACGTCCTTGAATATTAAACCCACGCCACATGGTAACGACCGCGTGAGCACGTGGTGTATCCCTCAGACCAGCTGTAACTAGGCCGGCCGTTTGCTCCTAAACCTACCTGTGTGTTAAATTTATGGGCGCCAGCTTGTGTGTTGAGGATACTCACGGGTCATCGCAAACATGGCGGATTATTACCAACACGAGCTGGATATAGATGCACTTCCCCCTCCACCCCTCATGAGGTGAGTTAATTTTAAAAAATAGGCCTACTTTAAATGTAAATTTTAAATAAGTTTTTTACAGAATCCATTGTAGTATATACTCTATTAAATTTAATAACCGTTAGGCCTATAGATCTAGTTTAAATTGTACGAGCCGGCCCGCGGCATAACATACGCCGCTATTTAGTTGTTTCTAATTTTCAATAATTCATAATTTGTGAATTCGACAGTACCAACGCTGACACTGAAAATATTTCTTTAAAACACTATAAGTAGCTCGTTAAGGACCATACCCCCCCCCCCCTTCCTTCCCTCCCCCCCTCCTCCTCCCCCCCCCCCCCCCCTACGTTTAAAATCGTTGGCTCTGCTTGTAAACATTTAGAGTGAACACAGCTCACTAAAACCATGTAGGGGTGGGGAGGTAGGGAGAGCGTTTGCAGCTTGTTTTCTAACGGCTCGAAGAGGAGAATTATATATATAGAAGATAGATAGATCTATCCCTTTGTGGTTAAGGCTCAATTGAATTTAACTTTTAACAGATCTAGCAGTTGTTCTCGTTACTAGTAGTAGAAATCTTGGGTTATTTGTTTTGCATATAGGCCTATATATTTCCCAAAAAAAATATCTAACGAATGAGAAAAGTGAACTCTTGGTCATTTGAGAGAAAGTTTTATTATCCCTTATCACTCAGCGCATGTTATTACAATATTTGTTTCAAGATTAGCGATATAGAGTAGAGCCAGAATCTATCTATGTATCTAGATCTATCGAGATTCGAGAAGCCTTGACCAGATCTAGACATAATTAAATATACAAAAGTTGCGCCTCATGTGTGTTGAACATAAAAAGGAAAAGATGAGGGTATAATAGTTGGTAACTACTATTATTTATAGGCCTAATTCATTCCATATCAACTAGCAGGTCATGCCGCTTGTTGCATGGCAAGCGTAAACAAAAAAATCGTCAAAATAAAGATTCATTTAATTTTCCTATAAATATCGTCGATAGTATATAGACCGTTATTTTTATTTTAAAAAAACATAAAAAGGTAGGCAAAAATAAAATAATACGTTCTCAAAATAATACGTCACACATAGTCCTAAACCGTTTTAAACAATTTAATCTTTTAAGAATGACGAAAAAGAAGTTTTTTTGTTTACTCACGTTAGAGACTTTAGTGTGAGGGTAAGGAAGGGGGACTTCTGACGTCAGAGGATCTGGATTTTTTAAAAGGGCCATCCATAAATGACTTCACTCTTTCTTTGACGATTGTTATCTTCCCCTCCGTCACACACAGAGTTTCTTCCAGGCATCTCCCTACCATAACCCCCCCCCCTTCCGAAGAAAATATACCGCCCCCCCCCCCGAACGAAATGGAATTGATACAGAAGATATAGGCCTATACTTTAAGCTGTGTCCGCCCCCCCCCCCCCGGAAGTTTCAATTGGCCCCCTCCCCCCCCCCCCCCCCCCCCCCGAAAATTTCAATTGCCCCCCCCCCCCCCCCGGAGAAAAAAATCTGGAAGAAACACTGGTCACACATCACAAATAGACAGACCACCCTAAAATGACGTCACACATAAACCTACAACACCACCACCCCCCTTCCCTGAACTAGGATAAAAAATATAGATCTATTCATCAATTTCTATTACATTTACAATTTATAAAAACAGTTCTCAAAAGGGCGGGGTAAAAAAAGCTAAATTTCAGTTTCTAAAATTACTCTTTTAAAATGCAAATGTGTGACGTCCCACTATTTGACCCCCCCCCCCCCCCCCCCCCACTTTCATCACAAAATTACGGGACCCCTCCGGTAAACGTTGTTCGCCCCCGAAGAGATGGCCTGGAAGAAAGTGTTTTACAGTCAGTAGGTTTATAATTATATCTTCCTAATACTAGCGACAACGGCCATGGTTTCTCGGTCTCTGAAAATCCGGACCTGTTACTAAAGGGGCATAATAGTTACGTAATACAAAGATACACATCGGCTTCATATAATTTTGGTTATGTCCCCTCTATTGTAACAGATAATCATCGCATTCTGAATTCAACATGGCGTAAAAGTAGGCTAAAAGACTTGTAGAAGTAAACAATTAAATTACAATTATAGGTCCAAATCTAGACCTACCAAATAACTAGCAATCTAATCACAAATAAAAGCTATTTGGGCTGGTGTTTTTAAATCAAATAACTACTGGTAAGTTATCAGAGAGAGATCCCTTCATCAGTTAGTGTCACTCATCACTGAGTCACTCAAGAATCAAGTCAAGATACAAGAGTTCAAGAGTCTAGTCTAGTGAGTAGTGAGTCTAGTCTAGATTCTAGTTCTAAATCTATTTCTAGATCTAGAGATCTAGATGAGATTAGATTTCTAAGTAGACTAAGTAGATTTTAGAGATAGTGAGCAGCAAGTGTCGGCTCTGCTGTTTTGAGCTCTGATTCTGACTAAGTCAAGTGACTAAGTTAAGTCAAATTCTCACATTCAGTCAGCGAGTGTGTGTGACAAAGTGTAGAGTGTAGTGTAGTGATTGTAGATACTTTAGCTAGAATCTAGCATGGTTATTATTCCGGAATTGTACAGCAATAAAAAAAACAGTAAAACCATGGCGTAGTCTGTCAAGCCGTTCCGGAAATACTGTGTAAACCATCATGTATGATCATTTTTTTCATTATTTCTTGCCACCATATTTATATTTTTAATACATAATCAAATGTTTAAAAAGAGTGTGTCTATTGGTACTTCACTATTTTTAGCCGACCAATCAAATTAAAAAAAATAAGTTTATTGTCCTGAGCATGCATGCATAGGCCTAATTATTTTTTTATTATCCATTTGGTGGAACTTCCTGTGGTTGAAGTGGTTATGCATTGGTCGGTTTATTTTCAAGGTGTGGGTTCTATTCCTTTTGGCTCAGAGTTTTTTTTTTTTGCCTTTTTAAAAACATTTTACTTAAGGGTTAGGCGTTAGGGTTAGGCATTAGGTTAGGGTTAGGCATTAGGGTTAGTGTTAGGCTTTAGGGTTAAGTTTAGACATTATTAGGATTAGGATTAGGTATTAGGTGAGGGATGGGGATTAGGGTAGTGTTACGTTTAGGGTTAGTGATAAGGTTAGAACTAAAAAAAAGTTAGTTCTACATCATAGCATGAATAAGAGAATTCAAGAATCACAGAAAAAAATGCCTCGCACTGATTGGTCAGAGTACGAATAGCCTTCATATGGCTATTTGTAGTAAAGTATGAATAGCGCAATCTTTAAAAATGTGCATGGATTTATTTTAGTTGCATTTTAAATACTGTTTTGCTAATTATTTTGCATTTCTAATTATTTTAAATGTATGTGCTAATTATTGCTGCTACTAAACTTTGTTCTAGTTCTTCTTACTCCTTTTACTTTAGTAAATCTAATCGTCTTATTTTACTAGATCTACATTTAGTTGTCGCAAATCTTCTGCAATTTTTTTTCTGTTTCTTAAAAAAGTCATTAATTACTACACACAAATTTATTAATAATATTTAGATTTTCTAATTGTTGTTAATTTTCTGTCAGTTAAACTTTAAATTAAGTTAAAACATTAATTTAATGCACTTGACTTTATTTTTATTTTAACGGTCAAATAAACTATGTTTTACAGTAACGAATGTTACCGAAACTCAACAAACGTTACCAGATAATTTCCGACGCTATATCGTGAGATTATTTTTACCAAAGTTATCTCCCACAGACCACATCCCTAGCCCTTACCCAGATGCTAACCTCAATCGTAGCTGTAAAACATTGGCTTTAAAAATTAGTTTATGATATTTATTCTCATCTACCAGTGTTTAAAGCTTAAAAATGTTTAAAATAAAATAAGTGCTCATCAGTTTAATATTTTTAAACAATTTTATTTAATTTCAACTTAACTCTTACTTTTTTGTAAGTTATTAACCATATTAATGACTGTTTTTTTTTTGTTGTTGTTAAAGAAGTTTAAATGTACTACTTACAGATTGTAAGATAAATTTTAAACTGACATTCATTGAATTTTACAAGAACAAAATTCTGGCCCAAATTTTTGCAACCTTGTAGTACCTTAAATTTAACATCCACAAAAAAAAAATATGCTTATTTTGGTTATCTAAAATGAAGCTAAAGTATACATTTAAGAGTCTGTTCTTATTAACGGAGATAAAGATCTAGATCTTAACACTTGCACAACTCTTGCATGTTTATTTAATTACTTCTAGTGGCTGAATTCCCATTAAAGAATCTTTTTTTTCTTGTTGTCTATAAAACTTTGATCATTGCCATTCCCTTTAAAGACATTTTTATTCAGTGCCATTTGTGGCAGCTAACAATAGCTATGGGAACACAAGAGCCTTTTTTGGCCCATGTGTACACCCCTGCCTCCTGGTTTAATATTGGCTGTTAACAAAGAATGCAATGCTAAATCAACACTAGAGCACTTTAAAATACTGAGTTAGATTTTTAAATCTTATGGTATGGAGTTTTTTTTTTTTGGTGAACTAAAGTAATGTTTGCATGAAATGAGGATGATGATTTAAAGGGAATGTATTTCAGTCTAATTTGAATTCAGCAACAAAATTACAGTAATCAAGAGATACAATAATTAAAATAAAATATGCCCTAATTTTTCCTTGTAAAAGAAGTAGTATATTTTTGTTGAGTATTGTACCATAGCTTATTTTAAAAGTTATTTATTTCAGTGCTAGTTAGGTTGTAAGTCAAAAATATTTACTTTTTCATTTGTTCAAAATAAAACTACTCTTGTTAAATTATTAATTGTTAGCTTAACTACAATTTTACTTTAATCCTGAATATAGTGTGCAACAAAGAAAATATAGATTAAACTCTAGTTAGCTATATATCTAGAAATATACAGTGTTTGCCTATTAAAATTAAATAATAATAATAATAATAATAAAGGTAAATTCAGTGCATGAATTCCATCAAAATATGAAGTCACAAATTGTAACACTGTCCAGCTAATTTTTTCTTCCATGGACACTTTAAAAAAAAAAATGAAAACTGTCCCTTGTTAGAAGAGTGTTGACACACTATAACAAATGTTGTCCAGCTATTTCAGGTTATGCCTGTATTTGTTCAACCAGCTGCTGGCTCTGCTGAAAACACATCAGGCTGCTGTGACAGTCACCTCTGCTAATCAACTGTTCATTGGAGAGAAATTTTCTCCCAGGACGAACATTTCTTCCTCAGTTGTTGCATGTTGATGAGCACGGGACACTGTGCTTGATAACTTTGGTGTTCAGTTATGACTTTACAAGAAATGTTTTATTTTGGAAATAAAAAGTAGTTAAAAACTACTCACAGTTTCGATTATTGAGATACCTTTTTCATCTTTTCTGTATATTCTCCATGCTAAATTAATTTTTATAATAAGTTTCATTATTTCATTATTATCTGTACCACATTTTTTCTTTACAAAGAAAAAGCTTTTATGTTTCTATATTATGTATAAACAAAAAAGCCAAATTTTTTTCCACTTTTAGTTGAATCCTCTAAATAATAGTTAATTTAATCATTTATAAAATACTTATTTTAGTGAAATTTAAACAAAGAATATATAAGTTAATACAGTTAAAGTTGAATTCTCATATTTCTCACTAATTATGAGTAGAAACATGTCACGACAAAAAAGTGAAGCAGGACATAACAAAAGGTATTTCAAGTAATTTTTTAAAAAACACTTTTGAAGTTTTTTACAAATGTGTTAACATTAATAACATGCAGATTTTTCTATCTTTTAGTCTAGCTATTATGTCTATGTATCTAATTTTTTTTATTTAGGTAGTAAACCTCTCAACTACCTGACAACCAGTGATATAAATTTTCAGACCAACAAATGTATGGTCAAAAAAGGGTAACAAGTTTTTTCTGTTAATAATTTTTTGGGTAAAGTGTCAAATCTTTTATTCTAGGAATCAGAATTCTCCAACAAATGAAATGGGGAGAGAGAAAAAAAGTTTCAGTGTTGTCAAGTACATTTTCTTTGGTTTTAACATCTTTGTGTGGGTAAGGAAATCTTTCATATTTTAGTAATCATTTTGTAATTAAAATATACAAATGAAAGGATAAAATTTGTAATCAACAGATTAGAAATTAAATACAATTTTATAAACCAAAATAATATTTGAATTATTAGATGATATTATTGGAAAAAAACACATTGTACACCACATAAGGCTTTAAAATTTGTGATTGTTGTTTTAAAATTTGCTTTTTAAAAAACTAGCTGCTAGGCTGTGGTGTTTTGGCTGTTGCAATATGGCTGTGGTCTTCCCGAGCCCCTAGTACATCAATAGTACCATCGCACTCATTCTTGAGTGCCTCAACCATTTGTATCATCTCAAGTATCATTGTCCTCATCATTGGTTTTATGGGATGTATAGGGGCTTTCCTGGAAAATCAATGCCTCCTTATTGGGGTAAGTTCACACATTTTGTGTGTCTATATCTAGGCTGTAGGCAATACATTTGTTTAATCATAAGAAAATGTTTTAATTTATAACTATTTGAAGAATTTTTTGATGCTCTACCATTTGGGATCTCTGTTGAATGGGCTCACATGTAGTTTTAAAGTAACTAGAAAAACTAAATTCTGCTTCTAAAATATGCTATAGAATATTGTAGTCTTGTTATATGGCATATGGCTAAAGCTTATCAATCTTAAAAAGTGTGATAAGTCACCTTTTGTAAGTTACCCTTTGTAAGTTTCCCTTTGTAAGTTACCCTTTGTAAGTTACCCTTTGTAAGTTACCCTTTGTAAGAAAAGATAGTATGGTCAACACTGTGCCCAGCCACCTTTACTTTCCGTTACCCATGAGAGTTGAGTGGACTCATGGATGTCCTATAGACTTAATTCTGTTGTTTGATCAGTATTTGATACTAATTAGGGGAGAAAAGTAAAGGATAAGCCATTTGTAGTAAAACATTTGACTATAACCAAAGTTTTTAAGACATTTAAGAAATTGAAATTTTATAGTGTAGTTTCTTTATCACATCAATTTGTAGACAATTTAAAAAAATACTCATCATTTTACATAATATTGCCACACATTTACTTTTTTACAGTACTTTATTCTTGTACTGCTGAATTTTACATCATATTGCCACACATTTACTTTGTTACAGTACTTTATTCTTGTACTGCTGAATTTTACATCATATTGCCACACATTTACTTTGTTACAGTACTTTATTCTTGTACTGCTGAATTTTACATCATATTGCCACACATTTATTTTGTTACAGTACTTTATTCTTGTACTGCTGGTGTTTGCTTTGGAGATTACTGCTGGTGCTCTTGGCTTTGTGATGAAGGACAAGGTACTTTATTTATATATAGCTCACCAATATTTAAGTTCAGAATTTTGTGTTTCAGCATATATTTTAGAACATCTAAACAACACCTTTCAACATAAACAATTAAAATTTTAAAGCCCTCAACGGTCATGAAACAAATAAAGCATGTAACATCTATTTCCTAGACTTCATAATATAAAGGGATTATTATCCACACGGTGTATAGAAGATTTTTATCTTCCCTGGCTTAAGTCACATACTCATCAGGACTTGGTGGACTCAGGGAGGTCCTACTGGATCCAGCCTTGAGCTGAATAAGTGTGTACTAGCAATCAAGTGATCAGTTTACTGGAAACATAAATAATGACCATTTTTAGATTGTAGTTTCTTTTAAACTGGGTAGTAATCTACTGTTATAAATTACTTTTGTTTAAATATTTTGTAACCTCACTGTTATGTATGTTTTGTAGCCTGAATATATAATAATAATGTATATTTCATACAGGTGCGAGGAGTGATACATAATGAGTTATCTAGTGGAATCAAGTATGACTATAGAACAGAAGTGCAGATTGAGCTAGAGTCTAAAAATACTTCATTGTATGACAAAGATTCAAAAGGATGGTCCACTTCATTAGATGCACTGCAAAAGGATGTTAGTACTTAAGTATAGTAACTGTACCACACTAATTGGGTTATTTAAAGGTTGATTCATTAAAATCTTGACAACCTTTGTTGTAGCTTTTAATATGCATATGTAAACATTTATTTTAAACACTTCTAGTGGTAATAATAATTTAATCAGTGAGTCTAATTTATTGTTCATCCTGCTGTTAAAATTACCTCTTGCAAAACATATTCTTGAATAGAACCCTTTCATCATGTTTTATAATTACTGGTATAAATAAATTGTTTTTTTTGGTACTTTTCCCATAATGCTAAATGCTGACAGTATCAGCAGTAAGAAATTTTTTTTTATCTTCTCCAACAGCTCCAATGTTGTGGTGTAGACAACCACACAGACTGGTACAACATTCAAGCATGGCCAGAAGAACAAAAAGTGCCAGAGTCTTGTTGTATCACACCAACACCCAACTGTGGATATGGAGATGCTAGTCTCTGGCATAAAAAGGTCAGGGTTTATTTATATTGGATTTGAAATATTTAATTATTACTGGCTGTTTTAGAAAAACAACAGCTATGTTTTAAAAACTAAAATACTGAGATGTGTAACAATTCATTCCAATTCTCAAACACCTTCCTGAGTACATAGGCTTATATCAGCAACTAATGTTCTGTTTAAATATTGCTGCTTAGATATTAAAATCTGTTGATTGCTGAAATATTTTTGTTTTCCTCATGAATTTAATTAAAATACATTTCCCTCTTTTTTAACTGACTAGCATCATGATTGTAATGTTTGTAATGTTTTTAAATTAGTAAACACTTCACTAAATTCACCAGGAGTATAGAATCTACCTTAACGTTTGTTGAGTATGTAATAATACTTTCTACTACAGTACATTTATTATCTTCGCAGGGTTGTTTGGGAGAGATGGAGTATTGGTTTACAAAAAACATGTACATTCTAGGAGTAACAGGCATCACCATTGGATCTATACAGGTTAGCAGCAGTTTATTTAATTTAAATATACTAGGATGTTGCCTTATTCAGATAATACATTTTTAATAGGGCTGGTAAGTAGGTCACCAACCAGTTCTATGGCTCAATAAAACCTGCATGAGCCATAGAACTGGTTGGTGACCTACTTACCAGCCCTATTACCTTGTCGATGTGTAGCTGGTTGAACACCTAAGATATCCAATGTGAAACGTTAAATTAAGCATATGCATTTATCTTTTAGAAATACAGTTTTAAAATAACAAATTTACTGAATTTTTCTTCTTCAGATTTTAGCAATGGTTGCTGCAATAGCCCAGTTTTGTTACATCCGCAGCAAACGCTTCCCTTTATAAATAGATTTTGCACCTGAGCCAGATTTTGATGTACGTTTTTTGTAAAATGTCTGGCAGACATTTATGTGTTTTTCAATAATGAACCTCAAATTATTTTAATTGTAGTAATATTAAATTGTGCAGCTTTAATTTCTCATCACTGCATTTAAATTTAATACCTCTAATTGAAATTTTTTCCCCTGGTTTAAATATTTTATTACATCATTGTAATCACCAAATTTCAACCATATATTCATTGTTGATAGCCCTTTCAAATTTTTAATAATTTTTCGAGGGTAGAGAAATTCAATGAGAAAGACTCTCACCATTACATTTTTTATGATGTTGAGAAATTAATTTCAGTTGTAAATTTTTATTTTATTTTTGTGAAATATGAATTACCTCTGTTGGAAATCAAAATACAATCACAAAAATAATCTGCACAAGTGATATTAAATAGGGCTACTTTTTTTTGCATTTTGTAACTTATTTATTGTCACGTTTTTTTGAAAATGTAATATTTTTGTTTGAACAGTAAATTCCATTAATTGCTGCATAACGTCATGGTCAAAGCTTTCAGTATTAGTTTTTTGCTTTATATATATAACATTCTTTGAAAGGATTTTAAAAACATTTTTGTCTCAGGAAGTAAGGTTTAATTACGCATTACTTTTTAAAATGGAGGTTATATCTTGCTAACTAAATACATCTCTCACTCTCTCTCTCTCTATATATATATGTATGTGTGTATATATATATATATATATATATATATATATATATATATATATATATATATATATATATATATATACACATAATCAAACAAACATACATATATACATACCTACACTTACACACATACATTAGTTATTATAAAGTACTTTTATTTGCCTGCTGATGCAAGAGATTCTACATACTTGATAAAAGTCTGGTGTCTCAGATCTTACAACTGTTTAGCTATTGTTGCTATTTACAGTAACAACATGCTTTATACAACTAATCTCATGGTCTTTATATTTAGGTCCAACCATGGTTTTTATTTTAACCACCATGAATTCTTAAATTTGTGTTCCATTTTTAACCTCAATTTTACAGCAGCATTTAACCAATTATTTGGGCTCATTTAAGGGCTTCTCAGCACAATCCTAGAAATTACCATTGCACTCTATGTTTAATGTTAATTAAACTGTATTGCTGATTTTTTTAATGGTAAAAAAAATTGCATTTGACAGCATTGTCTATAATTGGTACTTAACTCAGTTGTCCCTGGTGCTTGTAGTGTAGAGTCATGAACACCAGGTTCTACATTAAAGATTGAGTAATGAGTAGTCCGTAAATGACATAACCTTCCAGACAGTATGTGCTACGTGGATTATGGGGGTGTAAGAATGACGTGTAACAACTCACAAGATGTATTTCTTTATAATTAAAACTGTATGAAACTATTTTATTTGTTTTAGAGGCGAGAGTGAATTTTTGTGATAACATGAGTTGGTGTTACATATTGTAATTGAATTAAGTCATTTGCGGACGACCCCCCCCCTAATGTCAGTAGCTAAGCTTCACAGTGGAGTGCACACTACATATATCTACTGTGCTGGAGATTGTTTTTATTGTGATGTTTATCATGTAAATAATTTACAATACATTAAAAAGTGTATTATATTACCATTGGTTACATATTAAGTGTATTAAAATTTATTTAAATTGGTATTTTTATTTTATTTTGCCACATTCATTTATATATATATATATACACATATAAAATATCCATTGAGTTTTGGTAATAGTTTATATATATTAGTGAAATACCTCAGTTCATCAATGAAAATTGTATAACGGTTAAATCAGATAATGTTAACAAAAAACTAGTCAACTTTTATTGTCAAGCCGTAAAAATAAATTGTTGCTGTAGCTAAAAGCAACAGTTAACTTTGTATTAAAGAGTTCCTATTGTTTATTCAATGATAGAAAAATGCTTCACATTCAGGTTTTTAGTAGGAAGTGGGATTTTATATAGCATTTATTGTTGAATAATTTGTATTTTATTGGAAACAAAAATATGCTTTTCAGTTTTTTTGTAACTACCGGCTAACTGGATTAAGATTTGACTGTAAATGCAAAAGGTTTATATTGAAATATTTTGTATTGTTTTCATGTACAAGTAAAATTTAACTTAATCTTGTGTCCAAGGTCATGTATTTTGGCTATAGAGGTAGTGTTTGCACTAAATGATTACATATTTTGTTTGTGTTATAAGCTATGTATTGTATATTGTTAGTTAAATGTTATCATAGCCTCATAGTTTAAAGAAAATACTATACTTTCATGTGATGATACTATCCCCTTCTCAGTACAGTTGAGCAAAAGTGTTCAATTTTTTCTAAAATTGGTGAATGCTTTTTTATTTTAATTATATTTTTATTCTGTATAATTTTTTAAAAAATAGTGAAAAGCTGATTTTAATTATATTCAAAGCTGGTATAACTGGTAGATTCAATTGTATTAAGCAAGCATTCAAAATCTTGTGTATTAAATATGATTGGTTGTGGTCTTCCTTACTCAGTTACTAATTATAGATAAACCCACACATCTCAATTATCTAAGTGTTTTTGTTTACATACTAAATGTAAAACAATAAATATGTACTTAATATTTTTGTTCTTATCTTATTCTTGATAAAATGATTGTTAATGATAGTTGCTTTTTCAATAACCCCTTGTCACATAAGTCAGTTCACCTGTTCACTGTTTCAAAAATGTGTTCTGCTTCAAGTTTTGTGCCAGAAAGAAGTGAATCACATCTACAGATGTTAAATTTAGCAACTGAATTATTCCCACCTGTGTCCAGTATTGTAAGTGAACAAGGATTTTCACTTTTATAGTGGAGTGAACTTTAAAACTGCTGTAAAATATAGCGGTGCAGATTAAAACAATTATAGTTGAAATGAAAACACATGCTTTTTACATTTTTACACTAATGAACCACAAAAAGGACTGACTCTCAATTATTTTATTGTAAATGTATAATACACTATATATATTTTATCTATATAAATGTACACATTATTTGATGCTTTGTACAGAACACAGAAAAATATTTCAATTTACAAAAGTGATTACAGCATTTAGTTTGCTTTTTTAAAATTACAAAATACACTAAAATAGACACTAAAAAAAAGGCCAATAGTCCTAAAAACTAATTACTCTAATATTTTTTTAACAATTACATATCTGGTTTACTCTACATCAAAGCATAACATCAGCATATAATTTACATTAAAAGTAGTAATAAATACAACAGAAAAATATAAATTATTGTTTAGAGTTGAGTCTCCCACTTCTTCTGATCCCAGCCCTGGCGGAGGCGTAAGACTTCCTGGTGGGTGTACCATCACCACTGAAAGATGCGTCTGGTTCAAGCTTGACAGCTGACTAAAATGACAAGAAGAAAAATTGCTATTTCTGGATGCAGCTGAAACAACACTATTTAAACCTTACTTAAATACAAGTTAATTAAGCTAAATAATGCTCGGACAAAGGGGCAAGCAACCCATCAAACCCACTACAGAGAAACTAACAAAATGGTACAGCGAAAGTGCTACATATATTAGGGTATTTGTTAGTGTTATTCATAAACAAGTAAACTATTGCCCAAAACTAAACATTAAGTCAGCTGATCCTTAACCCTCCACTACAATAAAAACACTAGTAATTGTTTACTTGAATAAACTTATATTAGAGCAGGTCTCATAAACCCACTTCAATTGCAACAAACTGAATGTTTAAATGTAGAAGATGCACATGATGCACAAAAACGAATGACTTACTGGTGACTTGATATTCCACTTGACAGGCTCTGGGTCTCTAGAACAATAACAGAATTTAACATTTAGATAAACCAGAATTAAAATTAAATCTGTACTTAAGTAGCAAAGGGAATAAGCAATTATATTCTATTTCCTAAAGGAAATCAAGCTTTCTTGTTGGTTAAAATTACTCTTATGATGAATACCTTCACCTAAAAAATAGTAACACCATAATTAAATGTTTATATTGCTTCAGTTAATTATATTGACAATATTTCTATATTACATTGTGGGACTCATGAACAACAGCCACCACAAGTTGATGATATTTGTGTTAGCAATATCTGACAATCTTACTTGGCTTCAGGATGTGGCATATGAATGATGCTTTTCTTTCCTTTCCGTTGAACTTTGACAGTTGGAGACAGGCACAACTTCCCTGTGATAGTAAATTGTTTCTGGTAATCATTCTAATAATTATCAAAAGCTAAAGAAATATACATTACAAATCTGTAATATAGATTCTTAAAAAAAAAGAAAATTAAAAAAAAAAAAAAAAGATTTTTAAAAGATTCAGCTATGACTGAGTTGTTTTTTTACACCATAGTATACAAAATATTTTATAGGCTCAAACCCTGTTAGACAAGTAAAAAAACAAATCAAACATAAATGGTTAAAATCTTATCAGCAATCAATACATTTACTTCTTCATTACTTAACTTTTTTTTTTACTCAGAACATAGGGTTGAAAAGAAGTTTGGAAAAAAGTTTTTTTTAAATTATTTGGAATCCTATAGTTTAAACAATCCCCCCTCACTCTCAACAAACAAACAAAAAATTGTGTTTACCTCCATTTTGAGCACTAGCCACTGATGGTATAGGAGAAGGAGGGAGCATTGTGATGTTCACATCAGCTCCAAATGTTATGTTGTACATGGCGTCTATATACAAATAGAACAATTATTTTTATAGTCAGTGTTAGAAATGTAGTTTTATATATTTAGCTAACAATTCTAGTTGGAAGCATTGACAGGGATAGTGTACTCAAGTGACCCGGCATAATCTCTAGAAATAGCCCAATTAACTTTCAACAGTTCACATCAATTCCTACAGGTAATCAAATATTATGCAATAAAAAGTAACCTGTGGGTGTGCTGATGGCCCTAGTTTGACTTGGTACCCTCACTGGGGACATCAATGTATTCTCATTGCTCTCACAGTTCTGGAACCAAAATTTAAAATAGGCCTTAAAATACTTATTTAATTAAAAGTAAGGATTATGATTTTTTAACTTAACTAAAGAAGAATATAATTGTGTAATTTAAAGTAAAGGATACACATTACATGGTAATGCATTTAAAATCTGTCAAATAAGTTTGTTAGAAAAATGTATACACTATTTTTTTTGTTGTTAGTTTTTAGAGTTAAAACTTTTGAAAAACTTGATTAGAAATCATATTTAAATTTGCACTGGCATTTAATGATCAAATATTACAGCTTTAATTGAAACTTACCGGAGATACATTGGATTTGTGTTTTCCTTTTTTATGTGAAGATGTGAGACAGGAAACGGATGAATTCTTGTTCTAAAATACATTACAACAAACACAATTAGCATCAAGTAAAAATATTTTCAGACAAAAAAAAAAAGGGTAAAAATATGTAAATAAAGACATTTTACCAGTTTAACAGGTGAAAAAGGACCACCAGCTTGTCTTAGCTGGTCAACCCGAGTCATAGCTTTCTTAGCGGCATCCACAATAGAGAATGATGACCGCCTGCAATTAAATTAATTCATTACAACTGCTGACCCTCTGATGGCCAACTAAGTAGAAATTATAAAAATAATCATTTTTGGAATAAATGTATATACATATAAACCAACAAATGCTTAAATATCTATTTTAAAAATTGTGCATGTCTCTACAAGAAAATGTTTTTTCTAATCGTCAAGTGAAAAAAGTTGAATCAATAAAAAAAAATAAAATGGGAAAGTAACAGACAATGATTTCATATAATAATTGGTCTTTATGTTTCAAATATAAAATACTAGATCTATAAATGCAACAAAGACCAAAACAGTGCATTAAGAAAACCTGGCTTGGCGCAACAGAGAAATAAAATATAATTATTAAGACAACTCTAACAAAACTTCAGGTATCCTGACTTTCTCACCTGGAGGATGGATTGGAGGAGGCAGGACTTGATCTACCTGATCCACCATCTGGAACATCTGCGGGTGCCTGCGTGATTTTGATTTCTTTAAGAACGTTTACTGCTGCTGTGGTGCCTCGGTTTGAGACCACAACGGGACTGGTGCTGGTGCTACTTGTTCTGCTAACCACAGGAGTGTTGGGTCTTGGTGTTCTTCTTCCATCTGCTGCCTGGAGGTAGGAAATTATAACTAGATACAAAACCTGTGTGTGAAGGAGAGACAGGACCTATAGGTCAACAGAGCAGTTCACCCATTGTAATTGGCACTGCCCAGCTGCCTTTGTTTTCTAAGGAAGCTACCTTTCTAAGCTGGACAACAATACAAACTCCAATTAGCAATCATCTGCGCTTCCCCACTGGACCATTACTTTCAATTGATACAAATTAAGTTTAGCCGAATGCTTTTAATAGTTTTCATGTTCTCATCATTCACTTTCTTATCATTGCTTTTTTTAAACAGTAATTTAGTCTAAAAAGGTTTATCTGTTTGACTAAGATAAACTATTAAAGTATGTATATAAAAAAAAGGTTCTAACTGTTGTGGCCCGAGCTAAGGCTTCCCTTTCAGCTTGCCGATTTTCAAAGTTTCTCAAGTCAAATGCAATTTCTTCAGCCAGCTGTTTATCATCAGCCAAAATGTCTGTAAACAATTTTTTTAAATGTTTAGAACAGTTTAATCATTTTAATTTTCAGTAACAAATTATGGAACACTTCTAGTGTAATCAATTACAGATAGTATTTTAAAAAAAAAGGTTATCTAGCGAAAGTAATGCTATTAAAACCAGATCTTATTTGCTGCTTAGTCTCAAGACAAATATATTAAGATTTTAGCTTGAACAATAGGCACTGACCTCAGTTTCATAGATTTAATTTACTATGCACTAACCCTAACTTTAGTGATTAAAATAGCATGTTCACAAAATCAAATTATTAGGCCTTTTTTTTTTAAGTTATTATTTTTGATTATTCTGAAAATATTACACACCTTTAATTTCAGATTTGTAATCCTTCATCAGTTCTCGTAGATATCCCATTAAGTCTTTTAGAAGAGAAGATCTGCTTTTCTCCAGCTAAAACATTGAACAAAAATTAATGTTAAAAAAAGAATACAAGTAACAATAATCAAACTATTCTATTGAAAATGGTTAAAACCAGAAAAAAAATGTCTTTAGTTACCATGTGCTTTAGGGAAATAACCACAGGCACAATGTTTTCCATGACATTCCGTTTTACAACTTGTGATATCAAAACCTTTTTGGCTGTGGCAGTCACTATCTGAGCCATATCAGCCCCTTCTTCAGGAACATCATCTGTGTTTCTGCCTCTCATTGTTGACAGTTTAATTTCCTGCGATTAATTCAATAATACAGGGATTGCTGACCAAGTCAATACATAATACTTATGAAGAAAGCAAGTCACACTAGCTTCAGTCAGATTAATTCAATAAAACAGGAGTTGCTGACTTAGACTAAGTCAATACATAATACATGTGAAGAAAGCAAGTCACAGTACAGTTATGTGTTAAAGTAAACTAGTAGGGAATCAAAAAGTAACAGACCTTACTACTTAAAATAGCCAAAGCATCAACCAATAATGAAGCACCATCAGCATCTAGTGGAATTATTTTATCAACAATGGCTGACAAAATCTGAGGATGAGATTCAAAATATAAAAAGTTAAAACATTCTTTAAATTACTAACAATTACAAAATTAATTTTTTTAAAAATAATAAAGTAAATAATGATATTGGTACTCACTTCTTTATTGGTTTTAGCAGTGATTTTAAACCTTTGCTCATCAGTCATGTGTTCAAGCATGAAACAATATAGACTCATTCTACGGCTGTAAAAAGATTAGTTTTAATATATATATATATATACATATATATATATATATATATATATATATATATATATATATATATATATATATATATCCCAAACTAAAAATAACTTTCTATTTATATTATTTAATTAGAAGTTCAACCTACTTAGCATTCTGTGGACCTGCCAAGGAAAACTTTTGCTTTTCACCATCTGATTGTGAAAACTGATTGTATACTGTAGGAAATGAAATACAGTCTCATTAGACACAAGTAAAATAAATTATACACCAGTTAATAATCAAGAATGTTATTTTATCTGGGTAAATAACTCATTAAGATTTAGGTAGCCTGAAATAAATTCTTTACCTGGGTGAGTTTGGTAGTTGTTGAAATGAAAAATGCACTCAATAAAGGGGTGAAAAAACATGTTGGGATGTTTCTGTAACAATAAATGCTCCAAGCAAAACTCAGCTGTAACAAATAGTTCAAACATCAGTTATTACAAGTACTGACTGAACATTCATCAGATATTAAAGTCAGTTTTAAAACACATTTTTCATACTTTTAATTGTATGATATAATAATCATGATACTATATCTTGGAGGAAAGGCATAGTATTATGGTTTAGTAACACCATTAGCTGTATAATAATTTATGTTAATAGGATAATAAGGTTAAAATTGACTAGTAACTAGTATCAAAAATAAAAAAGTCGACTAACCTAAGCTCTTTATCTCTTTGACCTCATCCAGTAGTGTTGTGATGTACCTAAAGAACAGGACACCTTTCCACTTGACATATTCCTCCTGAAATAAGTTATAAACCATACAGCTTGCACCAATTTGCATACTTCCATTATTAAAATCAAGAAATTATAATGCTCTTCATGACTGGTATCACTACCCAACACTATTTTTTGTGTTTAGTAATACAGACAGAAAAAAAATGTAAGTAAAATAGTTTCTGGAATAACATTACCCATCTCACTGTCAGTTGTAAGATATAGAAGGATATATAAACAATTCCCATACACAGTCATGGATACAGTTTAAAGGTATGCTAATTAAAAAAGTACACCAACCTGCAAAAGCCTCGTGAGAATAGTAAGAGTATTTTTTCTGACTAGAGCTGATGGGTCTTTTAAACAAGCTGCAATATTGGTCATGTAGCGGTCTACTAAAGTGGTGTACCTATTTTATATTACAAAAAGAAAATATTACAAATACATCATACTTTGCTACCCATGATCTTAATAAAGCTCAGATTTTCAGCGATGCCAATCTTTACATACCTTATGGTAAGATCCCCCATAACTATGACAACATTATTTCTAATGGCTGGACTGTCAGACTTTTCTAGTTCTCTTGCTAGAGCAGCCACTGTCTTTTTAGCTAAAGACTCATCCACTAAACACAATTTACCTGCAGATTTAGAGTGTTAGCTACATTTTTGATACCACATTTCCTTATAAAAACTAAAACTCCTTATATGAAACATGAGAATAAGCATTTATTTTTACATTAGTTTTTACATAGAAATAGTTATTTAATTTTTTTTTATTAACAGAAACAGCATTTGACTTGCTAATTTTTGTAGTAAAAAATTAAGATTCCACAGCATAAACAAGACAAAAAAAATTATTTAAAAAAATTGACGAGTTAATATTAAAACCATTAATAATTAAATCCTACCCAAAGTAATAAATGCATGAGCTCTCAGCTTGCTAGACATCTTGGAGCCTCTAAACTGGGACAGGGGTTGGGATGATGCAACAGTGCCCTGGGAGCTGGGCTGGGAGGATTGTGGCAGAGAATGCTGGCTGCTTTGTTCCTGGGAGGATGGGACGTCCATGTCAGGGGTGTCAAGTTTCCTGCCCTCGTTGTTGTTCTCAGCTTGTTGTTCCGAGTGGTAATCACCACTGCTGCCTTCATATTTCATAATACATTTTCATAAGTGAATTGAGTTATATTTAAATAAGCATGTCATGCTATTTAAATGAAACAATATTTCTAAAATGTATTATAAACTTGATACCACCACAACCAAAATAACTAGCAAGTAGTAAAATCTATGAGGCTGATGAAATGTATTTCATCCATTTCAATGGTTATGTATTAAAGGGATTGAATAATTAATCTAATAAATAATTAATCAACTTGATGTTTCCATTATATATATCACTTCAGCTGGTAAGATTTTTAAGGATGGTGTAAAATTACTACGTTATTTATTTATTTCTTACTCTAATGCTAAAACTAATAATGAAAATTACCATACCTATCTCTCCAATGCAAGGGGAAGCTACTACTGATTGAATAAGAAGAGTTACTCGCTTGGGCATTTGTGTTGGACATCGCTGGCACACTTCACCCAACGTGAACATGTATCGAATCATCTCTTCCTCATCAATACTTTCTGGAATTTCAAATAGTAAAAAAAAAAAAACTTCAAGCCCACACTCAAACAGTTGGTCTGTCATTAATTTTATAACCATCTGCATGGATTTTTACATTTCTAACATTCAATGTAATCATATTGAAATTTACATTAACATTTTGTCACCCTCATATTTAAAAGTAAAGTTCCCTTTCAAACCTGACGGTCTATAGGGCAAGTAAAGTAGAGTTCACTTGTTTCTGTGACCTCGGCATATGAAGAGATAGTGTGGTCAGCACTATGCCCAGCCGCCTTTACTTTCTCTAATGTGAGTTAGGTACCCATCAGAGTTGGGTGGACTCAGGGACAGTCTACTGACTTAAACCCGGATTAAAACTCGAGACTTACAGGTTAGCAGTCCAGTTCTCTACCGCTAGACCAATCCGTCCCCTACCCACATATTTTACTTACCTAAGTTATTCTCTGCTTGCAGTATAACATGTGACAGATATTTATCACAGTCATTCATGAGCTCCCCACCCCAGGCCTGGATAGATCTTTGTGATGTTTCAGGGTCTAAACAGTTGTGTAACTGAAACCAGATCGTAACATTGAGTAAAGTTTTAAGACCCATCAATTACTATATAATAATGTATTCTAGACAACACATCCGTTGTGTTAAGTTAGGACATAGCCGTTTTTTAAACTGTCCTATTTGGTAACCCAACTTCATTCTATCAATCTTCAAGTTGCTTTACAAGGTTTATAAAGTCATAGTAAAAAAATTGTTTTCTACAACAACTTAAATCTAATATTTAAAACATATTTTTTAAAACTTATTTCTTTAGAATTATTAAAAAACATGGGCTCATTGACCTCATTAATTAACTACCAAAGGATTACATACATGTCTAATTTTTAACTATTGAACCTACCCTGGAGACACAATTAACCATGCCAGCAATCAAAGGTGGAGGGTAAGAAAACGAGCAAAGTTTTTTCTTCAGGTCATCTACAAAATTTAGAAATCATTACATCAGAAAATTAAACAAAGGGTTACCTATCTCCTAAATCAGACATAAAAATAAATGTTTACTTGTTTAAAAAAAAATGTATGGCTGCAAGCATTAAATATTAAATTTGTAACAAATCTGAAAGAAATACTAAAAAAATCAAGATAACTAACAGCAGCATTTTCAAGACTGACAAAGTTCATGGACCTACCAAGTATTTCCTCCACCCCAGAGGGTATGGACTTAGCTATGGCGCCCAACACAGAGAGAACATTAACCCATGTTGTACACGCACTTTCATCTGGTAGGGAAATAAATAAAAATAAAATAAATGCGCTTCAGGTAGAGTAACTATAATAACTATATTTTTAAATAGGAATGTAGCCTATATGGAAATAAGAAAGTTTGATTTTGAACATAACAGCATTAACATTTCTACAACTACCTATCCCTAATGGATTTAATGAAATACTTTAGCTGCTTAGCTTAGTAGGTAAAAAAAGTTCCCATCTTAGACTTAACATTTCTTGACTTCGGCATATGAAGGGAGTGTGGTTAGCACCGTGCCCAGCAGAATTTACTGTCCCCAACGTTGAGTTCGTTAGGCCTACCCATCATAGCCAGACAGAGACCTTCAGGCTAGCAGCTGAATGCTCTACTATTCAACCATGCCATCCCATTTGAAAGGTAAACAACATTAAAAAAAATACCTGGCACAGTCTTGATACTTTTCCAATGATTCACTACCAGTTCATGTTTAATGTTTACAGGAGTTTTTGAAATCTCGGCTAGGAACATCCAGGCAGCCTAGGGGGACACAGACATGAAATGCTCATACACACACATTTTATTACCTATTTGTGGTACTTCTTTATTCCTAAGCAAGGCCAGATTATCATTTTGATACTATTAATTTCTGGTATCCCTAGGGTAACAATGAATACATCAAATAAAACATTCTGAAACTTCATTTAAAAAATGTTTAATATGGAATTCAATTATTGTAATGGCTAAAAAACATAATCTTCCCTACCCTATCATTTGCCCCATTGATGTGGCTTTGAACAGCTTTCAGCACAGCAGTGTTTAACTTTTTATTCCTGGCCCAGTACTGACATGCTTTCTGCAAGTAGCGCCTGTAATTTTAAAAAACAAATTAAAGAAGAAAAAATAGAAATCTAGATGAAAACAAATTTAAAATAGAAAAAAAAAATCACATACTATCTAAGATAGACAATTTTAGCAGTAAAATCCAACTGTTTATTAAAGAAGTTCATATTGATGAGAATTTTTTTTTTTAACCTCACATTTAAAAAAAAGTTTACCTCAATTTTTCACAGGTTTCATCAGCAATAATATTAAGTAACTCCCATTCTATGCCTGAATCGGAGTCCCTTTGATTAAATAAATGGAAAAGCAAAACAAGTCAATTTTTAACCAGTTATTTCATAATTTAATAAAATAAACTAGAAATAATGTATAATCTGATGATAAACTGATTAAAAAAACTTCTTTTAACAATATTAATTCTCAGTCACAGATACTCACAAAAGGCATAAAAAGTAATTTTTGTAACTTAAAATGCCATCCCAATCTTTGCTATATCTGATTATTTTATTTAGACTAAGAATCTACCTGCTAGCACTCAAGTTTTTTAGAATCAACTCTTCTAGATGGTCAAAACATTTCTCCTGGACTGAGGTCTCTCTGTCCATCACTTGTGGCAAGAGGCCAAATATCCATGCTCTATTTTAATTTTCAAAATTAGAGAATTAAAATGATTACATAAAATTTTATAGAAAACAAATATGAACGAAAAAACGAGTTTTAAGAAATTTTTTAAAACACTTTAAACTCTCAAAACAGTGGATCTTACTTTTGTATGTTCTTATCCTGTGGAAATGCTTCCAGTAATTCCGTCACTGATTGCACAGCCTGTTTCCTCACAGACAGAGCAGGATCAGCACACCTTTCTTGTAAAACTGCTAGGTCCTATACAAAGTAGTAAAATCCAAACTCATAAATCTAAATCATGACTAGGAATCGTACACAACAAATTAAAACTTGTGTAGGAGATTCAATACCTCTGCCCTATAAAGTGGAGCCTCCAACTGAATCACCTTCTGTAAAGCTTGTAACGCACATTTTCTAACAACAACTTTGGTGTCAAAGGCTCTGCGATGAAACATGGAGATAACACCCTCTGTATCAGGTAGATCTACAAAAACATTTGTTGACATTACCCACTATATAATTTAGCAAATATCTTCTATTTAATTTTCACTGAGAAAATGTTTAAAAATATATCGTTGGTCAGTAACTAATTATCAATCGTACATGGGTTGAAACCAGGGGTGAGTTCAATATGACAGAATGATTTTGACGACATTTTTGGGGTGTTACTATTCACATCAGCAGTCTTATTTTTTTCAATTGGTAAAGTGGAATTCTCTTGAATATCCCCAGTCGTTCCCACTGGTGTTTCTTCAAGATTTTCATTCTCAGAAGCTGAAAGAAAGAATTATTCAATAAGCACATTAAGTAGCAGCACCTTAACATATTTTTTAACTAAATAGAATGATACGCTTTTCAAAATATTTGGAATTAAATAACATAATTGTAAAGATTGTAGTATCGATAAAGAGAAGCATCAGGCCTTAATTTAATTTTGACCTCTTAAGTTATATTAGCAGCTTCTTTAGTTGTAAAAAGCCAAATTAAAATTACAAGTGGTAAATTGTAATCAATTAAGTATAGCTATACGATGTACAATACTGGTGTTAAGTTACAAGAGATATATGAAGGAAGCTAAGAATTGTTTGTATCTTTGTGTGGCTTTATCTAATCCTACACTTCTCAGGATTCCAGTCTCTTTAAGTTTCAATCCTCCATATAGCAAAATACAAGATGAATATAATCCTCACCTACTGTCCTGAGGGCAAACTGCGGGGTTGGCATAAAATGTTTAGCCGTAGGCCTGCCTTGTGTTGCTACTGGTGTTATCACCTCTTTGATGGTATTAACAACATCCTTTTGCTTTGAGTTTATACACACTGAGAATCCAACTAGCGCCCTTGATCTGACACTTAGAGCAGTAATATAAAAGATGACAATTATACAACTTACCAAATAAATAAATCAAGTGTAACCAACACCTGTTTAAGAACTTGAGTGCTAAACCCAGATATTTATAATAACAGATTAAGAAATTCCAAGTGTATTACCTTTACAAACAAATCCCTTTGGTCTTATTTACTGTCATACCCAAAAGACTAAAATGTCTGAACCTATTATTCTGTATTACAAGGTGTATCTATGCTTACCCAGCATTTGAATCAGAACACCTGCTTAGCATAGTACACAACATGCTTTTGTGGGTGGCAAACTGTGCAAGATCATTGGGAACTTCAGCTGAAAACAGTAAAGCAAACTTTATTAAACTGTAAGAAAAACCTATCTAATAACAGTGTATCTATGGCAAATAGTTGACTTACAAGACAGTTTTCTCTCTGGCTGCTCAAGCAGGGCCAGCATTATCTCAACAACAAAGCTCCGTTGGCAAACCTGCGTACAAATAAACACTTAAAGAATAATTGTTGCAATAACCAATTTACAAAAACAACCATTCACATTTCACAAAAAAAAAAAAAAAAAAAAAAAAAGTAAATATGTATGGTAATGTAAATGGATTTCTTACTCCTAGTAGCAATCATTAACAGGGTTCGTACTGCTTTTTGAAAATGAAATTCCAGACTTTTTCCAGACATTTTTGGAAAAATTCCAGACTTTAGACAGATGTGTTAGCGAATAAGTTTTTTAAATGATGCACTATTTGTACTGTCATTATAATTACTTATACTAAATTGACATTTATGTTAGGCAATTGAGCTATATTCATAGTGAACTTTCTCTAACCAAATTGACAGAAAATCATTTTTTTAAAGTTTGCCTACTCCACCCTACCTAAAATTTTAAAAATTAAAATAATTGATTAAAATGATGCAACTATTTTGTTTCCAACATTAGACTTATGTAATCTGTTCCTGATCTAATTGCTTATGCTTTCAATTAAACTATCATTAAAATGGTATTACATAATAGTGAGAGTTAATTACTTTAAAGAATAATAATGTAATGTATTAATTTAGGTCTGCTCTTGTTAAGTAGCCTAATATTATTAGGCTACTTGTAAAAAAAATGTGTAGCAAAAAAAAAAAAAAAAAAAAAAAACATCATTCACTGTTTGTGCTTATAGTAATAGCTGAGAAACGGGTCTGCAATAAAGAAAATTGCCAGTATTCTCCCACCCCCCCCCCCACAGACACACACCACACGCTGAAGGGGTCACTGTGAGGTCATAGTAGTCTGGACTTCAGTATGCCTGTTTAATACGTCATAACATGAACTGTGCTGTGACTTATACTCCCTCCCCCACCCTACTTACCAAGCAGTACCAACTACGCACTTGGGGTCACGGTGAGTTCACACAAGTGACCGATGTTACATGGAGGGGCGGGGTAGTCTAACTTTAATCGTTAGCATTTTGCAAAGATTTCAAAAACAGTTTAATGGAAGGTGGATTAAAATTAAAGCGGTCATCCATTTATGACGTACACATGGCGGGGGGAAGGGGTCGGAAGATTTTGTGATTACATTCTAAAACAAACATAAAACGTGTATCTTGCGAGTAGAATGTAAAATTAAGACAACTGTGCTGGTGATTTAAAAACCATCCCAGCGTGTAAATAAAACACGGTATTTATATATGCCCTAACATTATTGCAAGAGCGTGTCGTCACACTTTCTATAACCCTCCTCCCGACTTTCCGGAGTGTGATGTCATTTATGGACGACTCCTAAAAAAAAATAGTACCTCTTTGTTAAGCTGAAGCAAACAGAAATACAGGTATGAACCCAAGGAGGCCTTGCGGCTTATTAATCTTATAAATGTTAATATTAATCCAAAGTAAGTGAACGTGTGGGGACAGAGGGTGGGGGGGGTCGTCTTAAATCCGAAAAATTGTTGTAAGTCATAAATGGATGACGCCTTACAGACTGATAAGTTATATCTAAACTACCATTCACACATCTCTCCCATAACATTTTGTTATGACTGCCTGCATGCAAACTCAAACGATGAAAAAATAGCGGGTAAAATCGAGAGCCTAACAATTCTGAGAGCGATAATTCTTTTATTAAATGACAATTTTAAGTACTTGTAACACATTTACACGGGGTCAGTCACGCTACAAAATATCTCTTCCCTCCCTTCCCCTCTTCTCCTAATGATGTAGAAACTGAGCATCGTTTTCTTTTCTGCGAACCAGCGAAAAACATCACAACATAGTGTAAACCCGCGCTTTAGCGCGGGGAAAAAAAATTGGAGTAAATTCACTTTAAAATAGCAATTTTTTAAGTTGGAAAATATGGACTACGAAGTTTTGTTTCTAAAACAAGATTCCAGACTTTTTCCAGACTTCTAAAAAAACCTGCCCAAAAACTAGCGATGTTCGAGACTTTTTTAAGTCTTAAATTCACTTTTCTAAATTCAAGACTTTTTCCAGACTGCATACGAACCCTGATTAACTAAAACTATTGGCATTATGAGCTTTTGAACTCTTGAAATACCAGTAATTAAGCTTATAACATCTAAACAGTGTAATGAGGATAAACCTACGAAGGTATTATATGGCAAACATTCATTTAGATATTAAAGTTCAATTTTTAATTAACATTATTTTGAATTTTAACAAGTCAACAAATGTGAAAACTGTGAAGTTAACAATACCTTGTTATATTTGGACAATCTTTTGAACCATTCTAAAATTTTGGCATAATCTAAATCAGAAAAGCAACTTAGTAGTTCCAAAACAGCCTGGAGAAAAAAAATTTAACTGGATAAATTCTTAATTTAAATGAACTTGCTATGATTAAGTCTAATATCTAAAGCATTATATATATAAACGATCAACATAAACAATCCTAAGCATTTAGAATAAAGAAGGTTGTACAGATGAAACTAGTAACTAATTCATAGTCTATTTTACTTCTCTCTTAACTTCCTACTGTTTATTACTTCCACATCCTTAACCATAATAAGACAAATACTAACCTCAGCTGCATATGTTCTATATTCACTGCGGTCTGGTACTTTAAAACAAATGTGTTGAAGGAATGTTTTTATAGGCGCAACACACCGCTCACCCAGCTCTTTTGCTAAATATCTACAGACATTACAAAAAAATTTAAATTGTGTGATGTTTCACATGAAACTATTTTCTGAGAACCAATACATAAATAACTAAAAATGTGAACTTACAAAATAAAATGAAGAGCACATCTTCTCATTGTCAGCACTGGACGAGCCAAGTTGGTAAATATTTTTCCATCCTCTACCATTAGCACATGGTTCAAAAGCAATTTACAAACCTGCAAATTTTTTCAGTGGTACATGGTAGCAGAGAACATATTTGATGTTATTTAACCAAAGAATATAATTATAAAAATAATTATAAATATAATATATTTACATTATATATAATATAAAGATTAATGTTTTGTTGACATTTACCTCATTTATTAAAACAGTGACATGTCCATGGAATGGCTGGCACAGCAAGTACATGGCTTTGTAAATTAAAATTCCAGGACTACTTCTCGCACTATTCCTAAAAGTAATGTAAGGCATTTTTAACAAATTCTAATCTGGTAATTAAAACTACATGGAGAATATTGTTTACTTAAAACTAATTAGGAATAATAAACACATCACATAATCTGTTATCACCTAATTTGGTCAAGTCAGAAATAGCTTTTTTTCTTACTCAGCCCCTTATATCTGTTCTACTAGGAACATATTAATATAGAATGCATTTTTAGAATTTTGATCAAGAGTTCATTTCATTAATTTTTTCTTTCTATATTAAACAACCGTGGATTTTTAACTTTGTGAAATTTACCATAATGTAGTTGAATGTATCATTTAAGCATACAAATAAAGCCACTTACCACTGCCCCATTTCCTCAATAGTGGACTCTGGAGAGACTCGCGAGAGATCTACCAGCACTGAAAGGAGCTGGATAGCTGTTGATTCTGACTGCCTGAGTGAATACTTCTCACAAATCAAAAGGACATCCTATAATTGAATATTAGAACAAAGTTAGAGAGATTAAAAGTGGAAAAAAAATATTGAAGGTTTTTGCTTGAGAAAAAAGAAATGACCCAAACTAATTATAAATATACGAAAAAAAAAATAATCAAGTATTGCTGGGAATGAACGATACACACCTTTAATAGCTGCTGCATGAACTCATCAAGTCTTTGTGATTCAGAGGCGGTCAGCTCAACAGATTCATTTCCCTGGTCTTCTTCATCTGCCACATCCTGGTTTATAGATAAAGGCCAAATGTTTAAATCCTTAAATTTGTTTCAATTTCTGTTCTTAAAAAACAACCAAACTACAACTAAAGTGATTATTTTGCAATATTTCTAAACTGACCGATTGGAAAAAAAAAATTTTTATTTCTCAAAAACAAATGGCTTTAGAATATAATCATAAAACTAAATTAAAAAAAACAACAAGGTTTATTTATTAACAGGCATAAAATGTAAAAGCATTGTATAAAAACCTCATCTTCAGGAAAAGTTCCAGAATTCTTTTTTGTCTTTTTGCCTTTCTTTCCAACTTTGGTTTTTTTATTCGCTCTTACTGGTGTTGTTATTCTTTTTCTTTTACTATTACAGTCTAATCAAAACAAAAACGGTTAGGCAAAATTTTAACAGGATATTTCATGAGGCATAACCATAGTAAAATCATAATATATAAAAAAAATAATAACCTGTTTTGCTCCACTTGGTAAGAAGTCGACAAGCTTGTAGAAAAAGTTCTGGATTATAAATTTTAAATGCAGCACTTCCTGAAAGATAAAGACAATTGATCACACTAGTTATTGTACAGATTTAGATAACAGTGTTCTTTTCACATAAATATAAATACAATTTTAAAAATCAACATAATACTTTTCTAACAACACCAATGTGTGAGTGTACAAAAAATAATTAATAAATCTATTTAATATCTATATCTATATATATATATATATATATATGACATACCAGGAAGTGCAATTAACTTGAGGTATAATGAAGCTGCAAGTACACCAGCTGCTCTTTCATTAAAACTAATAGAAACCTGTGCAATAATTTAAATATTATGCATCCATTAGCTAGGCCAATGCAAAAATTTAATTTCAGTAAAACAATATAATAGTTACATATTTAGATAGGGGCTGTCAATCTGATTACAGATCAGTTTGAATTTTCAAAATCTGACCATAAACGAAAAAGTTATGATTTGTTTTGTCATTAAAAAAACAGCAGTTTTTTCAGACAACCGGGGTAGACCCTGAAAGAGGAAAAATACTGGGAGGGTATGGACCAAATTTTTAAGAGTTTTTCACTAAAAGTGGTATAAAAGTAAGCAGACTACACCAATTGATGTCATTTTATGATATTTTGTAGATTTTTGTATGCCGAATCCAATGATGCTATTTTAAAAAGTGTCTTTTGATTACATAACAGACTTATCATGGATTATGTAATACCCCCCTTCAATTTTTTTACAACATCTGATAATACGTGTGATAAGAAGTCATTCTTTAAATTAAACACTGTTTTAAACCATAATATGACATTTGAATATGCTGAAGCTAATGGTGATATTTAAAATGGTCGAACATTATTACAAAACTATAAAGGTCAGGTTATGTAATTCGCACCTTTTGCTCATAATTTACCATGTATTTATTTTAAAATCTCTTTTGCTCATTGTCAGTTAACTTAAGTGAATAGCCTACTTAAAGAAACTTAAAGAAAAGATAACTAATACAGTTTTAATACAAAGAGGAGGATGCTATAACAATAGTATATTTGTGATGATGTAACTTCTTAAAATATGTTATGTAATCTATGTGCAATCCTACAGGCCTACTCTATTCCAAAAATATAGGCATATCTTATTATATTTATATTTCTTGTTACTTTAAATGTCATACCATTGATACAACTTTCTTCTATAGAATTAGCCTAGTTACAAATGTGTCTTATCAGAATCAGTGTGCTTTATGACAATTTTGTAATATTTTTAAACACAAAAAAATTGCTCATTTTTACAATTTTAATAACATAAACATTGGAGGAAAATTGTTTTTTTTTAGCTTGTACAAGGTAGTGTAAGTTATAGGTCTATAACATAGATTTATATATGCTCAATGTTTATGCTAGTTGTAAGCTTGTGTATTTTGTAGGCCTACCATTAGGAAAAAAAAGCACGTGTTTGAGTGCTTGACTGTGTGTAGTAGATGCTAGGCATTTTAAAAAGTTTCCCGTGTCTAGCTAAACACGGAGGCGTTTATCACCATCAGCATTTGCCTAGATTTAGTTCAATCAGACGTGGGTAACCAGGTTTTCTGACCAACGAATTTTATTCCCGTATTACGTAAACACGAGGCTAGATAGGCTAGTCGGCCAACCCGATGAACGTGTCAGACGAATATTATGTAATTTTAGAGACAAAAGTCTGGGAAGATTTCCTGATCTATGCCCGAGGGTTAGTAACATCAACTCCACAAAGTGAAGGGGGAGGGAGGTGGGGTATGAAACCACCGCGAGCCGCTCGGGTACCGTATGGGTGTTTTACAACATCAAAGGCGCCGACCCTCGGCTTGTCGCGTCACGGAGTAGTGGGGGCGGGGTGAGGCTATGGGTGTTACATACGGTGTTACATAAGTTACAAACCGTGTAGGATGGTCAGTGACTCCCCATCCCATTTTGGTCGATTTGGCAAGCTAGTAACCTCCACGTTGTTAAGGGTTTTAAAAATTTTTAGTCAACCGAAAAAAGAGCCCGGGGTAAAATTTAATTTATTTTTTAAAGTTAAAGCCATTTTTAAGGAAAAGTAATGTACACAATAATGAAACGTTACGGCACGCGAATCACGTCAGCATTGTTTGGTCGGGTCGCAGCTATCCGGATTAATTTCTAAAGAAGATTAATTTTGACGATTAGTAAATACTATTACGACTTTTTTTGCCGTTTCAATGGTTTAAAACAAAGTTATGAAACATGCCTGTCTACTTAAATATAAAATAGCAATACCCGACGAGTCAAATACGGGAACACAGGTATCTATCTTTAGAAATTGTTTATAGTCTCATCCAATCGGATCGACCGCCTAGCGTCACGTGACCACACACTGGGCTGTGCTACACGATGTGTAGATCACGATTCAGTCGGACAGCAGCAGACGCGTTAATTTTTATTTTCGTTCCGTCTTAAAATGTATGGACGGCTTTATTATGAGGTGTTATAATACATGTCATACATTAAAATAATCGGCGGGATTTCAGGAATACAGCTCAAGGTTCAAATGTAAAATAGGTCAAATAATAGACCGGGAAACTTAGTTCAACTTTGCGGTCCGATATCTCCCGAAGTATTTAACTTATTTTGACCACGAACCTTGAGCGTTGTACGCCTACATTTAATCTGTTCGTCTGCCAAATTTGATTGTTGTAGTACGTAAACTCGATACGTCTATAAAAAAAATTTGTAGCGCGTCATATTTAAAACGCAGCGATTCGAAGCACAGCCGAGCGGTTCAGTCGGACAGCGGTCGGCGCGTCATGTTTTGATTTTCGGTCCACTTCAAAGTCTATAGACGTCCTTATTATAGGGCCTAATATGACATATCATACATATTAATAAACGTCGAGATTTCAGGAATACAGCTCAAGGTTCAAATTAAAAATCGGTTCATTAATAGCCCAAATAACTTAGTTCAACTTTGCCGTTCGATATCTCCAAAAGTATTTAACATATTTTCCCCAAGAACCTTGAGCGTTATACGTGAACTTTTAATCTATTCTTCTACCAAGTTTCACTGTTGTAGTACGAAAACTCAAAGAGTCTATAGACTCTAAGTAACACCCCTCTTTTAAAAAGGTGAAAAAGCCTCCCCCCTAATCGGCACGTCGCCGCGGGGGGTAAAAAATGCGATTAAATCGGCGATTTCTTCAACGTCTGAAATAATAAAGAAATCAAACTTATACAGTTAAAAAGGTTGTTCAATTACGAACAGAATGATGTATAACATGTTAACATAAACACAATAAAAGCATGCAAAAAACGGAGTTAAACATGCAGGGGGTAGGGAAAAGCCGATTTGTCCGATTTTCTCGGCAGCGGCATTGGCCTAGCTACATCCATATTCCTGTCACAGTATTAGCACCAACAAGCTTTTCTTACCACATAAATTCTATTAAGAATGACCTAAATTTAAAATTTATTAAAAAGTTTCCTTTTTAGTAGATAGATCTACTTACAATGAAGTATTATAAAACATATTTCTTACTTTACTGGCATTATGGGTAAGGTGTGCTAAAAGGGCAACCAATTTCTTGTGTGATACTTCAGCCTCAACAAGTACACTCCAAAGACCTGTCAAATAGGAATTGAAGTAGTTTGAAAAATGACAAGATTGAATTTTTTTTTTTTATAAAACTAATTAACAGTGAGCATAATAACAATGAGAAAACGTGAAAACAAGAATTCTAGCTTGAAAGATTTACCTTCACCATTTTCATTCTCATTATTGGTCATGAGCCATGCTGCAACAACTTCCAGCGTGCTCTCCAGTTGTTCAACAAAATATCCTGCATCATCCAGAAGGTTTTTAACTTCAAGTGGTAGTGTGCCTACATCTGCAAAGTCTTCATCCCAACATGCTTGTACCCATTCTAAAAATTCATTAACAGAGTTAAGTAGCAAGATATGAGATGATTGGGGCAACATCAAGCAAGTTTGCAGAATAATAAGAAAGTTTAGTTCACCATGAAATATTTATTTTTATTTTGTTACACAGTTATTTCAGTTTAAAATAAGTTTGAGACCTAATTTTAATAATTTGATGTTTAATTGAAAGTGATGTTATGTGCAATGTAGTTGGTAACATCAACAGTTATTTTAATTTTAATGAGACAACCAACTGTATTCCGTTTGGTTGCAGATTCACTAGATTTAGTGAGTGTTTCTAAGCTTGGGGAGAGTGTTTTTTCTTGGTTGGTCGTTCGTTCGTTAGGTTGCTGTGTCTGATTTGTGTTGTTTTTCTTACTTTAGACCTTGATATGCCTTGTTCTATTATATTATTATTTAAGATTGTTTTCTGGGCCTATCTTTTCTATTTAACATTTAAATAGGTATAGATTCTACCTGTAGGGAATCTGTCAAGTTGAAGGCTTTCGAATACTGCCACTGTAGTATTTCCATCCGCCATGTTTACAATTATTGGCGCCACAGTTTTAAAAAGTTTGACCAATTCCTATTCCAAATTTTTAAATTTTTAGGCTGGACCTAGATCTAGATCTAACAATTTAATTAACAAAGGAATGCCTTCAAGCACGTCCTGTGGTGGACGGAAACAAAACTTGCTAGTCTATCGTCTGTACTAGCCTGAATTTAGTAATTTTAAACTCATAATCCATTATGACGTCCACACACACACAAAATCTTGATAAGTCCCCCAGTCTGCCCCCCCCCCCCCGGTGTGGATGTGCTTTATTCTCATCCGAAATATCTGTTGTGAGACCAGTTTATGTAATGACGTCCACTCCCCGAAAGATGCATCAAACATTTTATTGTTAAATGTGTTCATGACCTCTATTTCTGGTGTCTTCATCGCCCACTTTGTACAGACATACGAATTTTATACATTTAGTGATCTAGAGAGATAAACCATATCTATAATATAACGCTGCTGGTAGTGTGTCAGTCCTTCCTTCCGTCATCGCTATAGATTTTGGAACCATAAAAGTAAACATTTGCACCATGCTGTGCTTTTCAGTGCACCGCAGTGTCTTATTATAAGTATTAGAGTAGGGTTTGTTTATATAGCGGCATAGAGCTATTTTATAATTGCCACGGTTTTTACTCTTTCGCATAACGTCAAGAAAATATTAAATACACGCAAACTGCTAAAACGTATTAAAAAGATTAATGTCAAATATCATTTTCGTTTAGGTTCCCAGAAAAAGTGGATACATTTTAATAAGATAATAACAGTACGGTAGAAAAATCAAATTAATTTAACTCTTTTCTAATTTTGACAAAGGAGGTAATTTAAAAATACATTAAACTCACGCTAATAAAAAATGTGAATGCAAATATACGTTCGTCATAGAAGGAATTAGTGTTGCAATAATATAATTAGCAAAATGTGAATGCAAATTATTCGGATGTGTAAGAGGAAATTATTGTTAGAAAATTATAATTAGCATGGATTGATAAAAGGCAATCTTTTATTTATTTTATTCACTGAATGTAGGCCCTACTGTTTATTACTTATAATTTTTAATCAACTATTCAGCTCTATTATAGACGCGTCATCACGTTCATTAGGTGCGCAATGGTTTTAGTTATGAAACTCTATTGTAATTTTTTTAAATTTAAAGTACTGGAAAAAAATGCGTGAATGGATAAAGTGAAATATTGTAGGTAAAACACGGATATTTTAAATACTGCCTATTATTTATACTGTTTTCTAATTATTATTCTATCTTTCGGGTTTTATAGGAGAGGCGTAGCGAGGGGGGGGGGGGCATATGTCCCCGGGTGCCGACCTTAGGGGGCGCCAAAGTGCATTGGAAAAAATTTGCGAGGGGGGGGGGGGGTGGAAATCGAAAGTTTTAGGGGGGTGCAAATCCCCGGAAAGGGCGCGATTTTGGCGTTACGGGCTAGACTGTGAGCAAAATGCCTTTATGATTGCATTTAAATTGTGTTTATGTTATGAGTGTTGTGTTTGTTTTTTCGTTGTTTTTTTTTTTGCGTTCGTTTGTGTTGTGTTTAGTTTTGTTCTGTTCCCAAGTTGGTACATTTAAAAAAGATTTACCGTGGCGGAGCACGGGATGCAGCTAGTCTATAATATAAGCGGGCAAGTAGTGTGTCAGTCCTTCCTTCCGTCATCGCTATAGCTTTTGGAACCATAAAAGTAAACATTCGCACCATGCTGTGCTTTTCAGTGCACCGCAGTGTCTTATTATAAGTATTAGAGTAGGGTTTGTTTATATAGCGGTATAGAGCTATTTTATAATTGCCACGGTTTTTACTCTTTCGCATAACGTCAAGAAAATATTAAATACACGCAAACTGCTAAAACGTATTAAAAAGATTAATGTCAAATATCATTTTCGTTTAGGCTCCAAGAAAAAGTGGATACATTTTAATAACATAATAACAGCAGGGTAGAAAAATCAAATTAACTTAACTCTTTTCTAATTTTGACAAAGGAGGTAATTTAAAAATACATTAAACTCACGCTAATAAAAAATGTGAATGCAAATATACGTTCGTCATAGAAGGAATTAGTGTTGCAATAATATAATTAGCAAAATGTGAATGCAAATTATTCGGATGTGTAAGAGGAAATTATTGTTAGAAAATTTTAATTAGCATGGATTGATAAAAGGCAATCTTTTATTTATTTTATTCACTGAATGTAGGCCCTACTATTTATTACTTATAATTTTTAATCAACTATTCAGCACTATTATAGGCGCGTCATCACGTTCATTAGGTGCGCAATGGTTTTAGTTATGAAACTCTATTGTAAATTTTTAAAATTTAAAGTACTGGAAAAAAAAATGCGTGAATGGATAAAGTGAAATATTGTATATATTATGGATACTGCCTATTATTTATACTGTTTTCTAATTATTATTCTATCTTTCGGGTTTTATAGGAGAGGCGTAGCGAGGGGGGGGGGGGGGCATATGTCCCCGGGTGCCGACCTTAGGGGGCGCCAAAGTGGGTTGGAAAAAATTTGCGAGGGGGGAGGGGAGTGGTGGAAATCGAAAGTTTTAGGGCGGGGGGGGGGGGAAGGGGTGCAAATCGAAAGTTTGAGGGGGGTGCAAATCACCGGAAAGGGCGCGATTTGGCGCTACGGGCTAGACTGTGAGCAATATACCTTTATGATTGCAATCAAATTGTGTTTATGTTATGAGTGTTGTGTTTGTTTTTTCGTTTTTTTTTGTTTTGTTTTTTGCGTTCGTTTGTGTTGTGTTTAGTTTTGTTCTGTTGGTACATTTAAAAAAGATTTACCGTGGCGGAGCACGGGATGCAGCTAGTTTAATTATGGCCACATAATACGCTAATTACAAAAGCTGGTGTTTTAAAAACATGTTTAATATTAGCCCTATAGCTTACATTTAGCACACATATTAACGTAATGATGTATCCGAGACACACCCCCACCCCCCAACTCACTCGTGTCTACCAAAGTCGGACCATGCCCCCGGCCCCTCCATGTGGACGTCATAAATTGACATAAATGGATGACATGTAGGCCTAGCTATAATCATTCTTTAATAATCATTACTTGATTGCTCATAGAACTCAATTTTGTACTTGTTGATGCATATTCTTTAAAATTAATGTGTATGTGCATCAAATTAACGTCTGGGCTAGGAATGATATGAGCACAACTTATTAATACACTATAATTGGTGTTTGTATGGTTAAAACGTTTTTTTTTCACCCACATGACTTTTTATTTTTCAGACTAGGTTGGCCGAACCAAAATGTTTTAGTTACGTCCCTTTACTCACGCTACTTTTAGCTGGGGACGGACCATCAGACCAAAAAATGAATGTACCGGTTTTTATTGATATTCCCGTTCCACAGCAGGTACTATTACGTTCTAATTTAAAAGTTAGATAAAGATATTTTATAAGTAACTAGAATGTAATGATTATTTTTGATTAAGTGTGTTTACAAACTGAAAAGCTAAAACATCTGTAACCGGCTGTACTACCTGTTATCGATAGGAATGTCGATGTTCTGAAGATTGGAGAATAGGCCTATTCGAATTTATAAAAATATAGAATCTAGTATTATAGTCTATAGATCGATATCTAGATCTAGTCCTAAGTAATAATGGAGACCACCGAGTTGACGAGGATCCTTCCATCGTATTGTTGGCATGGATAATTCTTTTTTTTTTTTTAAATTATTTTGTAAAATTTAGTAAAAATAATAAAAAATAAAAACATGCCTAAAAATCGAAAAATAATTCAGAAATTTAGGTTGATATTTTTTAGAATCAATGTTATAAATTAAGTTGCAAATCCAGAGAACTTGAAGCAGATGCCATATGTTAAAAACTTTGAAGTGTCTACTCGGAATAAGATTTTTCGGCAAAAGATAGTTCTGCGCATGCGCAGTGACCTATGGCTAGGGTTAGGGCTAGAATGAGGGGTAGGATTAGGGATAGGGTTAGGGATAGGATTAGGGTTAGGGATAGGATTAGGGATAGGGTTAAGGATAGGATTAGGGTTGGTATTAGGGTTCTGTGGTTGTAAACACACGCATGCGCAGTACCATCGAAAACATCGCCGCTAAGTCGTAGTTTCTCTCCATTGCGCATGCGTATCGCATGCGTATCTTATTCCGACTAGAATCGGCCTAAAAACTTATTGACCTGGGAAATATTTAGTAGTTAGGCCTAGGCCCTAACTAATACTAAAATACACATGTCCGGTTAATGTTAATGCTAACCCTAACCCAAGTCCTGCTTTACGCCTAACCCTAACTGCAAACCATAAAACTAGTTGAGGTTATTATACTACTAACAACACAACACATAATATATAGGCCTAGAAGTTTCTATTAATTTAATTATGGGACATCAATATCTAAAATTATCCATTTACTAAAAAGTATTCTCAAAGTAGGCCTAAATTTCCTTTTTTCACTGGATTTAGGCCTATAACTTTTAAAATTATATCATAGGATATATTAATAAAAATGAAAGTTTCTGGGTTTGCCTTTTATTTCTTTACTATAAGTCATAAGTATACCATTCATCAGATCGACATAAAACTATGGGAAGTTGTTGAGAACATACTCCTGGGAAGGTTTCTGTGATAAAGATGTTTATTTTGGAGGCAGTAGGGTGCAGTTCGGTGCTTGAGTTCCCCTGCAGCTATCTTATTATCTGGGATCACAAGGGGTCAGGGGTTTTACTTGATTCAATGGTCAAACTGCACCAGTGCATCCATGAGCACAATGACCCCTATGTTTTTTTTAAAAGAGCGCCATACACAATTGATATTTTGAGCAACAACACTGACTAAATCAAACCAGACCTGTTACAAATGGATGAATATGTAAACATAGTTCACACAGTTTTGTAGCATAGGAACTGAGTGGGAAGTGACATATTTGAATTAGGGTGGGGAGTTGCAGGGGCCACTCTCTTACAGGCAACCAAAGGGTATACATGTTGTGATACAACATAAAGAAAATAAAAATCTCATTATGACTTTGTGTTCTGTCAAGTCCAGTCAAAAGCATTGTTGATTCACCACCTGGCAACACTCCCCCTGGTATCCCTGTGGTAGTATGACCGGAGGCAATATTATCGCAGGCTTTGGAGCAAAAAAATAGTGATGTTGGATTTGTAGTTTGTTCAACACTTGCAATCATTAATGAAGGACAAATTTTGAAGTGATTTTCTCCCCTTACATTTAGAACCTCATATGTTTTCATACTAAATGTAAAATATTTTTATTACCCCCAGACTTTGGAACTGAGATCATTTCTTAAATCACTTGGAGCTGAAATTTCTGAAGAAAATGCAGAAAGTGGTTTGTTGACTGATTTGAAAAATATTATTGAAGCTAGCAAATTTTGTTGGAATCTCAATAATGAGTCAGGTAAACCATATTTTAATAAGCTATTCCCTAAAATGAGCTAGTTTAAAAAGCTATGCCCTAAAATAAGCTATTTTAATAAGCTATGCCCTTAAAAAAGTTTTGAAAAACCAAAAACAAACAAAAGAAAATTACAGTTTTTGTAGTACATTTAAACTATGGTGCTTTCTCCCAAATTACTAGTAAACATAGGTGATGCAAAATAGTTTTCTTACTTTCACAAGTGTAAGAGCTAATGAAAACTAAATTTCTTAGCATCAAAGATTTGCAATTTCCCCTAACTTTTAAATACATTTTAGATTTATAGTTGCTATCATAATCCTTTTGCATCATCAATCATATGCTATCAACATTAATAAATGGTTACTTTTGAAATTCCAATTCTCATACATAAGTTCTTATTTGTTTGTTGTATAGAAATTGAGATGGTATTCAACGGCATCATCTCCCTTCTTCTGGTGGTACCAGTCCAGGATGCTGAGAGTGTTGTAACTCTGTTTTGTGAGAAAGTTGGAAAACTACCAGAAGGAGATCAAAAACGTGTGGCACTAAGGATAAGAATGTAAAAGAGATAATAAACATTTTAAAAAGATTTATATATTTTCACCAAAGCTTAAAAACTGTAATTTTAAGAAGTGTAATTTTTATACTTAAAATCGTTAGAAAATTACTTGCATCATTCTGGTTTTAATACTGTAGTGAAGCCATTTTTTATTCACCTACAAACAGTTAATGATGCTATAATAAGTCTGAGGTATCCAAGGTTGGCATATATTTTAGTATGTTTACCATTTCAGCCCAGGTACATTTTTTGTGGTAAAGCAATGTTTTTACTTAAAAACAAATTTTAACCATATGAAAGTTATATGCTTTAAAATTTTATTTTTAATATAAAATATTACCTATAGTCTATTTATAAGGCAGTTTTTGTTTTGTTTAGGTTGAGCAATCTTTTTTACGGCTTAGAAGAAGAAGCCAGTTTACGCTATGTAGTTCTCTGCAGTATGGTCAGGCTGGCAGGCCAGAATGATTTGCTTTCAATGGTCCCTGTAGATATGGAGAAGGTTTGTAAATTGTCTTTTGGAAAATATATAATTTATCTTTATATCTAAATTGATGATTTTTTTAAATTGCCTTTTGTCTAAAGGACTTTCTTTTTCAAATTATAGATCAAAAGATGGATAAGTTTATGGGAAATAAGTTCAGCTAAAGTGCAGATGCTATACAGAATATTGCATGAATCACTTACTGCCTGCAATATGAGGTCAGTTTTTTGCATTTTTGAATGCAATTACATTTTTAAATGAATCTTTATTATGCTTTTTATTGCCATTAGCATTACGATTCTCCATGCCACATTTTTATGAGCATTGTTACATTTATTTCATGTCACTTTAGTTGATATTATTATAACAATGCTAGATGAATATCTGGGACATCCAAGGTATGCATATTGTTTTTGTGTCTACCATTTCAGCCCAGTTACATTTTATTACTCATACTTATTTGTAACAGTATCTACAGTAGAATTTTACAGATTTGTTGATTTTGTTTAGTGAATTGTATTTATAAATACTCACATGGTTGAAACTTTACATGTGAGGGAAGTTAAACTGATTTAAATACTAATCAGATAAAAACTCTTCCTGCAAAGTTTGTTCTTTCTGTGATATCTTCAGTCGAATAATGCAAAATTAATTTAAAGAGATAGTGTAAATTCAACTCTGAGGAGAAAATAGTATTAAAAATAGATTTTTTTAAAAACATACAGCTTTAAAATTGTCAGTATTAACACTTTCTGGCAGTAGACATGTGTATGATGAAAAAAATTTGTTAATTTAAGATAGAAGAAAAATTATAATAAGGGATGGAGCAGCCTAGCGGTATAGAGCTGGACCACTAACCCGTAGGTCTCGAGTTTGAATCCGGGTTCATGTCAGTAAACCATCCCTGAGTCCACCCAGCTCTGATGGGTACCTCTCTAGTTAGGGTGGGTAAGTAAAGGCAGCTGGGCATAGTGCTGACCACACTATCCCTTCATATGCCGAGGTCACAGAAACTAGTGAACTCTACTTGTCCCATAGACCGTCAAGTTTGAAAGGGATGTTTACTTTCTTTTACTACTTAACTTTATTTAATATTTCTTTAATATTTGTTGATTTAATGTTATAGCTGTTACCCCACTATTTTCCTTATTTAGTCTAACTTTGTTGGCATGGTTGAAACTGGTGGTATAAAAAATTCTGGGACATCCAAGGTATTCATATTGTTCTCTATGTTTACCATTTCAGCCCAGGTACAACATAATATTTGTGTCCAAATGTGAGTTTTTCAGTGCTTGAATTGTTCCAATAATTTAAAAGAAACCTTATTTTCAGGGATATTGCAACAAAGGTGATGATAGAGCTGCTGGGTACATATACAGAGGAAAATGCTTCCCAAGCTAGAGATGATGCACATAAGTGTATAGTGACATGTCTGGCTGATCCAAACACCTTTCTTATGGACCATCTTCTGTCCCTCAAGCCAGTCAAGTTTCTGGAGGGAGAGCTGATTCATGATGTATGGGCTTTAATGTTTTTTAAACTTTTAATTAAATACAATGACAGTTCACTATGTATTTCAGTTAGGCACCTTTAAAGAATGGAGGACTCAAACCTTTGTTCATAGCAGTTTACTACATATTCTCATTCCCTCACATGTTGTATTATGAATTTTATTAAGTAGTAACTGCTGAACTTGATAGAATTACATTACTGTTTCATTAATTTAATAGTGAATTATTATAATTATAAAAATATTAAAACTTCAAGAAGTAACAGTTGTAGAGTTCATTTACTTGACCAAATCATTCTTTAAGAGCATCATAATTGTACTTGTACATTTATATTCTGTTAAATCTATGTGTTTTGAAGTATAATTTACAATCCACAGCTTCTGACAATTTTTGTATCTGGTAAACTAACTCAGTATCAGCAGTTCTATAAAAATCACACAGATTTTATCAATTCACTCGGTAAGCTTAGTAAAAAAAACTCAGCTTTAATATTACCAATTTTATGTTTTTAACTAATTATTGACTCCAGATTAAAATTATGCTAAATCTATTGTTACATTTATTTCATAAACTTATGTATTATATTAACATCCCTAGTGGTGACCCTGTAAATCTATTTTAAAGTTATATTTAACAAATTTATAACATTATAGAGAGAACTAATTGGATTTTGCTGTTAATCCACTTTAGTATATAAAACATGGTTTATGAAAGCTATACAGTAAGCGTATTTGATTTTATCACTTTTATGCTAACGACCAAATTTCAAATATCAGGACCATCCCATGAAGAAAACATAAGAAAGATGAGACTGTTGACATTCATGCAAATGTGTGAAAATCGAAAGGAAATGGACTTTAGTGTAATTCAAGAAGAAATGCAGCTTGAAAAAGATCAAGTAGAAGAATTTGTTATTGATGGTGAGCTTTTACTTACTTCAGCAAATATTTTAATTGAGTGGAAAATTTACTTGAAGCTAAGTATAAATTATAATAATGGTCAAAAGTCCCCTTTTTAACTTGGCTGTTGGTAAGTGAAGTAGAGTTTACCTGTTTCTGTGACCTTGGCTTATGAAGGGGTATTGTGGTTATCACTATGACTAGCCGCTTTTCTGTCCCTAATGTGAGTTAGATACCCATCAGAGCTGGGTGAACTCAGGATGTTTTACAGATTTGAACTGATTTGAACTTGAAACTTGTCCAACGGTTTAATAATGGTCAGCTTCATTTACTATTTGGTTATTTTAAAATATGTGTTAAATTTATATTTAACACCAAAAAAACTATGTATGATTAAATAATAAATATGTCAATTCATGGAAGTTAAAAAAAGGTCTTACTGGGAGTAGTAAGGCCATTTGTAGAAAACATCTTACCTGGGATTTTTTTATCTATACAGACAAATGTTATTTGCTGCTACATTTGTTTACAATTTAACATATCCATATTTGTTTTTGCCAGTTCTCAAAACAAAAGCAGTCAAAGCCAGGATAGACCAGATCCAGGAGAAAGTAATTGTAAGCTCGACCACATTTAGGACGTTCAGCAAACATCATTGGCAGGTAAAAAAAAAATATATAGATCTATATATATATATAAATTCATCAATTAAGAAGTAGTTGTTGACTGCTAATGCATGGTTTATTGCACTTTTTTAATATTATATATCCTCAGATTATTCGACAACACCTATCAGCTTGGCAGAACAATCTATCAAGACTGGAGATCAATTTTGAAAATGTATCACTCATTCAGTCACAAGTACAGCAGCAGTAATTTATTTGTTCATTGGGGAGTTGGGGTTTTTGTGATTACTACTTTAATTTTACTCTATAGATAACTTGGAATTTTTAGTCTGTGGACATTTTGGTATAAATGCTATGGTCAACATTTTAAATACTAGATTTGTTTAAAAATTGATAAAAAAGATCTTGCCTTGAATTGAGCATGAAGTATTTGATGTAAAACTTTTGTTAAGAGAATACCTTCAAACATTTTTCATTTCTCTGTGTATATAAAATCCAAAAACTAAAAATAAAACTTAAAATCAATCACTTAGTTGTTTTTTTTTTTTTTTTTTTTTTTTTCATTTAGGGATTTCTTTCATATTAAAGCTATATCCAGCTCTCCTCAGAGTACATCTCGGAACTTGGCCAGTTGGTCAAATTTTACTCATAGTTGTCCCATGGAAAAAAATTAGAATGTTACTTGATAATATGATAGTGTCTTTCCCAAAGGCAAGAGCCATTCTCCCAAACATAACTTGCAGTTTTAGAGATTCTGTGTTCATCATGAGAAAAATCTTAAAATAAGAATGATTCACATAACTTAACAACATTGCAGCTAGTTCATTACTTTATAGTACTTTATGGCAAGCCTGTCTGTCTTATGTCACAAGGCTAAAAAAAACCAAATTACTTAAAAGGAAGCCAAACATGCATCACAATTTAATTCTTTATTCATACAGTCTCAGCAAGATTAATTCAACATTTTTTCTTAAAAAATATATACATACATTTTAACTAAAGCCATGCTATGAATGACACTATCCACTTTTGATCTGAGGTAAACAGGATGATACAAAAAAACATTCAGATGGCACTTAACAAAAAGAGTATGGCGAGGATGAAAGTTTTAAATTGGGGTCGTTAATTCGTCCAACTTCACAATTTGTCTAAGAACACAACAGGACAATATAGTAATGCAGTTATTTTTCTGTTAGTGACAAAAGTGGTAAAAATAAAAATAATTTTTGATGCACTCGGCTTGAGGTACATAACCTAAATATTGTCATGAAAATCTTACTTAGAAAATTTGGACTGATTTACAACTTTTAAAAAATTTACCAAACTAATTAAATGCTTAATAAAACAATTTAATTTACACATCTTTACTATTCTAAATTATTAAAATGAAAAGTAATTAACCTCACACTGAGCAAAAGAAATTTTAGAAGTGACTTTTGGTATCATTGGGAATGTGTAGTATGCAACTTTAGGCTACTACTATGAGAAGTTAAATGGTTCCACTAGAGTTTGGCATAGATGGTATTCTACTGAACATGTACTTACAAAGTGTAAATAATTTAAAATCATTCAATTAAACATGACAAGAAAACTTTCTGCACCTTGTAAATGACAGTAATACATCTTAGTACATCATTACCATCCATACACCACGACCAGCTCTCACATCACAGTTCAAAACACATTTTAAGAAAAAGTATAAATCTATTAAAATAAATCATGTATGTTGTCACCTAGAATACATTATTATTACATACATTACAGCCACATAAAATAGTCTACAAGAAAGTTAACCATACTCACCTTCAAATATTGATTTGAAAATAAACATCACAATTTCTGACAACAATATTTTATGTTAAGGACTCCTAGTCATGTCAAATATCTCAAAAGATACAATTTATGATTAAAAAATCAATACATATTTTTATAAAACTACTCCACATCATATTTTTTGTACCAGCTCATGCTGGCATAGTGTACATTGATATTTGAAAATGAATAGCTGTGATTATTATTGCAAATGATAAGGGCTTTCAAATGAGAAGTGAACCTGGAACAGACATAAATATGTAATATCAGTGGATCCATACGTTACAACAGCCCTCCATCACGGCAACAATTTTTACATGCAATTATATTTAACACCTTCTGTGCTTAATACTTTGCATAGATTGAATGATATAAGCTGATAAAATCCTAAGAAACTTAAAAACTATTTTTGTAAATTCAAGCTTTGTATCACAATTTCATAAAACAACTATTATATAAAATAATAAAGACATTTTTTTCTTTGGAATAATAAACAGCGATTCTAAAAAAAAGTCTATTATTGATAAAAGAATGGCATTTAAAAAAGATCAAATTAATGTTTCAATAACTCATGTTTTCTTGTGATTAAATACATTCCAGTATTTAACATAAAGAGAAGCATTAAAAGTGAGTAGAAAATTCCCTGATGCAGATGAAAAGATAATTTGATCTCTTATTAAATATTTTACCAACAAACGTCTAGGTATCAAATTTGTGATGTTTATAATTTTAACTATCATTCAGCTGTAAGGAATATGTGAATAATTATTTTCTAAAATGAATTAGACATCCTATGGCATTTCAAGAAGTTGGTCACAGGTTGTGAATTCAGTCTTTTTCCTTTCAAATTTCATTACAGTTACACACTCTAGCAAAACAAAAAGTATACACAGTTCATATGAATGGCTCTTTAGGATTCTAATGTAATTCCATAGGAATAATAATTTGAATACATTTTAAGTGTTTACCTATTAAGTTCTTACTAAGTAGTATTTAATGAGTTTTGTGCTTTTATATTTCTTGAATAAAATAATTTGAAGAAAACAATTTTTCTTCTTTAATTATAGAAATATATCTTTACTGATTTAAAAATAATTCTTAAGAATCATGCATTAGATTTTGCAAATAAAAATCTACAGACCGATGCAAAAAAAATTAATAGAGAATAAAAATTAATTGAATACATTACAAATTCAACACAACTCCTACTAAATCTTTTGTGGCCAAAGCAAGTAAAAAATATGATAAATTAGTTAGACATTCCTATGTCTAATATCAAACAATGGTTCACAAAATAAAAAATATCATTAGTATTTGTATTCACAAAGTGCCATTTGTGTTACTTTCGGCAAAACTTCTAGCCTTTTGAAAATGTTCAAGCTTTACACACCCTCTTGCAGTCAACATCCACGCTGATATCGTCATGTACCCTCACAAAACAAAAATTAAAGCTTGTGTTGTTTTCACAATATAACACACCAAAGGCCAGCAACTGCATTTCCAAAGCAATGGTCAATTAAAAAGAATGATATATTTACAGTGAAAAGAAAAAAAAAACACACCCCTGAGGTATTTTTTTGGGCTGTTTCGAAGTGACCGGCCATTGTTTTAGAATATCGCAAGTGCCAACTTAGAATCAGCAGTCTGAGGTAGCCACGGGTGAAGGAGGGGGAGGATAAGGGTTAAAGTAACTCCGTTCAGTGGATGGCGATGGCGGACAGCTAACCTCGTCTGAGAAGTAATGACTCCTGGGAGTCGGAGGGGGTGGGTAAGGATCAGAGTCATAGTTCAACTCCACAGCAGAGTTATTAATATAATATTTAAATTTTTTGGCATTTGAACGAGAAGATCTTGAACGTGAAGAGCGGCTGCTGTATTTGTTAGATATCTTATGCAGCAATACAGTCTGATGGTAAGGTTCACTATCTTCACACACATCAGTGGAGCAGGGAGTAGTGGGGGGTGGTGGAATGTGATGGTGGTGGTGGTGATGATGATGCCGCCTGTGGTTGTTCCGCCGCCGTCCACCACCCCCTCCACCATTCCCAACACCTGACCGCTGCACGGACGATGACAGACTATTCATTGATAAATTAATGTCCCCATTTGGGGCAGTGTAAACAGATCTGTCTGTGACAGGCGAGGGTGGGGGGTTTAAAGTTTCTTGAGGGTAATGGGTGACTGTTGAGCTGCTTGAGGATGCTCCAGTCACATGACTTCTGTCGTAGAAGAGGGGCCCAGATCCAGAACCCATTGATATTCCAGTTGCTTGAGATTTTCTACTCAGAGTGTTGTGTGGGCTAGAACTTTCTAGAATAGATGGTATGTGAGGATTCAATGGTTTTTTCACCATAGCAATGTCCTCATCCACTGCAGTAGTATTAGATTTATGACGACAGATAAGGATAAGGCCTATGACAACAAGTAGAAAAACAACCACCACTACAATGGCAATGGTGTAGTCCTTAGAAGTTTTACTTTTATCCGAATCCTTCGGACACGGATGCCCATTAGCATCATTGCAGTCAGGTTTACCGTTACAGTCAGCGCACTCACAGTTATCCCCCTGGCAGCAGTCTTTCTCGTCTGACCCGTCATCGCATGTTTTTTTACCATCACATTTCAGCTTCTTATCAATACACTGCCCACTGCTACACTTGAACTGCTCGGCCGTGCACTCCTGGCAGTTCTCCTCGTCTGAATTATCCTCACACTCTGATGAGAAATCACACTTCCAGACTAACGGTATACACTGCACGCCCCCGCTGTGGCATTTAAAATGATCCGAGGCACAAGTAGGAGGCTCTGCGCAGGTCTGCTTGTCGTTCTTCAGCATGAGGTGAACTGGACAGGAGCAGCGGGCCTTCTTCTGGTCTGTACTGAAACAAAGATGAGAGCAGCCGCTGTTGTTTTTAAAGCATGGATGCCAGGATGCCGAAATGCTGTGCTGAACTGCAATCATATCCGTTAGCCCTGGGATACGGCTTCTCACCCAGTATGGATTTTTCCCAGCTTTTAGAATTCTCTGGACAACATTCTCTTCCTTGTCTAGCCAGTAAAGAAAACTTCCATAAATGGCCAGTCCTCTAGGATTCTGTAAAGAAAAATAATAATGCTTTTTGGTTTAATTACTAAACATCAATGGATGTTACTATATAATCTATGGATAGTAACATCCATAGATTATAAGGAGCCATAGTTTACAAGGAGCCAGCTATAGATTATAAAAAACTCTTTAATAAATAGTTAGATATCTACAACTTAAAGTTTTCACTTTTTTAATGTGTTGTATAAAAGTCTACTATTAAAAAAAAAATTGGTTTTAAAAAATTACCGGACTATCCACCAAAACCTTTCTATTTCCCCCATTCAAGTCAGCAGTTTCAATCCTCTTAAGGCTTGGATCAGCCCAGTACAACATCTCATCTTTGGTATCAATGGTGAGAGACATTGGCATGACTAAATTTTGTTTGTAGATTGTTACTCGCTCGGATCCATCCATCAAAGCCACTTCAATTCTTGGCTGACTTACCATATTGGTAAAAAACATTTTTCTAAAAACAAAATTAAAGCAGATGTAAGATAAACAATTCAAATAATTATCATATTTAAGATCTGATAATATATAAGCAAAATATTCTTGATGATTAAAACTAATCAACTTAAAAAATCTCATTAAAAATAAGCATTCTAGTGTGAAGTACAAATAAAATTTCAGTGTTTGAAAAAAATCTTTCAATATAAGAATGGTAGTAGTTTTATGATCACAAATGAAATATATAAACCTATCAGATTAAAAATTTAATTAAAAAACCTACTAACCCCTTTTCAGGATATAAAACTATCGATCTAGGTTTAAAATTGGTTGAGGCAGCCAAAACAATTCCTATAGGTGAGCGTACTACATCAAGACGAGTGACATTTATTACATTATGAGCTGAACATGTCCAGTACAAGGTTCGGCCATAGGGGTCTATGGCAATGTCAAAGGGTTGAAAAGAGTTTTCTGGATCATTTACTACTGTAGTTATCTGTAGGCAAAAATAATTTTTTATTTCAGTATAAAATATTCATCAAATTATACAGAGGAAGTGGAGAAATATTTTTCAAAATTTAAACTTATCTAAAATTTTAATATTAAAAATTGATTACCATAGTCCCATTATCATGAGCTCTTTTAATAATCTTTTGCTTCCCCTCAACCCAGTAAATGAACTCTCCCACTGGGTCATAGTCTATTGCTTTAATATTTTTCATTCCATTAATGGGCAAAACCACTTCAGGAGAGGGAACATCAGCATCTGGATTAGTTACAAGCCGTATGGTTGTATTGCGCGTGGAGAACAGAAGATACTGCTTTGGAGCTGAAGAAGAAAAGAAGCAAAAACTTAATTTAAAATGCCAATATGACCATACAGTTTAAAATAGTTCAACTATTTAGTTGCTGTTGTTTTTTTTTTTAGTTATTTTTTTTTTTTGAGAAAAAGATATCAGCCTATAAATACTTGATTTAAGTAAAATTTAAATCAATTAGGACTCATCTTACCTAAACAAGTTCGACCATCTTCATTAAGAGTATAATGTGTAGGACACTCACAGTAGTGAGTTACATTATTTGAAAAGTTTGCAGGATGAGCTAAACATAAATGTGAACATCCACCATTGTTTCGCCCACAAGCATTAGTACCTGAAAAGGTTACAAATTATTAAAATAGGAAAAAAATAATTCTTAACCAAAAGTCTGATAGACTGAAATTCTTACATTTTTAAAGATAAATTTGAATTCATTAAAGAAAACTAAAATTATTTAAGCAAACAAAGGACAAGAGAATGCATAAAACCAGGTTAATGAATAGTTACATTTTATTTAAGTTTGATCCATAGATGATTGATAGAATTTTTAGGATAAAAATAGGCAATCGTGGCTATCCACCAATGGTAATCAGCAATACAAGTAAGCTTTGAGATTAACAAGTGTAAAAATATTACCTGATTGCCTAGAAGTATGGAAGATATGAATATCCATGACCATGTCAATGTCAGACAGGATAACAGTCCTATTGAGTCCAGTGGTTTTGTTGGCACTTTCAATGCTTCTCTTTTTGGAGTCTGTCCAGTAAACAAAATCTTGGTATTGGGTCAAGCCTATGGGTTGTTGGATATCTTTCTCAACAACTAGTCGTATATCTTCACCTATTTTGTAAAAAAAAAAAAAAAACACAATGTAATACAGCAAAGTTTAAATTTATTTTAAATTAATCTTGGAATAAAACAAAAAGGTCCATTAAAAAAATTCTTTGTTGATTCAGCTCTAACTTCTTATAAAAATCTGATAGTTTTTCATCAGTGAGGTAAAAAAAATGTAACTGAATTATTTACCATTCATATCAGATGACATGATGCTGTGGTTGTCCACCCTTGTCCAGTACAATCTGCGATCCTGATAATCAATTGTGAGATCCTGAACAATGCCTATTTCTGTAACTAAAACCTTTCTGTTGGTCCCATCCAAATGGGCCCTTTCTAGAACTTGATCACCCAATGTTGTCCAGTACATGTAGCTAATTAAGAGTGAATAAAAACAATATACATGTAGCTAATTAAGAGTGATTAAAACAATATACATGTAACTAATTAAGAGTGATTAAAACAATATACATGTAACTAATTAAGAGTAATTAAAACAATATACATGTAGCTAATTAAGAGTGATTAAAACAATATACATGTAGCTAATTAAGAGTGATTAAAACAATATACATGTAGCTAATTAAGAGTGATTAAAACAATATACATGTAACTAATTAAGAGTGATTAAAACAATATACATGTAACTAATTAAGAGTAATTAAAACAATATACATGTAGCTAATTAAGAGTGATTAAAACAATATACATGTAGCTAATTAAGAGTGATTAAAACAATATACATGTAACTAATTAAGAGCGATTAAAACAATATACATGTAGCAAATTAAGAGTGATTAAAACAATATACATGTAGCTAATTAAGAGTGATTAAAACAATATACATGTAACTAATTAAGAGTGATTAAAAACAATATACATGTAGCTAATTAAGAGTGATTAAAACAATATACATGTAGCTAATTAAGAGTAATTAAAACAATATACATGTAGCTAATTAAGAGTGATTAAAACAATATACATGTAACTAATTAAGAGTGATTAAAAACAATATACATGTAGCTAATTAAGAGTGATTAAAACAATATACATGTAACTAATTAAGAGCGATTAAAACAATATACATGTAGCAAATTAAGAGTGATTAAAAACAATATACATGTAGCTAATTAAGAGTGATTTAAAAAAATAAAGTTATTTACCAATAAAAAGCCCTAATATTTTAAAAACAGACTTTATCAACATTAAAGACAAGAGTGTGGATTTAATTATCCTAAAGCTAAGATTTAGAATTTTAAGAATATTAGTATTCCACTCTCCTTGTTATCAACATGATACTCTCTAACTAAAACAAAAAACAGTTTGACTATGAAATAAAATTATGGCATACCCATTAGGAGGATCAAGTGCAAGCGCTCTGGGCTTATCAAGAGATGACCACACCAAAACTTTTCTTGACGAGCCGTCAAACCGAGCCATTTCTATTCTGTTTTTACCAGTATCAGCCCAGTATATGTTATGAGCCACCCAATCTACAGCCATCCCTTCAGGCAATTCCACTCCAAACTGAATGATATTTTGTAGTGAGCTGCCATTCATAAAGGCACGGCTTATATGCTGAAAAACAGATAATTAAACATTTATTTTTCATGTAGCCTAATTGATAAAAAAAACAAGTTACATCATTTTCAAATATACTTATGACAGATGCTGCAATAATGAATGATAAAAACCAAAACTAATTAATTAATTAAACATTAAATAATTTTAAGAAGCAAATATACTGATGGCAGTTTCACTTTGTTCTTTAAACACTAATTTTTTTTTAATATTCTTTTTAGTGTAAAAAAACCATAGCTAATGGTTTAGATAAGAACAGAACTAAACAGCTGATTTGATCTCACCTGCTGTTGTACATCTGTCCAATAAATTCTACTATCTGTGATATCAAAATCAATGGCGATAGGTTTTTGTATTCCTGGAATAGGAATGTTCTGATTCTTTTGGTTGTTCTCTAGTGACACGCGCTGTATATAAGTATGGCTTGATATCAACAGGAATGCCTCGGGAATGATACATGTGTGCTCATCTACTCGAAGCTCAAGACCCATTGGGCAAGCACAGACATGTTTTAGAGGTGGAGGCCGAAACAGACACAGGTGACTGCAGTTTCCATTATTGTCTGCACACGTGTTGGTACCTAATATTTTTTTAAAATAAGAGACTTCATATTAATAATCCTTCTATACTTTGTTAAGACTAAAATGTTTTTTTAAAAAAATCCCTATAATCACTATTAGTACAATTTTTACAAGGAGCTTGTTTTTTTTATTTTGTTGAGCAAAATAGTTCTAAAAGACACTATATTACAGAAACTTTGCAAAGTGCCCTAGCAAACATTAGATCTTGAATATGTATTTTAGATCTACTAGTGTACTTTTGAATTTAAAACAATGTCAAGAAAACTTGAAAGTTTTTGCATGGCAAATAAAAAATCAACTTTCACAATACTTTAGACAATATAAGCAGCTAAAGTATAAATAAATACAAGTAATAGATAAGAAACAGAACTAGTTGTTTAATTATTTTAAAAAAAAATTGTGAGTAGAAAATATTGAATTATTGATAATTTTCTCAAGTTAATAAGTTCAGTTTTAATGATTTTCTTAAAGAAACCTTCCTCAAAACCTTAGATGTAGTATGTTCTTGTCTTATAACCAATCATAACTCACCATTTGGTCTATTGACATTAATAGCTTTTAGGCCCATCAAATCAGGAAGCTGATCAATAATGACGGATCTATCAAGACCAGAGAACTTATTAACCCTCTCTATTGATCTGCCTTGCCAGTCTGTCCAGTAGATGTAGTCATCTGTGATTTTATTGAGGAAAATATATAGCTTAAGCATTTCACTACTAAATCTGTTGGGGTTATGCAATGCTAATTTTATGTTATTAAAATTATATTGCTTTTAACTTTTAAGTATTGAATTTGCTATTACAAAATTTGTGATTTAAATTCTGTGTGTATTTTTATGACCTTGAAACAACTGATCTTTTGTTTCAATTTTTAAAAATAACTGGGATGTTTGTAAGTTAAAAAATTGCTTATTGTTTAGCTAATGTCTTAATAATTTGTTCCTATTCTAGCACTGGTGTTATTATAAATTTCACTCAATTTAGGAAATAGATAATTTTGATAATGAAAAATTTATATATACGTTTGAATTGTTAATTTATATGAAAAATTTACAAGACAGTGGGTTTGTGAAATGTAAATGTAAACATACCTAGCAATGTAAATGAATTACTAGACACATACCTAGCAATGTAAATGAATTACTAGACACATACCTAGCAATGTAAATGAATTACTAGACACATACCTAGCAATGTAAATCCAAAAATGTGGGGAAGTGTTTGAGACACCAGGACCTTTCTGTTGTTCCCATTCATATCTGCAACCTCTATACGATCCATCTTGGCATCTCCCCAATAGACAAGATTGTCCACTAAGTCAATGGCCAGACCATTGGGCCAAGATAATTCAGTTGAGACAATTGTGACCCTCTGGGTGCCATCAAGAAATGCACGTTCAAGTCGCGGTTTCTTCCCCCAGTCAGACCAAAACATGTACCTGTAACGAGATTCATAGATTACTTATATACCTCGTTAATAGTGATACATAAATATTAACAAATATAAAATAAATGATATATAAATATTAACAAAAATAAAATGAATGATACATAAATATTAACAAAAATAAAATAAATGATACATAAATATTAACAAAAATAAAATAAATGATACATAAATATTAACAAAAATAAAATGAATGATACATAAATATTAACAAAAGTAAAATAAGCTGAAACACAAAATTAAAAAAAAAAAAAAACATCTACAAACCCTGCAACTGGATGAAGACATATTGCTCTGGGTTGATCCAGCTCGTCAGATATTAGAACTTTACGGGATGTGCCATTTAAACGAGCAACTTCAATGCGGTCAGTTCCTGTGTCTGTCCAGTATAAATTTTGTGCAATCCAGTCTATAGCAATCCCATCAGGATGCTCTATCTCAGATTCCATTAAAACTTCTTGATCTAGGATAGAAAATAAAGACAGTATTTAGTAGAGGTAAAATATAAAAATAAAACAAGATTTAACAATTATCTAAATAAAAAGTAAAAAGTATGGGGGGGGGGGGGGGGGGGGATAAAAAATTATTCAATTACAGCAAGTAAAAGCTGTTCACAGTAAAGTTTTAAAAAAATTATTGCTGACACATTTTTTTTTACTGAACTAAGAAAATGTATTTATTGACGATAAAAAAAAATGAACGTTTCCTTACCTGTGCCATCTAAATGAGCTCTCTGTATCTTCTTCACTTGATCATCAGTCCAATAGATGTGCCCTCTGATGGTGTCATAATCAACAGCTATTGTATGCTTTACGTTGTTCAGAGGCAGAACAATGTCTGTATAGTCTGGAGTATCTAGAGAAATTTTCCTAATATCTTGTCTACGAGCCAGGAACAAGATCTTTTCAGCACCTGTCATGAGCAAGTTTTATATCAAAAGAAAAACATTTTTTAGAATATCAAATAGTTGTATGAAAATTATTTGTGTGAATTTACAGATTAGGTTAATCAATTCACTTGCCACATTTAATGCCAAAGTGAAATCAAATTCATTTTATAAATTCATGTTCTTAAAGATTTCAATTTTTTTTTAAAGCAAATGGTTTGTAAAAAAAACATTAAATGCACAGAATAAAAGCCAAGGCCACACTGACATATTGTTAGCTCGGATGATAAAATATAAGACTATCATGGTCCACAATTTGTTTTAGAACTTCTTTAACTTTTGGGCATTTCAAACTGGATCACTTCTATACTAGTTAACATGGGATATAAAACATGTATTGTTGGCAAATGATCGTTTGTCCTCTTATGTAACAGAAATAAATTTTCATAAGTAAAAGTTTCATTTACCGTAGAAATAAAAATATTTTAAAAGCTACATAAAAGTGGTTAAAAATCATAAGTTTTATTTAATATTAAGACTAAAGTATCTTTAAAAACTGCATAACAGTGAATAAAGTGATCTAGATCAAGGGTCTCCAAACTTTTCAGTCAGAGGGCCGCATTAACTATTAAATTTCAGTTCGGGGGCCAGTTTCTTCCAGACATGTCTTTGATTTTTCTGGGCAAAGTTCCTCAGACATCACCAACAAACGTTTTTTCCATGGACAAAAGGATCTCCGCGGGTCGGATGAGAGGACCTCGTGCGCCGCATCCGGCCAGCGGGCCGTAGTTTGGAGACCCCTGATCTAGATAGTGGTGTTTAGAACAAGCGCTGCAATAACTTACTTTTGGCACATGTTCTGTTATCAGCCATCAGTCTCACACCAGTGGGGCAGGCACAGGTGAAGAAGGGTGGGAGAGGAGACATCAGACACAGGTGTGAGCACCCTCCATTGTTTGCTCCACACATATTGCGACCTACAAGACAATTTTTAAAAGACATCCATTTACTTGAAATGATTATCATGGTTGTAGCTGGTGTGAAAAAAATTAAGATCCCCAGCCCTGGACCACATTAATTCACAGTCAGCTGTAGTCGTTTTAAACAAGCATAAGAAATAATCTGACATTACAATGTATTATTATAAGACATCAGATGTAACTTGAACAACTCAGGATTGAAGTTAACTTTATCCTAAAATCTGCAGGTTATAGTTAACCTAAAAGGTTGACAAAATTACTTACATGATGGCCAAATTAATTCTAATTAGAAATGTATTTTTATTTTTAAGTTTTCAAAAAGGTAATAATTTATTTTTCCTTTTAAATAACAAGATGTTATTTTGGAATGACAAAATCATACATAGTTTGTTTTTTTTTAACTTTAAATAAATATGCTTTAAAACAACATTCACATGCTTAATTTAATAAATATTTTGAAAAAAATATCAAAGAAATAACTAATTAAGTAATTTAAACAAAAATAACTTCATAATGCTGGTGATTTATTCTTATCATGTTATTAAAAAGTTGGTAATTAAATATTTTTTTAGTATCACATCCATTTAGAAAACAAACAAATATTTTTTTTAAATGCTTAATGAGGTACATATTAAAGAAAAACAGTTTATAACACATTTTAAAAAATAAATAAATACTGAAGTAGCATTAAACAGAAAAAAATGTGATTATCTACCTAATGCAGGTTTTTAAAATCTAACATTTAAAGCCAAAGTGAGTGAGAGAGATTAAAAAAGAATAATAAGGATTAAAAAAAAAAACAATCATCAAACTGCAAATCAATCCATACAAAAAACACAGCATCAATAGGACAACATGTTGACAATGTTGTTTGCAATTGACAAAAGAAACTGAATATAATTAATATACTATTGAGTGGAGGAGTTTTAAATACATTTATAAAGATGCATCTAAAACAAACAATACATGAGATTACACAATCATGTTAGCAAACAGTGAATTACCTCCGATATTTTTCAGATCTGCACCAGAAGTCAAATTATATAAAAAGTACAATTCAGACAGAGATCAATTAAAAATTATCAGTGATATCTTATTATTACATTTAAAAAAAAATATTATTAGTTTAGCCTTATTTCTGACACTAAGCCAGCAGTTACTAGTTATAGAGGGCAGTGGCGTATCGAGGTTGGGTGTGACTCGGTGCGGCACTTAATGGTGTCACCCCCCCAATAGGCGTAGCACCCCCCCTCAAACTTTCAATTTGCACCCCCCCCCTCAAATTTTTCTCTAAATATTTTACTATTTTTTGCCTAAATGGTGTCACCTGGCGCAGTCCGCACCCCCCGCCCCTCACTTTGCCTCTGACACAGGGCCAAAAACTCAAATGTTAAATTTTAATTACCTTTAGGCTGCCTGCTACTCATGAACGCATGTATATCCATGGGAGCAAAGATTTTGTCTAGGACCACAGTGCAGTTGGAGCCAGTTAGCTTGTTACAGCTATGGATTGATTTACTCTGCCAGTCAGTCCAGTACAAGTAGTCCCCATAGAGTGTTAAAGCAAATGGGTGCTGTAAAAACCCTTCGACAACCACCCTGCGACCTTTACCATCAAAATCACAGCTGTAATAAATTTACATAAGCCAAATTTTTATTTTTTATTGATAAAATAAGTATATTATTTGTTTTTTTTTAATCATTAAAATATTATTATAAAACTTGTTTCTTTATAACCATTTTTAAAAAACTAAATAAGTATAATTAAACATTAAAGATTTAATAAGTGATTTACATGTTTGATTTTAAACTACGGATTAGATGTGAAAAAAAAAAAAAAAGACAGACACATTTTTAAAAAAATCACATACCTGTGAATGTGACTATGCTTAGCATCTGCCCAGTACAATTTAGATGCAGCATAATCAATGGTCAGTCCATTTGGCCATAGGATTTTATCACTGATGATGACACTTCGAGTCTCAGGGTTCCCATCCATCCCAGCCCTTTCAATTTTGGGCGTCTCCCCCCAGTCAGTCCAGTACATGTAGCTATAAAGAAAATTAATTGCATTAAATTAACAGGCACCTTATGGTTGACATTTCTGACACATGTTGGTGAGTGTAAACCTTCATATGCTGAGGTAATAAAAACAGGAGTACTCTGCTTCATCTACCTCATACCCATCTGGTTCAAAAGTAACTTTACCTATATTTAGAAGACTACCAAGTTATCAAAACTTAAAAAAAAAAATCGAATACATTACAAGATTGTAAAATTTATAGCTAATTAGGGCTTATCTATAATTAATTGGGCCTACAGAACAAACATTTTTTAATATTATAGATAATTATTAACTAATTACCCATTTTGAGGATCTAATGCTATAGCCCTTGGCTGGTCCAATTTCTGCCAAAACAGGACTGTTCGATGCTCGCCATTCAGGTTACTGACTTCAATACGATTGGTCTCTGAGTCTGTCCAGTACAACTTCCTGCCCAACCAGTCAAGGGCCAGGCCATCTGGTGACATGAGACCAACAGAGACCACCACGTCATGGCGGCTTGTGTCATTGAGGTAGACCCGCTTGATGACCTCTAGGCTGACATCTGACCAGAAGATGACCCCGTCTTCATAGATAAAATCCACAGCCGCAGCATCCTCCAAGTTCTGGATGATGATGTTGGAGTTTGAGCGAGGGTTGGCCTCGTCAATTATCTGGAGGTCCTTGTGGTTGGCAAACAGCAGAAGTGGATCAGCTGTAAAAAAATTAAGTTAAATAAAATACTATGAAAAAAACATTAAGGATTAATATTTCAAAAGTGATTTGTAAAATTTTTTAATACAAATGACATGTTTGGAATTTTATAACATGACAAAATTGAAATCTATACATAATAAATTGGGTTTGATAAACTTGAATAATTATGTAGCTGCAAATTAAAGAGAATGTTTAGAAGTTTTATAAAGTAACTAGTGTGCCCATCCCCGCGCGTTGCTGGGGCGTTTAAAAAAGTCCCAGGATAGCCCAGGGCAAAATCATACCCTGCAGGAGCGTGGTAAGATATGCCTGATTTAGTTTGGTGAATGACTATAATAATACTTCTTATCCATATTCTATCACAATGTTTAAAATGAACGTATGCGAAATAGAACAACTGCGATAGCCCAGGGTGCCAAATTGCAACCTGTCTGGCGTCGGCAAACGCGACTGATTCAGTTTAGTGAACGGCTAAACGCCCCATCTTATTCATAGTATATCGCACTGTTTAAAACTAACGTGAATGACTAAAACCCAATCTAATGCATAGTCTTTCGCAATGTTTAAAATAAACATAGGCATCATAGCGCTCACGGGATAGCATGGGGCGCCAAATTGCACCGTCTGGGCGCCTGATTCAATATAGTGAATAACTATAACGGCCTATTTTATCCATGGTCTATCTCAACTTTTCAAACAAATGTAGGTGCCATAGCGCTCACGGGAAAGACCGTGGCGCCAAATTGCATCCTGCCGGGGGCTGCCCATGCGAAATTAAATTTCCCCCTCTCCTACAAGTATTCTCATTGTAGACTTGAAGCTAGAAATAAAGTATGACATGGTGCCACAAATCATTTAATGGGAATAGTGTCATGAATAACAAGCTTGTTGCTAAAAAAAGAAAAGAACCAACATGATGGATAGTCTTATGGGATTAACCCAGCTGCAACAGTAACCTTAATGGGGGTCAGGTACTTATGTACTTATTAGAGTTGGGTAGACTCAAGGAAGTCTTACGTCATCCAAACACAAGAAGTTAGGGTTAGAAGTAAGTCATGCGCCATATCACCCAGCCTTGTCCTCCCAAACTACAGAGCAAAAGAGATTTAAGACCAGAGTTTCTTCCAGGCATCTCTTCAGGGAGGGGGGGGGGGGGGGGGGGGGGGGGGGGGAAGGGAGGGCAAAGTCTACCTCCCCCCCCCCCCCGAACTAGACGGAAATTATATAGTATACATATACTTTTACTAGTGTCCGCCACCCCTGGTAAATGTAGTCACTCCCCCCCCCCCCCCCAAAATATCAAGTGCACCCAGAGAAAAAAAGTCTGGAAAAAACACTGTTTAACACTGCTAGAAAAGTACACAGTGCTGGCTGTTAAAAAATCAAGAGATAAACAAGAGAGACTTTATAGTAATGGAAAAAAAAAGAAGTGAAAGAAACCTGACCTGGATGGGAAAGATCAATGCAACAGTTTTCACTACCAACAGTAGAGCAATAGGGTTACAATACATGATTTATCCTGCTAAAAATAGACAGGACCAAGAGAAGTGTAACCCCCCCCCCCCCCCCCCCAAACAATTATTAAAAATATAAATACAACAAATAATTGTCTTTAAGAATAAAATCTAAACTAATAATTTCCAGGGTGTAAGAAGAAAATGAGAATAAATGCAAGCTCTTAACAAAGAATGTATAGGTTTAGCTGGGCCCTACTAACATGGTAGCGATTTCCCCTCTCTTTAACCTCATTCCCAAACGTCTCTGGTTACCAATTAATTCTTGCCAGATTATCTCCCCTTCCCCAATCATATTTTGGCTTCCATGATCTACACCTGTCAAATTAACCACTCAAGCTACATACATATTTTTTTTATTATTATAATAAAACCCTCCCTCCCCCTTAAACTAACGATAACTCGTACCTGTCAATTTTTTATGCACCTGAATTACTCTACGACTAGCGGCAAAACTGCCGACATGTTAAACATTCACACACTCTCTTCCCTGCCATGTCTTACGTTAAAAAAAAATTATCTCTTAAAAATAAAATGTCAAGAAATAGACTTTAGGTGTGGGTTCTTCTAAACACATTTTAAAAGGTGGCGATTGTTGCTTTTTGTGGATGGGTAAGGGGCAGGGAGGCTTTTATGTGCAAAGAGAGAAATGTCAACATTTTTTTTCCCAACGCGCCGATAGCTTCCCCTCGCAACTTGTCCACCCTTTTTTTAAAGCTCATTAACCCATTCCGAAATGAACACAAACCCTGTTCTGTTTGGAAGCTGCCCCGTTTAGGTCTAGGATTAATTGAGGCAATAAATAGTAACTTTAGACGTGGGAAATCCAGCTAGTTTTTTTTTTTACAAATAGCTTAAGTGTCAAAGGTCAAGGCCGGCGAAAATGTTAAATTTAGCTACGTAGCTATAAAGTGTGTAAACAGCCCACAACACGGCCGTACACCGTAGCTAATTTACACTATTCTATTTTTGTCCTTGTGTTCGACTAAAAAGCGACAACTGGGTAAGCATCGGAAACGCAGACAAAAAAAAGCAACCCACGAATAAGTGCCAGAACGTACATTTTGCTTGTAGGAAGAGAAGCTGCGAGACGCAAAAGTAAACAAAACAAAGACTAAAACCTAATCTTCTCCTTTAAAAAAAAAAGTATGCCACCCCTCCCTCCTCCCACCCTCAGCAACCAGAAAAATTAGTTTACTTTAGTGACTTCGCTGGCATGGCACTTGTGTGCCAGATTTCCGAGGCACGTTAAAATATACGCATGCCACCAACATGTCAAGTTCTTTAAGAAAAATAGCGCTGTGTGGCAGCTATGATAACTGGGTAGATTAGTGCATGTATTTTGCTGCCATTGGCTTGTCATACGCCTTTCGTAATTCTAACTGCCCCCTCCCTTCCTATAAAAAAAAGTTGGGGACGATACTTCATAAATATATTATATAGATCTCTATATCTGCTAACCGTCTTTAGATAGTTGCTTTCTCTTTCCCCCATATAAAATACGGGCTAACATCGTGTCTGTGTAAATATATACGCCTACATGTATTGACCTACACTACACATACATTTTTACACATTAATAATAATAATGTGTGTGTTTGTTTACACAGAATCTTATGTACCACTTATGCCCAAATTCAGAATCAAGTACTTTCTAGTATAACTGCTTAGGCCTACATATTAACTAGCCTATCTTTCATTTATCACAACACACACATGCTGGCATGAAGTTGATCTGAATGGAGCATAAGGTCGAGGGCACATGCACGCCCTAAACCTAGCAGTAAACACAACTAGTAATGTTGTCAAGTTTATTATCGCATGTCTCTGTGTTTATCTCTGTAACGGGGTCACTGCCAATTAAAACAAATACGACGAGATGATAAATTCTCACTGATGCGGCCTCTGACCTGTGTGTACTACTAGGAAAAGCAGATTAGATTATTTTAACGATGGGACTACAAGATGCAAAGACGGACATGTACGTCTACTCTATACATGCTGGAGATACAGCTATATTAGCCTTAGTCCGGAGGATGTATGCAATGCTATCGTCTTATCAGAAGCCGTAGATATCCCCACGTCCAACCCCACACCCACCCTCCCCTCGACACGACCCTATTTCAGTTTCATTATGAATCCTTGTTAGAAGAAAAAAAAAGGGGGGAAAAACGGTCGCACACCGTATGCACACCCTGCACGGACAAACACGGGGCAGGGAGAAAACAAACTGTGACACCGTTTGTCCTCTCCGGTTTGGGCCCAGTTTTAGTGTTAGAAACACAGGTGGCGTGTTCCTGAACAATACAACCGCTCGTTTGAAAAAGAAACCGTTTTTTTTTCCTTCTGGGAATGCTTGAGCAAAGCATAGACACCACCCCCTCTCCCCTTATTTTGTGAGCGCGTTACTCAAATATAATTCTATTTTGGTAGCTTTTTAAAAGCTCGGTTTGAAGGCCATTTTGAATGAAGTTTTAAAATTCTTAGGCTACGATTGAGTGTGTTATTGATATAAAATAGTATTTTAAATCTTTATAAGTATTTTTAAAACCATAGATCTATATTTAAAAAGAAATATTCAAATTCAAAATTAATAGGCTATCTGAAACACATTTCAGCTTCATTTTCTAGGTTACAAGAACGTTTAAAAAAAAATTTAAAACACGTTTCCAATTTTTCTTTTTTTAAGAACGTTAAAAAAATCTTAAAAAAACACATTTCAATATTATTCTCTACAAAAAAAAAATTATTTTTAAATCTTAACAAACACATCTTTGTTTTAATTTGTTAAAAACTTTTCAAACGGCGAATCAGCACCGTCCATCACAGTACAGATTCCCCCATTCTTCCCTCCCCGTGCCGACAAATCTACCTTTCCCCTCCCGCCCCGACGCGTCTATCCTGTCCACCACTAACCGACCTCTCCGGCCAACTCGAGCTGACAAAACACACAAAAACTAACAACGCCGTGCCCCCACCCTGCAACAATCCCAGCTTATATTAAAACCAGGCATTCCCCTCCCCCCCCCTCCTCCTGCCCTAAGTCGCTTCATCAGCTGCGAGCGGCTCTACCTGACATCCTGCACTTGTTAGGGGAGCTGGCTCTAAGCCAGGTGCTATGGCGGCTACTGACTTGAGCGGTTCTCAACAGTATCACTATATGAACCCAATTATTTTTTTAAATAGAAAAGAAAAACGCTTACATGAGAACTTATACAGAAAAAAAAATTTCAATAACAATCTTTTATAGATTTAATATCGAACATACTATGCTGCTGTAAACGTACCCGCAGACGTAGTCTACTGAAACAAGTTTTGAGTTCTTATTTTCTCGCACGAGAATCATTGCTTAAGCCGCCACGCCACCAAAAGCTTATTATTATTACGAGTGTATTATTATATCGCTAGTAAAGGCAGGCTATTGAGCGATTCAATGACGATTCAAAGTTTCTATTTCTGTAAGACGTTTCAAAGAAAATACAAT